CATATTTTTTTATTTTTTGTTTGTCGGTAAGAGATATTCTAATTAACTTATATAAACCTTAACTAATCCTCTACTATTTTTTGTCCAATCAAAGATAGGTCACCCATGCAAAGATTAGGGTATTCATGAGGAATAATTCTCATGACTTGATTCTAAAGAATTACTAAAATTTAAACTTAGAATGTCTAAATTTATAATTCGTCCCATATCAAGAGACACATTGTGTGACTTGGTCTTTGTCTGCATTTTGCTCTCACGGACAAATATGTATTGATCTAAAAATTTAGTCTAGGAAAGTACCTTATATTTTGGAAAAAAAAACCGAGAGGGTAAAGGTAAAGGACGGGCTTAAGTATTGCACGGGATAATTCTTTCAATAGTTTGAGACAACGACCTCCAAGCTGGCGAACCTAAAACAACAAGGTCAGGAAAAGGGGGTCAGGTGATCACCCGGCTTACCCTCTCTGAAACTTAAGTCAGTCTAAGGTCGAAGGGTTTAGTTCAATGAACAATCTTTTTCTGCTTTAAGTTTGTGTACCTTTGTCTACTTTTTTGAGAAGTATTTATACCTGAATTAACAATGATTATCAAAGATCTTCAGTCTCATCTGGACATCTTACATCTAACACACCATTTATCGTGCAATGAGTGCTTTCTACTCACGTCTCCTCTTATTAAATGCTAGGAAGATGGGATAAATGGCCGAGCATTTATGCCTCTCCCTCGAGTACCCAAGTCCCCCAGATCGGCATCTGACATCAACTGAGCATTGAATACTCGGGGGAACAGTTTCTCGGGGGGAGCCGATCGTGTCATCTCGACACATTAACCATAAATGCTCAGTCATCATGACACTAGACCTGGACTCTTAGAGTGCAGGTGCTTGCAAGCGCGCATTTATTTGTCTTATCATTATCACTCATTCCGCCATAAATGAGAGGTCACATTGCATTAAATACGATCTTAACTGTCGTACTCGACTGCTCCGTGTCACCATACCTCGACTTATCTCCTCAACGCCCTTTAGACATCCCAATGATTTTATTATTTCACATGTCAACCTGGGGACTGTAGAGTCACTTAGAGTCCCGCCGAGTATCATTTGAGAGAATTCGTATTTATAAATGATATAACATGAGTGATTTTTCTCCAAACTTATAGAAGTGATTGATATTGTCCGTCTTTCTTTCTAAATCCATCATTAATTGCTCACAAATGCATTATAAATCGAGATAAAACAACAAACATTTGAATTAAATATTCTCTCACCACCCCCAAAATTTAATATTGAGAAAGTTATCATAGTAATACTAGTTCGATCACTCCTTCCCTAAGAAAAATGATTGTCATTGTGAACATACAACGACCAAGTTACTTACTTCTCGAGCAACAGTTTCAAACTGCAAAAAAAAGTGCAAATCGACAGTGAGGTGCGTCACCTTCCAAATCATTAGACTGGAAATGGTTTAATAATGGTTTAATAAGACTTCACATGGGGCTTTGATATAAACTAGTCAATCTTCATGAAATGTCCAAATGAAGTAACCTTAATCAAATATACCTTGCTGGTAGTGACCTGCGGAAGGTCATGAACGGCCTTGAAAACTTTGATGACAAAAATTATGTCTTGACATGTCCAAGTTGTGGTTTTCACAATGATTTGTGATTAGGATTAATTTCAATTTTTCGATATGCGTAATGATGTCGTTGATTTTAATTTGAGTAGATTTGTGACAATTTATTATGTCATTTTGTGATTGGATAAAAAAAAAGTATTTTTTTGTGTTGAGACCTAATAATCATCCTATACTTATCTTATAATCGAAAGTAATATATAGGGTATTCTATATTAATTACACATATAGTTGAATTGTTTTGGCAGTTTGTACTTGGACTTGTTTGTCCCAACAATTTCATTGCATCGTCACTTGTCAGGTTGCTTTTATGACCAACTTCTTTTTGTCAAAGTGATGATCATTCTTAATTGTACATGGTAGTTTAATACCATTTATACACAAACTTTGGTCATGATCTAATTAAAGATTTTGATTTTAGTGGAGACAATTATGATCATGGTAGTTGCGGTGAAGTAAGCACGAGTATCAACATCTAAACTCACAATAAACATATGATTAGCCATTCTAAAAAAGAGATCCAAGAACACTTATACTGATCATGACATAAATCATGTCTGCTGCATAACTAATAATTCTATTAAAAAGTAGAATTATCAATTTTTACACGAATTTTCAAGAGATAATGTGAGGTATAATAGACTTAGATTACGTGCATGTTTGATTTGGTTTTCGAAAATAATTTTTTGTTGTCAAAACTTTAAAAACAAGGAAGATGTTGTTTTTTTAGTTTTTTTGTTCTCTAATTTTTTGAAATTTTTGGAAAATGAGATGTGATTTTAGAGAATAACAAAATGATGTTCTCATTATTTTTTAAGACAAAATAAAAACAAGGGAAACAACCTATCTCCAAATTAATGAGGTCTCCCCTTTGAATTTCATTGGAAATAAAAAAAAAAGAGACTGTCTCCACCACCTTATTGAGTCCCCCTCTCTCTGTTCATTCTTCTTCTCCGTGCATATACACTGATTTGAAAACACCTCTCTATCTGTTCATTCTTTTTCCCCACCGTACATATACACAAATCTGAGAATAGATCTTCTCCACCGCCTCACTGAGTTCTTTCTCTTTCTTTCGCAACTTCTTCTCCGCCTCAATGTGCGTTTGTGTGTGTTTTTGAGCATCTGTGTGTGTATGCGCGTCTCTGTGTCTGTCGTGTGTGTGTGTGTGTGTGTGTGTGTGTGTGTGTGTGTGTGTGTGTGTGTGTGTTTTGTGGAGAGATAGAGCGAGAAAGAGGGGAAAGAAAGAGAGAAATGGGAATTGGGGGTTTTTATGGATTATTGTCCAAACATATTTTACGATTTTTTGTTTTTAAAACCATTTTTAAAAATATATAATCAAATAGGTTTTGCAATTTTAAATTTTTTAAAAACACAATTTTAAAACTCTTCTTAAAAACTATTTTCACATACTGTTTTTGAGATGTAAACCAAACAAGCACTACTTTTTTCTTTCTCATTCTGATCTTGGTTTTGCACTTTACAACAACGGGGGAACCTTTTTTTATGGCTAGTGAAATACATTATGAGATATTTTTTTATACTTTCAGCATTTAATTCCAGCTATTTTTGCACCTTTTGACCGACCTAAACAACATATGCGGATCCCCTCAACCCCTTTTTCTCATTACTAATGAAAATATCCTTCACTATTTTATTAAAAATGGAACGAACTAATATTGTTTTGTTTCTCGGTTCTGACCATTAGTTTAATCAAATAAAAATTCTAAATATTGATCTACCTTAACTTCAATCGGATAAATAGAAAATATATTCTATTTTTGATCATATGATAAACATGGTATGAATAAGTTATGTAACATCAATAACGACAGTTTCATGTATTAATATAATATGTATTTTCAATCATAAAGTTGATGAATCTTTATTCATAGTATGAAAGTATATTATCACATTTTATCTAGATTCATGTATGAACAAATGAAAAATAACTAAGTCACACTAGGTAATGCTAGGCCATGACTTTTCTCAAACAATATATATTTTGTTCTTATCCTGCAAACACGACACATAAAAATAATTTTTTACATACCAAGATTTAATTATATTAACAAATTTTAAATATGATGAGAAAATATTTATCTGTAATTTACTTAACAAGGAAGAAAAGGGAGAATGAGAAATAGGGCTTATATCCCTTCCATGAATGAGAAATATGAGTTATCGAGACAAAAAAGGGTGACACTTTGGGCAGAGAAGATGACCTTTTTTTTTTTTTTCCTCTAACTTTAACTTAAAACTTGTGTCCCATTAAAAAGTTATTGTACTAACTGCTAACAAACTCACAAAAGGTGAAGCTTTTATTTTTGTAATATGTTACCTTTATGAGATATTATAATCAACTTTTTTTTTGGTAATTCCTACGATGCAATTGGAGTTTATCGACGGAAACAAATTTAGATAGTCCTTTGTGGCTCTGGTAGTCCACTTCAATAATTTTTTTTTGTGCATATGTGATATGGTAGAGAAATGAAAAATAGAGTAACAAAAAATTAATCATCGAATAATTAGTTTATCGGGTAAAAATTTAAATTTTTCTTTCTCTATTAATATTCGAGTCATCATGTGGTAGTTTGGTAAAGTTAGACCTTTTCTTCGTCTGTTCATCGCATAAAGCATGAAACGGAACTTTAGCTTTGACCCGACGTAAATGCGTAAAATTTTTCACATATAGTGGTATTGAGAGACAATACTAGAAGGTTAAAATAGTTGTAATTTTTTTTTTATGATTTAAAATTTGGATCGATTTGAGCTCCACCGAAACTGTTAACACCAATTAAAATTCGGTTCGACTCAATTAAAATTTATTTTTTACGTATTAAAATATAAGTCATTAAAATTAAGTCAATTAAAATTTATATTTTTTTATATATCAAAATTAAATGCGAGTTGAATTTTAATCGGTTCAAATTTAAATATGAAAAAAATTTAGAAAACAAATGAAATTTTATTGAAGATACGTCAATCTAGACGGATGTAGATGAAATTTTTTTAAAAAATATATCATAGATAATTTAATAAAATTATATTTTAATTTAATATTTTTCAAAAATATGATAAATTAAAAAAATATATGGCTGAAATTTTTCAAAAAAACAAAAACACATTACCAATGTGGGGGTGACAGGACCCCGGACAGTAAGATGCAAGTCCAGATATAGACCGCAAAAATTGGGAATAGGGAACTAACATTTGAGAGAGAGAGAGAGAGAGAGAGAGAGAGAGAGTCCACTTTTTACCTTTTTTATGATGCACGCATCCATGGCAGAACAGAAGGGTAGACTAGACAGTACTGCTACGATACAAAGAGGGTAGAAGAAGAAGAAAAAAAAAAGAAGTATAGAAAGAGAGGGAGAGAGAGAGACAGAGAGACCAAAAAAGGGCATGGAGCTAAAATGGTGACATGAAGTATCTGAACGCTTCAAATCTGAGAAGAACCTGTTTTCCAAAAGGCAAGCCAAGCCAAGCCATGTTTTCTCTTTCGTTCTTGTTCTTGTTCTTAGATTTTCATTTTCTCTATCGTTGCCTGTTGTGTTTGTTTGGCTTTTTAGATGAGAGGAATGGCATATGGGAACTTGCAAGCCAACGGGTTGCTTGAAGTTACTGGTTTTTCTGCTTCGGTTTCAGAAGCAAGGTGCAAGAAAGGAGGTAACTGTGCAAGCAATGAACCCATCTCTGTCCTGGACACAATAAGAAGTCCCAGCCCTTCCACTTCAACATCAACCTTCTCGTCCTCTTTTGGCGGCACCAACGGTGGTGGTTCTGGTTCAACAGACAACACGGCCGGCCTTGCGGCGGTTTCCAACAACTCTACCCAACAAAAATGGCTTGGGACTTTGCCGCCGGAGGCTAATACGGTGCCTGTGAATGAAACTGCCACTGCCGGAAGTGATGGTGGTTGCCGGAAGGAAGAGTGGGCGGCAGAGCTCCAGTCTATTCCGGCTGGCCTAGAGGTGGGTCCTGGAGGGTCCGACAGATTTGGGCTTGGATTGGAAGATTGGGACAGCTTGTTGGCCGAATCTGGCCAAGAGCAGTTTCTTCTCCGGTGGATTTCTGGAGACGTCGACGACGCGTCGTTTACTTTGAAGCAATTGTTGCAGAGTGAAAATCCTAATGAGATCGATCGCAATGTCGCTTCAAGTATTGTCGATCAGTGCTCTAGATTTGAAACCTCGGCCATAACAAGCGTTTCTTCTGCCTTAGCTGTTTCGGGTTCTCAAAACTCTCTGAACCACAACAGAAACAACGGGAAAAGTGGTCTAGTCCCAAATTCTTTGGATTTCAACAACAATGAAAACCCACAGAACTCCAATTTCTCTCCGTCACCTGGCAATTTAGCCATGCGTCCTGGTACTACTTTTCAACAGCAACACCATCGGCAATTTTCTGTCCCAGAACAAAAGCTTCAAAGTTTACAGGGTACTACGATGCTTAACCCTTTTTTATATGGTACAAAACAAGTGCAACAAATTCAACCTCACCCAAAGCGTCACAACCCGGGTATTGCAAACTCAAGCTCTCAGATACCAAAAGTGTCATTTCTCGATCAGGATTATGAGTTTTTGCTCAGAAAACAACAGCAGTTGCCTCAAATGCAGCAACCCCATCATCTGGGTTTGGCTCAACTTCTCAATCTGCTCCCTCAACATTTTCAGCAGAAGCCATTTATGGTGCCAAAGCAGGAGACACTGAGTGGTGGCGGTGGCGAACAGTTGGTTGCCCACCATCACCAGGAGCAACAGGTAATATATGACCAGCTCTATAAGGCTGCAGAGCTCATATTGGCTGGGAATTTCTCACACGCGCAAGGGATATTGGCGCGGCTCAATCACCAGCTCTCCCCCGTTGTAAAGCCCTTTCAAAGGGCTGCTTATTACTTCAAGGAGGCTCTCCAATTGCCCCTCCTTTTACCCAACCCACCCACCTTTCTGGCCCCTAGGACTCCAACACCATTCGATGGCTTGTTCAAGATGGGTGCTTATAAAATGTTCTCTGAAATTTCACCGCTTATTCATTTCATGAATTTTACATCCAACCAAGTCTTCCTTGAGGCTCTTGGTGATGCTGAGCACATTCACATTATAGACTTTGACATTGGGTTTGGTGCACAGTGGTCTTCTTTTATGCAGGAGCTTCCTAGGGGGAACAGAGGCGCCCCGTCATTGAAAATTACTGCCTTTGCTTCTCCTTCAACCCACCACCCTGTTGAGCTTGGCCTAATGCATGAAAATTTAACCCAATTTGCTAATGATATTGGAGTTCATTTTGAGCTTGAAGTGGTTAACTTTGATTCGTTTGATCCAAATTCTTATTTAGTGTCCTCTTTTGAGAACGAGGCAATTGCTGTGAATTTCCCTATCTGGTCCACTTCCAGTCATCTGTCTGTGCTTCCCTCTATTCTTCGTTTTATAAAACAGCTCTCGCCAAAAATTGTGGTGACTTTGGATCATGGTTGTGGACGGGCTGAGCTCCCCTTCTCACACTACCTTCTCCATGCCCTTCAATACTATGAGGTCCTTTTAGATTCTATTGATGCTGCTAATGCCACTGCAGACACTGTGAACAACATTGAAAGGTTCCTTTTCCGGCCTAGGATTGAAAGCATTGTGTTGAGGTGCCTCCAAGCACCAGGCCAATTTCCCTCTTGGAGAAGCCTCTTTGCCTCTGCAGGGCTATCACCTGTAGCATTCAGTAGTTTTGCCGAAACTCAGGCTGAACAAGTGGTGAGGAGGACCCAGGTTACAGGCTTTCATGTAGAAAAGCGCCAGGCATTCCTTGTCCTATGCTGGCAGCGTGGGGAGCTTATGTCAGCCTCGGCCTGGAGGTGCTGAAGAACCGCAAGATATCAAGCGAGAAGATTGGTTTTTAGCAGCACAATTTATTCACAGAGGTTACAATGTTCTCTACTCTTTGATGTTAAGGCAATAAATTTTGAACTATGTTTGTGCCACCTCTTTGATGGGTTAAATTGTGTAAATTTTCCTGCTTGTAATTCTCCTCTATTTATTATGTATCTTGAGTAGACTCTAGACTGACTATTTTCCAAGAAAAACATCATATTAACTGCAAAGTTTAGTAGTTTTATTTCTTTGAAAAGCTTGCTGCATTGTGTTTTGATATGATACTGTTGTATACTTGACAACAAATGTGAAGTAGAATATTGAAAGAACTCATCAGAAGTTACAATGCTTTTGTACACGATGTCATACAATCCTATTTTCCTAATGCGTGCTAATTTATTGTCTGTAATCGAGGTAAATGCTAATGTAATGTTTATTGCACTTGACCGTTGGCAAGTTATGGGCTTTCTCATCATAGAAAATATAAAGCAGTACAAAGCCAATAACTTCATTTTCGCTTTTGTTTTGTTGTCAAGCAATGATGATGGACTTTGAACACTGACATCCACTACTTAGTAGCCCTCTTTGCCATTAGTCTAAGGCACTAATTGTATCCCTGTCATTAACAACTTGTATATATTGAAATGTATGATTGGGCTGTTAAAGGGTTTTTCCAAAGTAGAGGTTTAGGTAGAATGCTTTGTTTGAAGGCCATACCTCTCTGGTATTTAGAGATCACGAACAAGTGATAGCACAATCTCTAGCAAAGTTTTTGCTGGTTTTGCTTTCAACAAGGGACCTTCATTAATCGAACAAAAGAAGATGTATCCTTGTTCTTGAGGCTGGACCAAGCCACACAACTTGATAGCTGAACAATAGTTATACCCAAGCTTATTGTTCTCTTTTATACTGATCAACCATCCATGAGGGTGTTCTGTTTATTTCTCTACAACGTTACTTTGCCAAATGCAGATACATTAGTTTTAGCTGTCTTCGTACTGATAAAAAAACTAGTATTGTCTTATTTGCTTGGTAATCTCATGAAACATGAGTACAGAGGATCTCTTTGGTGGTTGTAAAGTGCGATTTGTTAGTTGAAATAGCCGCACACACTTAGAAACAGAGATGTAAAAATACACCTAATAATGCTCCTGTACCCGTGATTTGCTTTGCACTTAAACATTGAGTCCCACAGACGGTCTTTGGTGTCTTTTGGCGTGTGCTTATGGTTAGGTAGTCAATTGCAAGTCCTTTCATCAATAAATCACACATTGATCTGGAGTAGTCTGAGATGGGTTATGGTTAGGCTGTTTAACAAAATGACAAGTCTGCGGGGAGTTTTCTGAATGTTTTTGTTGGAACCATTACAAATATGTTGTATCCTTGTATAATTGTTGTTTGGCAGGTGATGGGTTTTTAGTTTCAGAATGAGACAAAATGGGTGGACAATTGTTTGGAAACTAGACAAAATGTGGTACCTCGAATTGTTTATAGCAGCTTCTGGAATTTTTTTGTTGCTACAATTGGATTCATGATAAAGAGCAGCTTGTACTAGGAAATGAGATGAAGTGCATGGGTTAATCGCACTTTGCATTTTGAAAGATGCTCGATTTCTCAATTTGCATTTTTAGATGGAAACGTGAGCAACAGTTTGAGTATGGCTCACGTTGCTGCTATAACTTGAGAATTGAATTCTTTTGGGGGTGCAAATTGGGAAACCGAACAGCTTACAAAGTGAGATTAACCCTAATTTCAGTATTCAGTCCTTTCGGTGCTGGGACCATTTATATGGGGTCTCCTCCTTTTTCAATGAAAAGAAAAACTAATCTTTCAAGTGACCTCCCATACTAGTGAAAACAAGGGTAATTCTCTAGTATAACCTTGGAATGCATTGAAAAGTCAAGATTAACAAAAGATCTGGAATTGTTACAATGTATCTTACTATGCCTTGTTAAGAGATATTTGACTTTCTCGTGAAATAACATTCTTTCTTCAATAAATTTCACGTGTCCCCTTTTTTTAGTCATGTCATATCTGTTTCGCTTCTTATCCTACTTGTTTAATACCAAAAACATCACATCATTCTCTGTTTCTTTAGATATGAATGTTTAGTATTCTGTATTAAAGGTCGCTTTTTGAGATTATCGTATGCTTGTAAGCAATTGTCTTTAATTTTGGTCAAGACATGTCTCTACTGCTTCATCTCCTGCATATTTTATACGGAACACATCGCATCATTTGCTGTTTCTTTAAATGTGATGCATTAAAGGTGGGGGTTTTTAGATTATATAAACTATGAATGTAAGCAGTTTGTCTTTTATAGTACATTGAATTTGTTGTCGTTCTGAATAGCTTTCAACAACCAAGGAAGTGAAGATTAGCAACAATAATGAGCAAAAAAAAAGAAGATCAACAACAATATCTTGCATAGATACAACTTATATCAACATGGTTTGCTTTAATTTTTTTCCGGCTGTATCTAAATGGCTTCTTCTCCCTCCATATTTTACCCCAAATAATACGTAATGCCTCATTCTTTCTTACCAATTGAAATATCTCTTAGGATTTATCTGAAGTTTTTTTTTCATACTAAAGCTTATTAGTTTAATCGAAATTCATAGATATCATTAAAAAGATTATGTAAAAGAATAAATAGATCATATTGCAAGCCACGATGAATCATGGTTCATTTGTCCGTCTATACATTCATCTTTGTCGCGGTTTATTTGGTTACCCCTTTTTTTTTTTGGTTGCAAGAGCCGACCACGTAAAGCCTAATCTAAAGCTTTTGAGGTTTTTCAACCTCTTATATTAGGAATAGAAAGAGGTTTACTCTGTTTTTTTTTTTTTTTGGTTAATTGCGTTAGTGGTCCACCTTGTTAATTGATGGGACCACCTTTCTTTTATTCTGGCACACGGTTTCTCGATTGGACCATGACAACTGCTGCTCGACTAGTCATGAATGGTGCTCTGCTGGGCCCCCACCTAACGATTCACTCTCTTTCTCTTCCGACTTTTATTTTTAAATTTCTTGTGGTTTGGGGGAGAGAAGAGGGGCCGCGGGGAACCAACCAATAAAAGAAAAGAAATATGGATATGCTAATAAAGTCAATTATACTTATTCATATATTTTCATATAATTTATATTTTTTATTTCTATTTGATCTTTAATTTGTTATGAATTAATTATTTGACATTTAATTTAATTATACATATAATTTACGTTTATGAAAAAATATTCTTTAAATTATTTACGTGCAACGCACGTCGTATATTATGAGTTCATATAAATATATTAATGAATTAAATTTTGATTCGAATTGAATTGGAATTTGAGTTCGATAAACCAGATATGCATTAATATTTTTGGTTGATTATTTGAATTAAATTTTGTTATATTGTGTTCACATATTTGAATTTAGATATATTAATATCCAAATTGATTGTGATTCTTTTTAAAATATATATACACATATATGAATATATTATTGAAATGAAGTAATTATTTAATCAAATTAAATAAAAATTAAGATTTTATTTAGTTAAAATTTATTTATAATTATTCGAATTAAATCAGATTTTTGGTTTGGGTTTTAAATTTAAAAATAAAATCCATTTAATAATGAAATCAGATTGTGATTGGGGTTTAAAATGCTGATCAGAGAAAAATTGAATTCAAATTGAATTTGTTGAAATGTAACAAACTGATCGATCGTACGGTAGGATGACAAGGTGGGCCCTCTGGAGAGTTGTCGGAATTAATATCTGGACACGTGTACGGATGATAAGGCTGATCAGTACTTTTGAGTTTCTGATGACACATTAAATATCTAGTGGGACTGGAACCTGCGGATGTTTGTACCTCGAAGTTTTTTTTTTTTTTGGGTAAGTTTATACCTCGAAGTTGATGTAATCAGAAACGGTGGACAACCTGTTGACCATTCCAAATCAGATATAAAAAAAATTAACGAATTTAATTTTATTCCAATAATTATAAGTTCTTTGAAATTATCTCAAAATTTAATTATAATTAGACAACATATGTGAGATAATTATATTGTCTGTCTGAAAAGATTAAACGAGTGTTGTATGAGACTCGAACATATCTTAACCCCGAAGGAATGACAATTGTCGGGTCAATATAAACAAGTGTCGGGTCAATATAAGTTCGCATCGAATATTAGTTAACCTTAACCTAACCGATTTAACGAATTGTATCGTATTAAGTTGACTTATTTATTTTCGTGTTCGTGTTTGTATTTGTATTCGTGTTGATTTATTTAAATTTTGAACAAAAAAATTTAACGTTAAGGTATTATTTTCACTTAATTGAATACATACTCAAACTTTTTTTACAAATTAAAAATTAACTTAATAAATACAATAATAATAATAATGAGTAAAAATATTTTTTTATACCATAATTATGTCAATACTTAGTAAACAGTTACAAATAATTAATATTTTGATTCTATAATACTAATTAAACATATTGATCGTGTTAATTTTTGTGTGTTTGTATTACCATACAAATGAAGAAATTAAGAAAGTGTTAATTCTTAAATAAACGGGTTGATCATGTCAATTTCAAGTTTAACGGGTTGGACTCGGAGCATGACCCATTTATATTTTGTGTTTGCGTGTCGGATCAGTTTTGAGTTCATATCGAGTTATAATCGAATTCGTGTCATAAAATTTGTACCGAGTTCGAATCGTATTTTTGTGTTGAGTCGAAAATTGTCATTCCTACTCCTAGGTAAGAAACCAAGTTATTTAATATATCAAAAGAAAAAAAAGGGCACCCCTTCTTTATATCGACTCATTGAGATCCTTGGTTCCTTGACTCTATTAATGAAATTTTATTATTTGGCTTGGCTAGATTATTCGTTAAAAAACTTTCTAAAGTTCAAGTATCAGAAGTATGTTGCTCTTTTCAAAAAACAAAAAAAGAAGTATGTTGTTGGGCTTGGAGCCATCATCTGACTAGCCCAAGCCAACGGAGAGCCCATCAGACTTGTGAAGTCCACCAAAACCCACCACAAACATACTGAATCGTCCTGTCTTCTTGGGCAAGGAGCTTGCGGAAGGGGTCAATCAATCACCACGCAAATCTTTATAAACCCTAGAAATCACAGTCGAGATCTTACATACAGAGTACTGTGTATCTATCTATACACTCAAGGTCTAAAATGGGTTTAATCAAGAGCAGTTTTTCATTCATGATGGGGACGATGTTCGGAGTCTACGTTGCCCAGAACTACAACGTTCCCAACATTCACAAGCTTTTCAACACTGGGCTCTTGATCGCCAAGCACCTCGAAGAGAATTATCGGAAGCCCAAGAAGAGAGACGAAGATTAGTAGTTGCAAAGACACCACGTCGTTCAATCCCAGGTCTTCCGCAGGGCTTTTTTTTTAATTCGAATCCATAAATGAGAGGTTAAATGGGGATTAGGGTTAGTGATAATCAATTGTACTCGGGATTCTGTGGGATTCGATTGTTACAATTTTAACGGAAATTCGATGAATTTGATGATTAATTGTACGTATTTGTTGGGTGCAGTTTTTGATTCGAAATGGAAATCTGATTGATTATAGACTTTTCGTAATGAGTTTCTATCGCACATTTTGTGGAATTTATGTTCTTTTTTTATTAGTTCGTGTAATTGCTCAGAAACTATTGGAAAGAAAAGGAATTAGTTTTTCATTTCATTAAAGGAATAACATATGCTTCTTACTCGTTTTTCATTGTTGTAGTATGAAGACTGTTATTTAACCGAAAATGGAATGACAATTTCAACCTGAATGCGCAGTCACTTGTACAAATTTCAAACTGCATAATCTTTGGTTTAGTTGGCATATTACCGAGTTGCATTTTATAGTTTGGTGCACCGTCCGATTTCTTTTGAGTCTTCATTTGTCCAAGCTGCCACCATAGATTGATAGACATGTCAATCATCAAATTCCAATATTGCATTCTGGTCGATTTGGAAATGCATCTGCTGATGCGTTCTCATATGTACTTCTAATGAACCAAGACAAGTAAAATGTTGTCTTAATTATTCGGGATCGACTATTATTTGTACTCCTAGTGCTCGGGTTTGTTAGGCTTCACATTCGAAGTAGTTTTGTAGTCTTGGCATGCTACATATATGTATTACTGGATTTGAGATGTTTGAGTTTGGACACCATTTGTGGGGGTGTTCAATACCCCACTTGGACTCTTCTTTTCTATGATCGGATGCATCTCTTGAGTCCATGGCACCAAAATGCAGAATGAGGTAAGAATCTTTAAAGAATATTAATTTTGTTGCATAGGTGTTTATGATATCCGGAGTCCCTTTATTTATTCAAATGACTTCTTTGACAACTCCTTCACTAACTTCATTTCCCCTAAAAGAATAAGCAATCTTCCCTGTCGGAGGATATTAGAGTGGATACGTACTTAGAATTTGTCTTATATCTGTGAATGGTTGCATGTTGCTCTTGTCAGTAGTGTTGTTGTCTGGTAATACTTTTGTGCATCTATATTCTCAGCCAGTCATGTGTTCCTTTAGATATGAACACATTTTCTATGAAATAATGGAGAGTGCCATTGCAAATTACATATTCAAAATTTGACATTGTGATACTTTCCACCTCAATCTGGGCTGTTGGTTTAGTGGTTTCCCATTGTGCTTAAAGTACACCATTCTACTTGTCATTTTCATTTCTATTAGCTGAATCAAGGATATCGTGACCAGTTTTGCAAGAATCAGTTTTAGGAGAATTGCATAGTTTTCCTTTGCAAGCAATATCTCGGAGTGCTGATTGAGTTAATTGGGTGGAGGAGGTGCTTATTACACTTCAAGGGATTTATGAAGGTGGTCTTTTGTTGTGTTTGTGGTGGTATGTGTAAGCAAGAGGTAGTTCTTCTCTGAAGGAACCACGAAAGAAGCTCAATTGGCAAAGGTGGATGCTTAGTTTCATTATAATCTTGATCATGGTGTAGGTTTATACCTATGAATGGGTGGTTGGTGCACTGCCATGCATAAATTATATGCTGACGTATCAGTAATTCTACTTCTACAGGCATGCATCATGTTATTTTTGCATCTAATTGCATAATAAATCTCTGCTCTTCTTGATTGTTACATATGTAGATGAGCCAAAGCAAAAATACATCACCAATGTTCTGAATGTTTACACACCAAAATTACTTTCTAGTATTACTTCTACATCAAGCATTTTACGAAGTCTCAACATCTGACATGCAGTAGCATAGCTATATCAAGTGTCAAAATCATGGCCTGCCTTAGTTTTCCAGCTTCAGGCATTTGACTCTTAGTCTATGGTTAGGTACAAGTCAGATGATCCAGTGGAATCTGTGTTGCCATCCATGGAAGAAGAAACAAATTGTGGAGGAACCTTCTGTCTGCTCAGTGCACGCCAGTTATCAATAGATGCTAGTTGATCTGGATCTGAACTTGGAAGTGGTTGCCTATCAAGAATTTTCAAAATCTCCTGTGTTTTACCAAGAAGAATAATTGCACGGCGGACACTTTCTTCTCTCTCTTCAATGGTGCTGTGATGGCAAAGCGTCGATATAACCTGTTTTAGGTTGGTAAGACAAGCGCCCATTATGTCAGAGATCATGGCAGACAACCTTTCAAACAGTATCTCACTGCTCTTGCAGTCTCTGCTTTCATAATCCAGCACAAGAGTTTGACATGTTCTGTACATGCAATTGGCAGCCAATACCTTTATGGGCCATTTGGAAGGAGTCTCCCTTAGGCAACCACTAATGTCTTTCTTCCTGAATTCCATGAATCTGTTCTTTGCGATATCAGCAAGTGTTTCGAGTACCTCTTTTGGGCCTTTTCCTTGGAGGGCCATTTTATGGAGATCCACATCTAGCCACTTGTGATAGAGATCAACTCCAAGCCATACAATTTCTGATGCCTTCCTGACGTTTACCACATCTCGCTTGTCATCCAGGTTATCTTCTACAACTTTGATGTACATAAGGCCTTCGCTTACACTGTTTCTCAACTGTTTTATTGAACGAGGGTCAATGTTGGGAAGTGCAGCAGCAATGCTTGTTAATGTTACCACAGGAAGAGCCCAACAATTAGGAGGTTCTTCGGAATCGAAAGAAGGAACGTGGTCACTATCAAACTCATTCACTCCTTTAAATTCTCGCGAGGATATGGATTTCTCCAGAAGTTGTATGAGATATTTTGGCTGCTTCTTTTTTCCCATCTGGATCCAATGATGAGGAGCATCGCAGTTGTTCTCCATCATCAGATCAACCAATTCTTCCTCTCCTTCAAGATGCATAACAAAATGGCGGAGTTCAAGCATTGGATTGGGCTGTGAGTTTGATCCTGAATTGTCATTTGCAACACTGTTGTTGCCTTTGAGCAACCGCTTTAAGTCATTGCACCAGCGGCAGCATATCAGATACCGGCTCACAACAAAAATGGAAATGAGCCTGACCAATTTGCTCACCAACACTATCCCAGTTTGCATTCTAATACAGAAGTCCAAAAATTGATTTTTCATGTTGTGGGCAAGTTTCCTACCCTGCCGACCACAGATTTTTAAAGCCAATGGGCATTCTTTCCACTGAATCAACTTCTTGATCCAGTAGTGCTCTATTTTGAACTCGCATCTACAGGCCTTATTTGCTTTAATTGGGCACCTGAAATTGATGGCCGTGAACCATCGACAAGCTGGGGCAATAGTGCCTACTGCCACTGCTATAGTTTGAGTTACGAGGACTAAAGTAGTTGACCACTTATAATCAGACTCGTCATGGCAAAATTTGAAGGATCTGGGAATCAAGTAAGATCGAAGCATGGCTTGTGCTAGAGTCGCAGCACTAATAAGGCAGAATGCCCCTGAAGCGGTGCATGTTGCTGAACGCCCCATCACAAACTGAGGGTTACTAGTATGTGCCATCATCCAGTATCTCATCAGATCGTCTCTCAGTTTCTTTGGAACAGAGACATCAGTTTTGTCAGAGCATTCTTTCACAGCCAATTTAATTTTCTTACTATATTTCAGTTCAAAATAACTTTTAGTGGTTGGAATTGCCACAGCCGAAGAAGCAAAGATTGCAAGAAGAACAAGCATCACAAACATAACGATAGCATGCTGTCTCCAGAAAACAAAAATAACACCAGTTGCCAATTGAATACAGATGTTCACTATGGCAGTGATGACAAGAATTGCCAAAGCCATGAAATTCATGATGATTTCTTTGTTCTCCATGGTTCCTAGTGAAGGCAAAAAATTACCCATTACCGTGCAGATGAAGACGCCACTGCTGAGTTTTGCAAGCTGATCATGGCGGCGTGGCATCGAGGTATTGAGATCCACCGACAGTTTGATTGCCACAGCTATAAGAGTCAAGGTTGTGGCATTAAGAGAAAAGAATTTGCAAGGGAACCAGAATTTCCGGTAACGGAAGCCGTGGAAAACATCCACAGCCATGGCCATAGCGCAGGCTGCAGATGCTGCTGCTACGTAGATGCCGATCCACGGCATCGGCTCATTGAACTTTGAAACATCCAGGGTTCCATCTATGGTGCATCCCAGCCTACCCATCTTTCCGATCTTCTCTGGGTGATGCTTGTTTGTGTATCTGATACAATTTTTCCAGCTTTGAATGATTTCACTTGATGCAGGTGTTGAATAGCCAGTTTGAATTGCTAGTGAACAATGTTACACAGAGTTTGTTTTTTTTGGTTCGAAACCCTTAAGGATATGATTGGTCCTCTTTGAGCAGCCGATTGAAAATTTTATCCTCTTGGAGTGTTATTTCAAGTAAAGTGGAGCAGTTCAAAAAAGAAAAAGTCAAATGGGAGCATTGTTAGTTTTGGTTATATTGGACCCTCCGTCGGAAAAATATTCATTGCAATTTGGTATTACATCAACATCGTCATGTTGTATCATCAATCAATAATATAATGACAAATAAAAAAATAGATTCAACATAAATCAATAGTTATTGGTCTATGTGAACATATAATTACTCATTTTTTTTTCATAAAAATTAATAATTATTCAAGTGAAATTGACTTTAGTTATTTAAAATTTTATTATTAATTAGTGATATTATGTAATCAATGTTAACATAATATCACCCTTATATTGAATATTTTCTCTAACTATGGAAAAGCTTCTGCTACAACATTGTGCAGAGTGGGTCCTTCTACGGAGTCCCGATTTGAGGGATAAAGTGTGCGTGGTAATGGTAATAGTAATAATAATGGTGAGGATGCAGCAACACACTGGCATTGGCTAAGAATTGTTTTATTCAATCCAGTGTGGTCATGGCTGACGCATCAAATGCCGTCCAAGGTGAAACACTATGGTACCCAAAAATTTAAAAGTAATAAATTTTATCCCGCAAAATGATAAATTCTACTAAAAAAAAAATTGTAAGTAAACCTAAAAAAGAAATGGATCTTAAAAATTGATAAATTTCATCCAAAATATTACCAATTTTTTTTTTTTTTTCTGGTACCATATTCAAACCCATATTGAGGAGTTTCGTTTTTTTCCCTTGGTTACGATTTTACTGAAGGGCATACTATTTTTCTAGTTTCGGTATGATGGTCTTCTTCGGTTACCTTGACATTCTCTAGAACTTTGATTTCCTTTTTTTTTGACTCAAAACAACTGGTCAATACTATAAATGGATTAGCAATACTTTTGTAATTGAAAATATTTTATAATATATAAAAATTATACATTGATAGTGTAATATTTATATTTTAAATAATAATTTTTTATTACTTTAATTTAAAATTAAAGTGAACTGAAAAAAAAAGAATTTTTTTTTTTTGTTAATTTAAGAAGCTCTTAGTTTTTGTAGTTCATTTCGTTACTGTTAATGGAGTGATTTCTTTTATAAAAATGAAAATAAAAATGAAACACTATATTACAACTTATTTAATACATATGGTATGAAAAATAGGTGAGAATTCTTAATAAGGCCTTGTTTGCTTTTCATTTTTAAAATTATTCTTTTTGTTTTTAAAAAATAGTTTCTATAAGAAAAATTAGTTGGCCATTTTTTTTTAATTTTTATTTTTTAAACAATGAGAACAAAAAAATGAATAAATTTAGATAACAGATTAAAGTTATTTTTATGTGTTTTTAGAAATAACATTTTCAAAATTTAAAAATTCCATCACCGCACTTCCACCATCACCACCACACTTACACCACTACAACGTCCTCCGCCACGACGTTCACCACCAGGCCATTTTTTTTTTATTTTTTTGAGTTATTGTTTATACAAATTTTTACTATTTTGCGTGTTTTGAGAAAAAAAAAAGAGAGCCTAAAATCAGCTTATGACCGGAAATATACCTGAAGAGTCTGAGACATTGTTGGGAGATTGTCGTGCAGACAATTTGGTTAGGATCAACTTCAAGTCACACCGAATCCTTTGCTTTTTTCTTTTGTTTTTCCTTTTCTCTCTCCTTTTTCTGGGTAAATGCATTAATTGTGATGTTCATCAAATCTGCTTTGTTGTTCAGGTTTCTTTCTCCAATTCAATCCTAACCTACGAATACGATAGGGCCTTCTCTCTCTTCCTCGGCTGCGAGCCTCTCTGCAATCTGATGCTGTATGTTGGGAATGCAGTGGCGAATCTTGTTAGGGTTTGCCAACGCCATTGTTCCATCAAAATCTAAACATTGGAAACTCAGTAACTGAGACTCACTCCAAAACTCTGCTGCCCCACTGAGTTAGGTGAATACGCCTATAACCTTTGTAGAATTTTCCGTCTGCTGCTTTTAATTTATTCAAATGAAATCATGAGTTTATGGCGTAGAAATTGTTTTTCTTTTTAATTGTTTGGGGGCAGATTCTCCTTAGGTGTTAATCGAGCTGAATTCAAGCCTAAATCAAGTTGTATTTACACATAAACGAGCTGACTCGTTTGATTATTTATACGTAAATGAGCTTTAAAAAATGTTCAAGCTTGACTTGTTTAACGACCCTAATTCTCCCCACTACAACCACGCGCTTTGGCTTAACGGTAAGGTTACTTGGAGATCACTGTTTGTGTCGTGGAAACAGCTCCTCTTTCTGATTGCTGGGTTAAGTACAGCTAACCCTCCTAGAAGACCCAATAATGACCCATAATGTCGGAACCCTACGCCTTTTAGATTCTCCCTGCTATACTATACGAATGTTACAAAATTGGAGTCTATTTGTTAATTTACTGAATCAAGATTTCATATCTTATGGCTAAAATGTGTCAGATCTCTCTGATACTTTGCACCCATATCCAGCATGAATTATGTTTCTTATTCAACACTGAGATTGGAGAAATACAAATCTTATATAAGGCTAACTAGGCTGTAAATTATCCATTTGACATCAGGTGTAAATTGGTCCTATCCACAATATGCGATATCACTTACTTATAATTCTTGTTGGTTCGAATTGTTAAGCGAATAAGCTCAATTTTAACACAGAAATAGCTCACCTGAATGGAACAAAGCATGTTATTTAACAAAAACATATACTACATTAGCACTTAGTTGGATCAATATATTTCCGCCAAAGGTGAGTAAAATACCAGATCCTCGAGTGTTTTTGGAGTTTACGAGGAACCGACTTCAGTTAGTGAAGCGAGGCCTCAAACCATATCGAATAGAATAATCTGATTGAACTGAGTACAAAATAATCTGATTGAATTGAGCGAGGTATAGACAGATTATATCACTGCTTGTGTTGTGGCAAGACGAAGGGATGGAAGGAGCCGGTTTCCTGGAATTTCTTCAGATTTGTGTATTGAGGATTTAAACTCTTTTTTTACGAGAGGAATTTAAATTTTGTCATAGTTACTGCATCAACTGACTAGTCATTAAAATACCATGCATGGATTTTCGTTACATATACACGCTAAAATTTTGAATTTGTACAGTGTACATCTAAATTATTGCGTGACCTTGTTCATTTTTACATCTTACGCATTTGGATTCTCAGATTCCAATTCAATCTGGTCATAGCCAATTTAATCAGGGATATTTATATATTTATGTTATACCTGTCTACTTCTCCATCTTTTTTCTCTTTTCTCAAGTCAAGCCTCAGAGTCAATTGCTATATGCAACTCACCAGAACCAACAGAAGCTATCTCGTTAGTCAATGGACTGGAGAGCAAGTCATTCTTCTGTATCATTGTAGCCCGCCACTCATCAATATATACCACTTGATTAGGATTTAAACTGGGTAATTGATGCTGTTTGACAATTTCCACCACTTTTTCTGTTTCACCAAGAAGATGAGCTGCATCCTGAACACTCTCCTCCGTCTCTTCAATGGTCGAGGTGTAGCACTTCATGGTTATGATGTGTGGTAAACTGGTTAGACAAGCACCCAATATATCGGCCACCATTGTGGATAACTGCTCAAACAATCTCCTATTTGTCTGTTCATTAATGTTCTTGTTGTTCAGCAGTATAGTTTGGCTGATTCTGTACATTGAATTGGCAGCAATAACTTTGATGGGCCAGTGGAGAGGGTTCTCCTTCAAACTTCCATCTATGTTTCTCTTGAATTCCACTACAGTTTCTTCAGCTACATGAGCAAGCCTTTCAAGAGTATTCTTAGGAGTATTTCCTTGAAGAACCATTTTTCGGAGATCCTCGTGAAGCCACCTGCGGTGGAGTTCAACACCGAGCCACACTGTGTCTGCCGTGTGTCTTATATTCCGCAATTCTCTTCTGGCGTCCAGATTTTTGTCTACAAGTCTGCTGTACAACAGGCCTTCACTGACACTGCATACCAATCGGTCCACCGTCTCGTTTTCAATGTTGGGGAGTGCAATGGTGATGCTTGTTAGGGTCACTAGTGGGAGAGTCCAACAATTAGGAGGCTCAGAAGAATCTAGAGATGGAACTTGGTTGCTGTCAAACTCGGTCACCCCCTTAAAGCCGGTAGAATTCTCGAGCAACCCTATTAGATATTTGGGCTGCTGCTGTTTACCAATCCTAATCAAATGATTAACAACATCTCTGTTGTTCTTCATGACCCACTGAGGCAGTTCCTCTTCACCTTCAAGATGCAAAACGTATCGACTAAGATCCAGCTTTGAACCATGCTTGACTCCTGCCCTGGATTCCCAATTCGAGTCTGTGCCTGGGTCATTAGAGTTGAACTTCTTCGTGGACCCCATGCAGGAGTTGCAACACTGCAAGAATGGGCTTGTTATGAAAATGGGTAAGAGCAGAACTAATTTGCTCCCCACCACAATTAGAATCTGGACCTTAATGCATAAGTCAAGAAATAGATTTTTGGTGTTGTGGACAAGTTTTCTGTATTTTTGGCCCCCAATATGTAAAGCTAATGGGCGCTCTTTCAACTCCACCAGCCTTTCTATCCAGTAATTTTCTGTTTTAAATTCCGTTTTGTAGTTCTTGTCTCCTCTCTTTGAACTCATGAATCTAAGGGCATTGAACCATCTAAATACTGGGGCTATTGTGCCTATGCCCACGCCAACGGTCTGAATCACCAGAATAAAATAGGTTGACCACTTGTAATCCGAATGCGTTCCACCAGGAGGTGAGTGCCCAAAGTAAATTCGAAGCTCGGCTTCGGCCAAGAGGATAGCAGTCAGAAAGCAGATGGCTCCTGAAGCAGAGCAGGGAGCAGAACGTGCCATCGCAAACTGGGGGCAACCGGTTTCTGCCACCACCCAATATTTCCTCAAGTCTTCTTTCAGTTTCTCAGCCGCAGGCTTACCAGGTTCGTCTGATTCCTCACTCGAAACTTTTTTTTGCATTTCACTGTATTTCAGTTCTAGATATTTTTTAGTTGTTGGAACCGCTAAAGCAGAGAAACTCAATATCACGAACAGAACAAACACGAAAAGTATCACAATTGCCTGTTCTTTCACAAGAGTGTAAATCACCCCAGTACCTAATTGGATACATACATTCACAATAAGGGTGATCACGAAGATACCCAATGCGGTTACGTTCATCAGAATGTTTTTATCATGCATGGCTCCTAAAGAAGGCATAAAGTTAGCCATTATTGTTGACATCAAAACAGTGCTGCTAAATTTTGCTAGTTGATCAGTTTTGCTCGGCATGGGGGTACTTACATCCACAGGGAGCTTCATTGCTACACCCAGAGATGTCAGAGAAGCGGCATTGAGGGTGAAGAATTTGCATGGGAACCAGAGTTTTTGGTGGCGGAAGCCCCGGAAGGCGTCAGCAGCCATAGCAAGGCTGCAACCCAGAGATGATGCTGCAACGTACAGGCCGATCCAAGGCACCGGTGAGGTGAAACTGCCGGAATCACATCCCTCATCATACTGCGTGCAGTATGACATTTTCTTTTTTCCTCCTTTGATCTGAGTTTTTATTTTGTTTGTGGTAGGAGTTGGTTAGATTTTGTGGGGGGAAATGCTAGAACTAAGGGGTGGTAGTTATTGACTTGTCAATTTCTCATGCTTTCTTAGTTTTAAATAAAATTGTATTCATTAAATTCTTATACAAATATTCAATAGTAAAAGTTATTTTTTTTAAAAGGGGTGTAATACGATGATTTTTCAGGGGTCACCCATTTTGGTATTACTCTTACCCAAGTATGTTTAACTTTGGAGTTCTAATGACATCCAATGCATTAATAATAGTATGATCGCACCCGAGTAAAAATTAATAGGACTCACTAATCCAATCATTAATATCTCAGAGGCAAAATATAAGTTCAATGCAAGCCACACCACTTTATGGGTGCAAAGCATTCTGAAAACAGATATTAAAGTAATATTTTTAGCAATCCCTTTTCCATTATAATTGCTTGTTGAATTGTAAAAACAAGTGCTTTGATCTTGTTTCTGACAGGTTTGGATGAAAGTGTGCTAAGATCATTATTGTTAAAGGTATTGAAAAGTCGAATCTTAGAGTTGGGTAATTGGATTGAGTAGTGTTCTTTGGACTTGATTTATAAATTTTATTTTCTAATTTACTCTTTTGTTGTTAATTCAATGATAACAATATATTTATTTAAATAATTTGATTTACTCTCAATATAAATTTAAATAAAAATATATTAACTTAACTAATTAAGCTAATAAATTACGTCCACACAATATTATTAAACACGAGTTAAAACAATATTTTTTCTTTTCTAATTCCTTTTCATCCCACCCCTCCCCTTCTTCCGTTTAGGGTTTATTATTTTGAATTTTAAAGTAAATATTTAAGTATCGATCCAATGTCAGAACCGCAACGTGGTATTAATGTTGACATGGGATTATCCATTACATTGAACATCTTCCCCTAATTTTCATACCCAGCCTTTTAATAACTCTTGATTCAAATTTAAATAGAAAAATTAAAATAAGCTGCAGTGATCCCCTAGAGTCCTACCAGATAGAAGGAAAAAAAAAAAAAAAATCAAAAATCAAAACCTGACTTATTAATGGAAGAATCGATTCCTCACCCGAAAACAAACGGTGATATCTGTAGACTTGAGTCTCTGTTATTGTGACTTGAGTTAAAGATCAACAACAGCTTCAGCCAGGCACCACCCAAAAACACCACTGAGCTACCCATGAAGAAGATGATCTCCAACTCCAATTGAAAGGAGCTCGTACGAAGGCCTTCATTGACACACAACATAATGTTTCTTTGTTATGTGTGAATGTCGGAATTCTTCCAGTAATCAACAAGATGAAATCTTCTTGAAGGGTCAGTGCTGAATCTCCTGTTCTTTTAAACATTTTGGTATTTTGGTTGCTGAGTTCCCAATTGCAGTTCTACACATGAAATTAATTGGCTATTATTCTATTCTTTCATGGCTTCAAAGACATTAAATCAATTTGGTCCGATAATGGGTTATCAGTACAGTGCCATATATTGAGTTTTTTGCTGCAATCCAATCTTGTGTGCTGTCTTTCTTTACTGTTTGCTTGTGTCTGCTTATACGTAATTTACTTGGGGTATGTTACTTTTAACCACATTGTACTTTTAATTTTTACCTACTTATGTGAGAGTATAGCAGTTTAAATTGTGCTTTTATCAGTTTATGTTAATAGATTTCCAATTTGCGTCTCTAAAAATGCTAATTACTATTAGAGAATGGTCAATTGATAAAGCTGTATGGGATGCAATCATGAAGGATTTGATTTCTCCTTTTTCCCTTTTTGTTGAACTCCAAGAATATAACCACCAAACTGCCAGACCCAATTTACACCTTTAGAGTTTAGATGCCTTAAACACCACCCTTTGACTGTAATATCCCAAATTTAAAATATATATAATATTATTTTTTGGTCAATTTGTGATATCTTTTTTTTAAATGGGATGTTAGTGTAATTAAAGAATGAGGAATTGTAGGGTTACTGTAGGGTTTATTTTCCTTTGTATATAAATATATATTGTAGGCAGTTAAAAGAGAGCAAAATAATTAAATAAAAAAAAAAAGGAAGAAGAAACAAAGAAGAGGCAGCTTAGGGGAGAGAGAAAGAGAGAGAATGAAGGAGGAAAAAGGAAACAAAAAAAAGGGGTTGATTTCATTAAAGGTATGAATTGATTATTTCTCTTATGAGTTTATATTCTTATTCAATTAGATGGTGTAGGGTTTATAATGTCGGTATATATATATATATATATATATGAGTTTCATGGTATCTTGTTGATTCTTGAAATTATTATTTAGTTGTTTGAAATTGATTGAGTTTAATCAATGTGTTGGGAAGAGAAAAAAAAAAGAAGGAAAAAAAAAGGGATTTGATTTGAACTTGCAGAATATACAAGCCGGATGATATCGTTGGTCGAAGAAGACAAAGTCTTAAATTACATAATCTATCCCTTTGACTTCAAGGAACTTTGGTTTGACCCCTATATTATTTGAAATTTAATTTTAATTACTGTTTTATCGGTAAGTTGGAAGAATAGAATTTTGAAAAATTTATAACAGTCTTGAAAGTAGAAAATTCGTTTTTTAAAAAAATTACACTTTGATCCCAAAAGTTTCAAAAATTATAATTTGACCCCAAAACTTTTTAATTTTTTTTTAAACAGCCCAGAATACTTCCATACCTTATTACCTCGTATTAGAAAGCATATTTATATGTAAAATATATATTAAGTATATATCAATGGAAGTATAAAAATTAAATATAGAATCACGAAATGACGAAGTTAGGAATAGAGATTGATTATAATATATTATTTTGGATTAGGTGGTGATTGCTTTGAAGTTGAAAAAGAGTGTTTTGAATTGAATTTTGAAAATCAAGGTGAGTAGTTTACTACATCTTTTGGGAGAATTTTCTATATTTAATGTGTGGGTGTGTGCGTGTGAATTTTTCATATATATGATATATGTGTTGATATTTGAGGTTGCAATTAAATATTGTGAAATTGTGAACTGCTCTACATGTGAATTTTAGAAAACTTGTGGGATGATTTTATATTATTACTTTGGTGATGAAAGGAAAATTTTGTATGCATTAGGACTAAAACTACAGTTTTGGTGTGTGTGTGTGGAAATCAATTTATGAGACGGGGACTGGGGTTACCAGGTCTAAGGGATAACAAGAGACTGGGTCAGTCATCAGGCTAGTGATGACAAGAGACTATGCCAATTATCAGGTTAGTGGTAACAAGAGATGGAGCCAGTCATCAGGCTAGTATGACAAGAGAACTGGGCCAGTTACCAGGCTAATGGTAACAAGAGACTAGGCTAGTGGTAATAAACATGATTTGACAAATGTATTTGAAAATAAGTGTGTGTGTAAATATTTTGGGTTATAATTGTCTTTTCATTTATAAAGTTATTTGTGATAATGAAATCATTTTGTTTACATGATTATGTGGGAGGAGTTAGGGAACAATTTGTTATACTTATGTGTGCATCAAAGTTTATTTTTCTATATAAACTCTGAGATTTATTTTCACACATCATTAGAGGTGGTTGCTGTTCACTGGTTTTTGTGCTCACCCAAATATTTAACATTTTTCAGGAGAGGATCAAGGTGAGGTGTAAGTTTGCTGATATACAAGGGATTAGACGACTAGAAGATTTGTTTTATTGTAGGACTTCAGGAATAAATGTATTTTACAGTTTTGAGACAAATGTTTAATTGTTTTAAGAACAATATTATTTATGTTTAGAGTAGTAAACTTTATGGTTTAATTATTGTTTTACATGAGTTTAGTAATGATATTAGTGGTGTTTAGTTTATTCCTCTGGTATTTATTAAGTCAGTGGAATAGATCACTTTATTATTTGTCTTCCGTTGTATTTTGCATTTATTATGCACAAGATTAATTGGTTAAGACCTTGGTGGCTAGTCCACCACCCACCCTATGTGATCCGGGGTGGGGGTGTGATATTGGCCTTGGCAATAGCTTTAGTCTAGCAACAAAGTTGAGTTGAGATGCTCCTACATTGTTCAGTTGTTAGTAGAGGAAAAAGAAGACAAGAAATGTTTGGGATGAAAAAATTTCAAAAAAATTGGCCCTGGGGTAGAATGTGAGAATTTTTAAAAAGATCAGAGTAGAAATTTGAGTTTATTCATTGGATTTGTCTGTATTGGATCAAGTTGTTTACTCAATGTCCAAAAGTTTGGGCCATGGTTGGAGATGGTCTAAACATAACTATCTAAGTACTTTACCAGCTATGCCAGGACCTTCAATTGCAAGGAGTTGCTTAACAGCAATATCACAGAATGCAGATACTGCTGCTGTAGCCTTGTAGGGATGCTGATGTGATTCGTAACTTCATATTCAATATTGGCGAGATCATTAATAAGTTGATCGATTTTACATTGAATTTGTTTGCATTTTTGATGTATGCTTCATGTCAATTACTTTTGCATCAACCGTATGCTTCATTTTGCTGATCAAGTGATTTGTCAAAACGAGAGTATTGAATTGAATGTCTGATTGATGACCATGTAAAAGGACAAAAATTCAGAAAATTTCTGCCATGTGCAAAAACTATCTTGAAAATTGGACAATTTATTTTTGTTTAAACAAGCCTTGATAATACAAATGCTGAATTACATTAGCATACAAATGGAAACTAATTATAGCATCTCCAGCTAGGCTTTCTACTTGATACCTATATGCAACTCACCAGAATCGGAAGAAGTTATCTCATTGTTGCATGCGTTTTCATGCTTCATTAAAGCGCGCCAGTCCTCAATATAAGCCAGTTGATCATTATTTAAAATGGGAAGTTCATGTTGTTGAAGAATTTTTAGGATCTCTTCAGTTTCACCAAGAAGACAAGTTGCATGCCTGACAGTCTCCTCCCTCTTCTCTATGGCAATACATTAACATTTTGTAGTTACAAGACATGGTAAATTGGTCAGGCAAGCACACAATATATCTGCAATCACAACAGATAATTGCTTGAATAATTCCTCATCCGTCTGGTCCTTGCTATCTTCACAGCCCATTAGTATGGTTTGGCTGATTCTGTACATTGAGTTAGCAGCTATAACTTTGAGAGGCCACTTAAGAGGGTTCTCCATCAGCGTTCCAGCTATGTTTCTCTTGAACTCCATAACACTCTTTTCGGCTATATCAACTAGGCTTTGGAGAGTCTCCCTGGAAGTTTTTGCTTTGAGAGCTATTTTTCGAAGATCCTTGTCCAGCCACTTGTGATAAAGTTCAACTCCGACCCATACAACATCTGTTGCATGTTTTATGTTTAACAAGTCTCCTCAGGAGCTCAGGGTTTTCTCAATGAGGCGGGCATACAAAAGGCCTTCTCTCACACCAAGTACCAACTCGTCCACCATATGATTTCCAATGGTGGGAAGCGCAATTGCAATGCTTGTTAAGGTCACCACGGGCAGAGTCCAGCAATTAGGAGGTTCTTCAGAATAAGTGTGTGAAACTTCCCCACTGTCAAATTCTGCTACCCCCTTGAAGCTATAAGATTTCTGTAAAAGTTCCAATAGATTTTTTGGCTGCTGCCTTTTCCCCGTCTCAATCAATTGATTCATGTCATGACATATATTCTTCAAAATTCTTTTGGGAACTTTTACCTCACTTTCAAGTTGAAGAACAAAATCACTAAGATCCAGCTGAGTACCAGTTTCTGGTTCTGGAATTCCTTGATTAGTTGAGGCACCAATATCAGTTTCTGATTCTGAAATTCTTTGATTACTTGAGGCACCATATTCAGTTTTGAGCTTCCTTTTCAACTTCTTGCAGTAGTAAAAACATGAAAATAATGGGCTAATGAAGATGATGGAGATTAACTGAACTGCTTTGCTAGCAACCACAACGACAATCTAAAACCCTATACAGGAGTCTAGAACTAGATTTTTGGTACCTTGAACAAGTTTTTTAATTTCTGGTCCCTAATTCGTAAAGCTAAGGGTCTCTTTTTCCACTCTACAAGCCTTTGGATCCAGTAATTTTCTACTTTGAAGTCATTTGGGTAGCTGTTGCCATCTCCCTTTGAGCACTTGAAACTGATGGAAGTAAACCATCTGCATGTTGGGGCAATGGTACCCACTGCAACCCCGGTAAACTGACTTACTACAATCCAGGGGATTGACCACGCATAAGTCGAATGTGTTTTCCTATCACCTGAATACAACAAGTTCATTCGGATCTCTGCCTCAACCAAAGTGAGGGCAGTCAGTAGACAGATTGCTCCTGAAGCAGCGCAGGTCACAGAGCGTGCCATCACAAATTGGGGGCCTCCAGTTTCCGCCATGATCCAATATTTTCCAACCACGTCTTTCAGTTCTTGAACTGTAAGTTTTCCAGCTTCTTCCAATCCTCCACTTAAAATTTTTTTGTGTAATTCACCATATTTCAATTCCAGCGATCTTTTCGTCGTTGGAACAGTCAAAGCCGAGAAACTCAGGATTATGAACAAAACAAGCATGCAAATTATAACAAATATTTCTTCTGCCCATGTAGAGTAGTGAATTACGAAATTACCTATTTGGATGCAGACATCAACAATAATGGTGATTACAAGAATACCCAAAGCTGTGATGTTCATGAAAATGGTGTGGTCATCCATGGATGCGAAAGAGGTAAAAAAATTACCCATTACAGTAGTCATCAAAACAGTGCTGCTAAGTTTAGCAAGCCGGTCTATGATGCCCCACATGGCGGTGCTAAGATCCACCGGAAGCTTCATTGCCACAGCTAGTACTGTCATCCATCTTGGGTCCAATAAGTCCGAAAACCATCTCACCCTAAAATCAGGTTTTTTTTTTTGGAAGTCTTGCAAATTTGTGCTTTCGAAAATCTAATCAGTCGTGTTCCTTGAATTATTGCTCTTCAAACCTGAAATTCCTTGATGAGTTCTTGGTGAATTGTTGCTGGAAATTTTGAGAATTTTTTGTTTAGTTTCAGAAGAACTGAAAGAGAAATTATTGAGTGGAAAAAGGCAAGAGTGGTGAGAACATTGGAGGGTAAAAAACAAAAAGGCCATGTATTTTGAGTGAAACACGAGTGTAGAGTGATCCACATTCTTGAGTGTAAACACGTAAGTGAGAGAATTGTGAGGTTCTTTTATTATTATTATTATATTTTTTTTTGTTTTTAACTTTGTTTTGCAGCAATCATGTCTCATAACAATGATACGGATCTTGCTGACCCAAAATTATTTATGGAGGCCATGATGAGTGAGATGAGGCGTGTGATGAAGTTGGAACTAGAGCAAGTTCATGAACGGATAGATCAGATGGAGAAAACACAAGAAAGGCAGCCACAAAACGTCCCTAATGTGCGTAGAAGGGAAAGAGTTCAACCAAGTGAAGTAAGGGAAGAAGATGAAGAGCCTTATGGGGCTGGTTTTGATGAAAAAATGATCAGAATTCTGTTGTTAGGAGGCATGTAGGGCAGTTTAGAGAAGCTAGGAACCGGGAAAATAACAACTTGGGTGGTATTAAGATGAAAATTCCATCCTTTCAAGGTAGATCCGATCCTGAAGCATACCTTGAGTGGGAGAAGAAGATGGAGTTCGTATTTGACTGCTATAACTATTCTGATGCAAAGAAGGTAAAATTAGCAGTGATTGAGTTTTCTGACTGCGCTATTACTTGGTGGGATCAGCTTGTTATAAACCAAAGGCAAAATAGAGAACGTCCAATAGAGACATGGGAGGAGATGAAAGCGGTGATGAGAAAGCGGTTCATTCCAAGCTACTACTATCGAGAGTTGTACAAAAAATTACAAGGTCTTAGACAGGGAAGCCGAAGTGTGGAGGATTACTACAAGGAGATGAAGATTGCTATGATCCGAGCTAATGTAGAGGAAGATCGAGAGGCTACCATGGCTAGGTTCTTACTTGGATTAAACCGGAAAATCCAAGATAAGGTGGAGATGCAACATTACGTGGAGTTGGAAGATATGGTGCACATGGCCATCAAAGTGGAGCAACAACTCAAGAGGGGGGGTGGGTCACGTGCAACCCATAACTCTAGTTCTAATTCTTGGAAATCGAGTTATACCAAGCAACTGGACAAGTCACCAATGTCCAAAGCCGAGCCCAAGTCCGCGAACACCAGCCACATTCCTCAAGGTAAAATCGACTCTTCTACCTCTAGGAATCGTGACATTAAATGTTTTAAATGTCAAGGCAGGGGACACATAACAAGTCAATGTCCAAACAAACAGGTCATGGTGTTGCAAGGCAATGGTGAAATTGTGACTGACGAAGATGATTCTGACACCAATGGCATGCCACCATTGGAGGATGTTCCCGAGGAGGAATATTTAGCCCCTGATGCATTGACATTGGTGGCAAGGAGAGCATTGAGTGTGCATGCGAAGAGGTTGATGAAGTGCAGCGGGAGAACATCTTCCACACTAGGTGCTACATCAAAGACAAGGTGTGTAGTGTAATTATTGATGGTGGTAGTTGTACTAATGTTGCAAGCACAATTATGGTGGAGAAGTTGAGACTACCCGTGTTGAAGCACCCTAAACCATATAAGTTGCAATGGTTGAATGATAGTGGTGAGATAAGGGTGAACAAGCAGGTGTTAGTTGCATTTCGAATTGGTAAGTACAAAGATGAAGTGTTGTGTGATGTAGTACCAATGCAAGCTGGACACTTATTGCTAGGGCGTCCATGGCAGTTTGATAGGCATGTGAAGCATGATGGCTTTACAGACAAATACTCCTTTGTGCTTAATCAACGATCAATCACTCTTGTACCATTGACATCGCAGCAAGTATATGAGGATCAAGTGAGATTGCAAAAAGATAGTGATCAAAAGAAAGAGAGTGAAAAAAAGAAAAAGAGTGAAAATCAGAGAGAGGCCGAGAAAAATGAGAGAGAAAAAGAAAATCAAAATGCGGCCATTGAAAAAAAATCAGAGAGGAAACAAAAGAATTTCTATGCAAAAGTGAGTGAGATTAAGAGAGCCATGTTTTCAAATCAGCCGATGATTGTACTTTTGTACAAAGAGGCACTTTTAAACACTAACGAACTTGACCTTGCTTTGCCTAGTTCTGTTGTTTCTCTTTTGCAGGAGTATGAGGATGTCTTTCCAGAGGAAACACCACATGGGTTACCTCCAATCCGAGGGATTGAACATCAAATTGATTTTGTTCTCGGTGCAACAATTCCAAACCGACCAGCCTATAGGAGCAATCCCAAGGAGACAAAGGAGCTTCAACGGCAGTAAGTGAGTTGTTGGAGAAAGGGCATGTGAGGGAGAGCATGAACCCATGTACTATTCCAGTTTTAATTGTACCTAAGAAGAATGGGACGTGGAGAATATGCGCCAATTGCCGGCCCATCAACAACATAACGGTAAAGTATCGTCATCCTATTCCTCGCTTAGATGATATGTTAGATGAGCTGCATGGATCTTGTGTATTTTCTAAGATTGACTTAAAGAGTGGTTATCATCAGATTAGAATAAAAGAAGAGATGAATGGAAAAAAACCTTTAAAACAAAATATGGTTTGTATGAATGGTTAGTTATGCCCTTTGGATTGACTAACGCTCTGAGCACCTTTATGAGACTTATGAATCATGTTTTGCGTGAATTTATAGGCAGATTTGTTGTTGTCTACTTTGATGATATACTCATTTATAGCAAAAACATGGACGATCATGTAATACATTTGAAATCTGTTTTAGATGTGCTTAGGAAAGAAAAGTTGTTTGCTAATCTAAAGAAGTGTACTTTTTATACCGATAAGCTTGTATTTCTGGGTTATGTTGTTAGTGCACAAGGTATACAGGTTGACGAAGAGAAGGTACGTGCAATCCAAGAATGGCCGAATCCCACAAGTGTAAGTAATGTTCATAGTTTTCATGGACTTGCTAGTTTCTATCGGCGGTTTGTGAAGGACTTTAGTAGCATAGCCGCACCACTTACCGAAGTGATCAAGAAGAACGTTGGATTTAGATAGGGTGAAGAACAAGAAAAGGTGTTTCAATTAATCAAAGAGAAGCTAACTAACACCCCCTTATTGTATTTACCTAACTTTTTGAAAACGTTTGAGATTGAATGTGATGCTTCAGGTATTGGCATAGGAGCAGTGCTTATGCACGAAGGACGACCAATTGCTTACTTTAGCGAGAAACTAAGCGGGGCAGCCTTAAAGTACTCAACTTACGATAAGGAGTTGTATGCATTGGTTCGAGTTTTAGAGACTTGGCAACACTACCTATGGCCTAAGGAATTCGTGATTCACACCGATCATGAGTCCTTGAAACACTTGAAGGGCCAACACAAGCTAAATAAAAGGCATGCACGATGGGTGGAGTACATTGAAACGTTCCCATACGTCATCCGGTATAAGCAAGGTAAGGAGAATGTGGTTGCCGATGCACTTTCTCGCAGGTATGCATTACTCTCTACACTTGATGCAAAATTCCTTGGTTTTGAGCAAATTAAAAATTTATACGTTGATGATCACGAATTTTGTGAGGAATACCGGGCTTGTGAGAAAACCGGTAGTGGTAAGTTCTTTAGGCTTGATGGATTCTTATTTCGAGAGAATAAGTTATGCATGCCTAATTGTTCCTTGAGGGAGTTGTTAATGCAGGAATCTCATGGTGGGGGATTAATGGGACATTTTGGGGTTACAAAAACTTTAGCTGTATTGCAAGAACACATCTATTGGCCTCACATGAAAAGAGATGTTGAGAGAATTTGTGGTAGATGTATCACATGTAGGCAAGCTAAATCCAGAGTGCAGCCCAATGGTTTGTATACTCCTTTACCAATTCCTAGTGAGCCATGGATTGATATTTCAATGGACTTTGTGTTAGGATTGCCTAGGACTAAGTGTGGGAGAGATTCAATTTTTGTGGTTGTGGATAGATTCTCTAAGATGACACACTTCATTCCATGTCACAAAACGGATGATGCTTCGCATGTTGCTGACTTGTTCTTTAGAGAGATTGTGAGATTACATGGCATGCCTAGAACAATTGTTTCAAATCGAGATGCTAAGTTCTTGAGCTATTTTTGGAAGACCTTGTGGTGTAAGCTAGCTACTAAGCTATTGTTTTCTACTATTTGTCATCCCCAAACTGATGGTCAAACTGAAGTAGTAAATAAGACAATGTCTACTTTATTGAGGGCAATCATTAAAAAGAACATCAAAACATGGGAAGAATGTTTACCACATGTTGAGTTTGGTTATAACCGATCCATTCATTCTGCTACTAAATTTTCACCATTTGAAATTGTGTATGGATTTAATCCTTTAACCCCATTGGATTTATCTCCTTTACCTTTGACTGAGCATGTTAATTTAGATGGCAAGAAGAAAGCTAACTTTGTCAAGCAGATTCATGAGAAAACAAGACTCAACATTGAGCGAAGAACGGAGCAATACGCAAAACAAGCCAACAAGGGACGTCACAAGTTGATTTTTGAACCCGGAGATTGGGTTTGGCTGCATATGAGAAAAGAGAGATTTCCGGCGCAAAGACGTTCCAAATTGCTTCCAAGGGGAGATGGTCCTTTCCAAGTCCTGGAGCGCATCAATGACAACGCCTACAAGCTAGAGTTACCTGGTGAGTACAGTGTAAGTGCTACTTTTAATATTACTGATTTGAGTCCTTTTGATGTAGGTGATGATTTGAGGGCAAATCCTTTTCAAGAGGAGGGGAATGATGCAAATCATAACACAATTTCAAGGGATTTAGTTCAAGTTCCAAGTGGGCCGGTTACGAGAGCACGAGCAAGGAAGTTTAAAGAGGTACTCAATGGACTAATTCAAGAGGCATGAAATCAAGCAAGTTTGTGGAGGCCCATTGACCATGATCCACTTGGGCAACAAAGATTCATCAACATGATTCAAGTTCTAGAAGAATCCAGCTAGGGGCTAAGGCTAAGATTCAATTGATTTATTGTTGTTAAGGCCTCCAATTTGTCTAAAGGATTAGAATTATTAATAAGTGGGCCTGAGGATGCTTAGCCCACATGTTTTATTTCTTATGAAGTAGGGTTTTCAAAGTTACTGTAGCGTGCACTGTTCATGCTACAGTACGTGCATTATTCTTTATTTTTAGGGTCTAATTGTAAGGCTTGTATGCCAAGTACTTTCCTTTTTCTATTTAGGCATGTGCTTAGTCATTTAAAGGGCTGAATGTCTTTCCTTTTTTCTTCAAGAGTTTTAGGAAAGTAAGAGATATTTCTTTACCCACAAGTAAGAGATATTTCCTAAGTAGGATAGCTATTTTAGGAAGATTCCTAATCCTTGTAATGACCAGCCTATAAATAGGCATTTAGATCATTATTCAGCAAATTTTGAGAGTGTTTTTTCTTTGGTTCTTTGAAGAACTAAACGAACTTATCGGAATTCTCCGTGGCGTTCACCAACGACTTGTCAAACGGGTTTCCACACCGTTTGTGGCGTCTTCCTTTATACCGAGGTTCTTGTTTCACAAACAGTGAGTTGATGTCTATATACCAAGGTTCTTGTTTGTTGTAAACAACGAGTCAAGGTCTACCATAAAATCTGTTCGTTAAACGATCTTAGATTCTTTTCGTTGTTGGTTCTCGTTATTCCGGCGGTATCACATCACAATGGCCGACACCCACACCTTCAAGTTCACTTTCTCATCATTGATTTATTTTTAACTTGTTTATATTGATACGTAAGTGGCATTGAATATTCATGGCTGTTGGGAACCTGCCCAAAAGGCACATGTGGATGATAAAACAGAGGTTCTGCCTTCTCATGCAAAAGCATATTTTATGTGCTGGATCAGCATCATGAAATCATAATAATACGATACCCATTGTAAGCTCTTGTCATTACTTGATCACATTAAGTTTATCTTCGTGGCATGAAACGATACAATTCTAATATGTTATGGTCTCATTTTATCTCAGCTTTAATTTTTTACGTTTCTGTTAAAAGCTGGACACTAATGCTTTAGTGGTCTGTCTAATTTACAACCGCCTTTAAGATCTTATTTTCACATCATTATCCTTATTGTATAAATATGTTCTAAATAGGAGGCGTGACTAATCCTAACATAACATTTATACAAATTCAAACAACGCCAAAATTATGCAAAAACTAAGGCGATGTTATTTTTATTTATAAAGTTTTAATAATGCAAATGCTGATAACTCAACTACACATATGAAGACAAACCGATTACAACTTTTCAGATGGTCTCAGCTAGACTTCCTACTCAATACCAATATGCAACTCACCAGAACCTGAAGAAGTTATAACATTATTCGATGAAGATGTGACGGTTAAGGGGTTTTTGTGTTGTAGTAAAGCGCGCCACTCATCAATATAAGCCAATTGATCAGGACTTAAGCTTGGAAGTTCATGCTGTCGAATAATCTTTATAATCTCTTTAGTTTCACCAAGAAGACGTGCTGCATCCCTGACACTCTTCTCCCTCTTCTCTATGGCACTAGAATAGCATTTTGCAGTTATAAGACGCGGTAAATTGGAAAGGCATGCACCCAATATATCTGCAATCATAACAGACAATTGCTCGAACAATTCCTCATCAGTCTGGTTCTTACTCTCTTCATAGCTCATCAGTATTGTTCGGCTGATTCTGTTCATAGAATTAGCAGCTATTACTTTGACAGGCCAATTGAGAGGGTTCTCCATCAGACTTCCATTCATGTTTCTCTTGAACTCCATGACAATCTTTTCAGTTATATCAGCTAGGCTTTGAAGAGTTTTCCCAGAATTTTTTGCATTGAAAGCTATTTTTCGAAGGTCCTGGTCCATCCACTTGCAATAAAGTTCAACTCCAACCCATACGATGTCTACTGTATTTTTAATGTTCAGCAAATCAACTCTGGAACACAGATTCTCCTCAACTAGGCTGGCGAGCAAAAGGCCTTCTCTTACACTACGTAGCAATTGGCCCACCATTTGATTGTTAATATTTGGAAGTGCAATGGCAATGCTTGTTATGGTCACCACAGGCAGAGTCCAACAATTAGGAAGTTCTTCACAATGAGTGCCCTGAATGTTTACCCTGTCAAATTCTGCTACCCCCTGGAAGTTGTTACATTTCCATAAAAGCTCCATTAGATATTTTGGTTGCTTCCTTCTACCCATCTGAATCACTTGATTCACGCCATGACACATATTATACAAAATTGCGTTGGGCAATTTTCCCTCACCTTCAAATTGTATAACATAATTACTAAGATCCAACTTTGTATCGGTTTCAGGTTCTGAAATTTTTGGACTTATTGAGACACCAGATTCAGACATGAGAGTTTTTCTCAACATCTTGCAGTAGTAGCAACATGAAAAGAATGAGCTTATAACGATAACGGGGATTAGCAAAATTGCTTTGCTCACTACCACAATTGCAATTTGAATACCTATGCAACAATTTAGAATAAGATTTTTAGTACCTTGCACAAGTTTTCTCAATTTTCGGCCCCTAATTCGCAAGGGTAAGGGTCTTTCTTTCCACTCTACCAACCTTTGGATCCAATATTTTTCTACTTTGAATTCATTCAAGTAGCTGTTGCCATCTTTTTGGGAGCACTTGAAGCTGATGGCAATAATCCATCTGAATGTTGGGGCAACAGTACCCACTATAATCCCGATAATTTGAATCACAACAATCAATGGGATTGACCACCCATAACTCGAAGAATGTTTCCAATAATGATAATAATATTCAAAACCAGGTTTAATTGTGATCGATGAGACCCTTACAGTAAGAGCTGTAGTCAACACAAAGATTGCTCCCGAAGCAATGCAGATCACGGAACGGGCCATCACAAATTGGGGACCACTAGTTTCTGCCATCACCCAATATTTTTTAACAACTACTTTTAGGTTTTGAACTGAAAGCTTTCCGATCTCCCCTAATTCTTCATTGAAAATTTTTTTGTGTAATTCATCATATTTCAATTCTAAAGATCTTTTAGTCGCAGGAATCGTCAAAGCTGAGAAACACGATGTTACGAACAAAATAAACATGAAAATGATAACAAAAATTTCCAGTGTTGTTTGGAAGTGAAGTAGGGAAGTAAGTAATTGGATAAAGATATTTACAATGATGGTGATCCCAAGAATACCCAAGGCAGTGATGTTCATGAAAATGGTGTTGTCATCCATGGATGCGAAGGAGGTTAGAAAATTACCCATTACAGTGGTCATGAAAACATTGCTGATTAACTTTGCAAGCTGGTCTAGATATCCTTCCATTGCAGATGTAAGATCCACAGGCAGCTTCATTGCCACGGCTAATATTGTGAGGGAAGCAGCATTGACAGTGAAGAATTTGCATGGGAACCAAAGTTTTTTGTGGCGGAAGCCGTGGATGACATCTGCAGCCATAGCAAGGGTGCAGACTAGAGATGCTGCTGCAACATAGAGGCCAATCACTGGCATAGGTGCTTCGTATTTGTTTTGTGAGCGTGTCATATTTAAGAAGACGGTAAACTGATCGTAGCAATAGGTGTTCGTGTTCCTTGAAGAGTCGAGCAAGTAGCTCTCCACCGAGTCTGAGCAAGACTGGTCCATTTCCTACACCTTTGGAGATAGAACTTGTGCTATTTTGTACACCGAATTAAGTGCAGTGGACACAAGTTCTACTATTTTTCTTCCTGCAGGATGATGCAAATGAAGGGTAGACATACAAGTTGGATCTGGCAATGAAAAGTGGTTACATTTCCAAGTCAATTTTTTTAGTCTTCCGCCATGGTCCCACTCCAAAGACCTTTTTTGCATATTCTATAAGATTCCTATGAAGCAAAATTCATATTCTAGGGTGTAATATGAGAAATTTTATAGTTGAGGGTATAAAGTAAAATAAGAATAATAATTAAGAGGGTAACATATAATTTACCCTTGAAAATATAATTGAGAGTTAGTTGAATTTTGCATATGTATATTTTAACTTGTCTAAATAAAGTGCTTAATGAAAATTGATTTTTGGTGATTAGCTCTCGAAAATAGAGAGTTAAATAAAAATAAAGAGCCTATTGAAAATAATATTACCTGCAATTTACATCTTTATAAATAGAGATAATATTACAGACATAGTCGAAAATTAATCCCTCTAATATTCCCTACATTTACACCATTTAAATTAGGCGAGAGTAATTTAATTTATTGATTTAATAATGTAGCATCAAAGTGGTCTAATAGTACTAAAGTAACTTTAGTTATATCACTTGAAAAAATATATAAGTAAATTAAGTCAAATTTTTAGATTTTATAATAATTTTTTACTCGGGAGTAGTTATCCACAAAAAGTCGTGTGGGTCACCCAAAGACTTTCATCGAAGTTGCATGGTAAAGAGACATCAAATGACCACATTCACAATGGAGACTAAGGAGGATGAATCTTCGTTCTATATTTGCTAGAATCTAGGAGGATACGAAGAATGGGTTTAAGTGATTCGAAAAAGTTATTTTTCGGTCTAATAACTCCATTTTTGTAAAGTGAAAACTTGACAAATTTTTTGGTCTTCAACTTTCAAACTTTCCAAGAAACAATGGTTTATTTGGAAAAAAAAAAAAACTGTGTAGATATCCCAGTAGTTTGTATAATGAGTGAGTGAAATAATACTTTCTATTTAGACATAGTCGAAAATTAATCCCTCTATTATTCCCTACATTTACACCATTCCAAATTCGGCTAGAGTAATATTATGTGTAGATGTCCCATTGGTTTGTATAATGAGCGAGATAAAATGGTATTGTCTAAATGTTTGTATAATGAGTGAGTTGGAATGATATTTTTTATGTAGACCAAGTGAATCGACATACATAGATAGTCATAGCTAAATTGCACCAATTCTAAAATAATTTAAGTGACAACACGGACGAATTGTAAATTGAATGATTTGACTAATAAATGAAACTAAATTAGACATAGAAGTTATTTAGGTGTGCAGATTCCTCCCGTCTCCCACTTGCTAAAAGGTAGGACTTATTCCTCCTGTCTCCCACTTTGCTAAAAGCTTTGCCCTTTTTGGTTTGACAGAAACAATTTAGTGGTTAACTTTAGATGCCGACACTGAAATGGGTTAACAATACATTTCCACGCCAATAGTCTTGGTCTTCCACCTACTCTTTAACTTTACATTTCCAAGTCAATAGTCTAGGTCTTCCACCAACTCTTCCACACAGTCACAAAGAGGTTTAATCTACACAGATCACAACATTCATAACATAACATTGATTTTTAAAGAAATATTGGTGATTATTAAATGAGTTTATTTGAAACCGACAAATAAATTTATTGAAGTTTGTCTTGTTTTATATTATCGATTTACGATTCACTTCATCAGAGATTTTAGTTTGAAAATTAATTTCTATAATGTTATTTACATTTTCACCATTCAAATTGGGTTAGAATAATGTTATTTGAACTTAAAAAAATTAACATAATTTATTAAATTAATGATATGACACTAATATAACTTTAATCGGAATTTGCTTGGTTGAGACATCAAATGACCACACTCATCGTTGTCCGGATTCCAAGTCGTTTTGTGGTAGTAGACTTGAATTTTCTTCATTGGCCTCATAATGACAATTGAGAATGTATTTCCATTGGATATTTCTTGAAAGAGTAATGTTACGGAGATTTAAATTTTAATTTAATTTGATGACTTAATAATATAATTTTATTGTAATTGTTGGATTAACATTAAATTTTAATGTTTGATAGATCCCATGATTAATACAATGACTATAATAAATTAGGTCAACAAATTAAATTATTTTATAATCTTCACATCAATTACTTAAACATGAAAGAAAAAATTACCTAAAGATAAAAATAAATGACATAAATCATAATTTTGATCAAAAGATTTACCTTTGTGAAGTCTAAAAGTCCAATTAAACGAAAATTACAAAAAATAAGAAATTGTGAGCTAACCTAATCAAAATTACCCTTTGCTGAAGAAATTTTTCAGAACAAGTATTGTTGTCAATGTGCAATGAAAAAGCAGTGGTCAGTGCTTTATGTTGTAATTCTTTTATTTCTATTGGTGTATTTCAAAAGTCAAAAAACTCATTGTCTTGTACCGATTTGAATTAGAACACATTTAGTTACTTGTCTCTTTTACGTTGTCCTTGTCCAATGATCTTTTGCTCGTACCCCTTAAGAGAGTACGGACGTTAGCTGAATAATTCAAAACATTTTACTAGGAATAGTCTTCTGAACATTTTGAAATTGTCACCGATTAAAACTTATTCAAGTTTGTTTATTTATATAAAAAAACAAAATTTGAACTTTATTTTAATTTTTTTTTAGTATACAAATCAAACCCGAGAGCAATCACTTGTTTGAAACATTTAGGCTTGTGAAAACATATGCAATTATTATATACACACACAAGAGTTTAAACTCAAATATAAGTTTGATGTCAACTTGTTGATTAAACGAGTCGAGGTTGAGTACAAATAAAAATTAATGAGACAAACTAGAATAACATTTTTGAAATTCATCAATAATGAACTCTCTTTGTGAATGAACAAATCAAGGTCAAATAATCTGGTGTAGGATTTAATTTGGTTCATTTACACCGCAAAAAAAATAGACTCAAATCAATTGTAAATTGCTCAAAAAAGTTAGATAGGTTCTAACGACACCACTTGATCAATTATCCACAAAAGTCTTCTTTTTTTTTTTCTTTTGGGTGAGTAGTTATCCACAAAAGCCGCGTGGACCACCCAAAGACTTTCATGGAAGTTGCGTGGTAGAGACTAGGCAGACATCAAATGACCACACATTCATACTGGAGAATTCGACCGTAATCCTGATTCCAAGTCAGTGGACCCGAGGTGTTGCATTTATAACTCAAGCTACGAACTTTTTGGTCTTTGATTTGTAAACTTTCCAAGAAAGAATGGTTTATTTGGGGGAAAAAAACGAAGAAGAAGTTGTGTAGATGTCCCATTGGTTTGTACAATGAGTGAGTTGAAATGATACTTTCTATCGATCCCTGTTGTGTTTATATCAATATTCAAATTAGTAAAAAAACATGTTCAAATTGAAAATATTCCATTCACTACCAGATTAAAAAATGAGAGTAAGCCGACTTTTTTTATTATACATGCTATTAAAGGTGATTCATAAACCAAAAATAATAATATTTCACATATTAGCATAAATTAACCATTATCTGAACAATATATTTTTGGAGAACTTACCGATAAGTTGTATGAGGTTAATCTATGAATACAATCATTCACAAAAATTCATCAAAGTATACTTTTTTTATTTCTCCTTCCACAATTTTAATTAATTAGAAAAGAATTATAATTTTAAGGAGTACAAAATTTTTTTTTTGATTATTCAAAACAAAAATATTTTATTAAGAGATAAAATTAAAAATATTAATGTAAATTTCTATTTTTATACTACATAAGATTCACTCGCATATGAACTCTTATATGTCAATAAGGGTAGATGTTTTGATAATTAAATGTAAGACTTACTTGGGTTTTAATTTAAGATACACAAAACATATTCCAATAAATAAAATTGAACATAAAATTATAAAAAAAAATATAATTTGTGCGTTCATAAAAAGGATAAAATTGAAACAAAAATAAAGCATTAATGGAATTTAGTATTTCTTTGGAACAAATAATAAAAATATGACTTAATTGTATAAAAATAAATATGATGGGATTTAATAATTTTTTATGAAAAGAAGTAAGACTAATTAATAATTTTTCCTTTTGAATTACAGATCAAACTTCAACAAACTATTCAATTCGACTCCTACATACAATCTCAAGTTCACCCGCGAATCAAACTAGAAGCTTATTTTGTCAAAAATGTAAGGCCAAAGGCCAGAAAATCTGTTCAATGCCTAAAAGGATTGGGCCGGACCGTACCGGCCCAAAACTAAATCAGAATTTCCATGTGTTTCGGGTTCATTTGCTGGTACTCTTCGGCTTAATGGACCTACCACCAAATGGAGCCCCATTGGCCATTAGTCTATTGAACAGAACCTTTCCCAATTCACACTAGTTTTGGTTTACAAAGTTTTTTTTTTTTGTGATTTAGGAATGTCAAAATATGATATGATTCGTTAATACAACACGAAATTAAAAAATTTGAATATACGATACAAACTCGATATGATACGACTCGTTAGCCACAATTAAACATGGATCGAGTGTTTTTTAACATTAATTTGTTTTACCCCATAACAACCCACTATAAATTCCTTATTTGGTAGTTGATATGAGAGTGAGAGAGAGAGAGAGAGAAAAGAACGAACTTGTAGAAAATCACGATCGATCTTTCTCCACTATCATTTATCCATTTCACATCCTTGTAAGTCTTGTCTGCAACACTCGGTCACCCTGAAAGCCCAGCATCAAAACATGCCCACACTTTTCACTCGTCTTTGACATCCACCATATCTGGCAATTAATATCGTGAACAAGTGCATTGATAAGGCTTGCTCATAATTGTGGATCAACTCTCACTGCCTCATTGCTGCTTCTTGATCTCTAGATTTGACGACCTATTCTAATTCTGGTATTTTATCCAAACAATGACACATTACTTCTTAATTAGCAATGCTACTCGGACCTAATTCACTGTCATAATTTGTTGACCTAATCACTCATAACTATTGGACTGATAGTGAACCCCGATATTTGTCGGGATCTACAATCAATAGGTCAGCAAATTAGGTCCAAAATAGCATTATTGCTTCTTAATTTAGCTTGATACCATAAGTTTATGCTGCTTTTGTTTCACAATGATAATACCATAAGTTTATGCTGCTTTTGTTTCACAATGATAATGTCATTGGGTGTTCACGACGACAGCTTGATACCATAAGATTGATATCGATTGTTATATTATGGCCTATAATACTCATCCCACTTGTGGTTCTATGTCTACCTAACCGTGAACCTAAAGGCTTTTCGGTATCAATTTTTAGGTGATTGATTTTACTCTTTACTGAAAAAATAAGGAGTTATTTTATAAGAAGTATACATTTAAGAATTTTGTGAAAACTTGACAGAGAATATTAACAAATGTGAGCATTATTCTGTCTTGAGCAGGCTAATGGTTCAGATGCATATATCTATCTTATGAATGAACTTTGTACTTGAAGGAAAGCAGCTGGACTTTCAATCATCTGGGGTTCTATTTGCTGTGAGGATCATTTTGAATGGTTAGTACCATTACTCCATCCTCAACATTCTGCTTTTGTCTCCATCTCTCCATTATCCCAACTAACATATTTGGCCATGGCATGTCAATGCTACAGGGCACAGGATAAATTGTCTGAATGCAGGTGTAGAAAACAGTGCTTATATTGTCAACAAGCATGCCCAGAATGAGAACTATATTCAGCTGAGTGACTTTATTTTTTGAAGAGGTCATGGAGAGTCCACTATCATCAGGTTTATATGCATCTCATCTCATCGTTTTCTGGCTTGTGTAGTGGATTGTATCCAGTGGTGGCATTCAAGGGTTGTCAGTGTGTCTGCAGTAACTCAAGTCTGATGAATTAATTGGCAAAAGCATCCCAATTTTTGGCAAGTTCTTTAGCATATTGTCATAGGTTTTCGACTTCCTGAAAGAAAAAAAAAGAATTTAGGTTTTTGTATCAGGGTCTATGTTGCAGTCAATCAGGATACGTCCATATCCAATTGGGGGTTTGTTGGGCCATATAGGTGCTGCTCAGTGCCTGGCTTATCTCATGTTGATGCTTCATGTGTTGTAATTTGTATATACACAGTTAGAGAGGAAGCTGCCTTGCCTCTTCGCAGTATTAACTCGGTTCATTTGCATGACTTGAGTTTCTTTTATCCCTTCTTATATATTTGTATACTAGGGTATTTGTATGCAAAACACGTTTTTTCTATTGTAGTTAAAAAAAGGTTAAATATAAATGGATCGAGTTATTGTGGCTAAAAATTTAAAAATTTTGTATTTTATTATATAGATTTTTGGACTATTATGCTTACAAGTAAGCATGGAGAAATGGAGCAAATCTGGATAGGGAAAAAAAAAACATCTAATTAATCGTCATGAGATGCTACTTATTTGGCTTTTTAACCATTTTAGGTGGTAAATGCTTGCTAATTGTGAGTACCTTGACAGACAGAGCTATAACGTGCATGTTCAGTCCAAATTTTTCCCAAGACATCCGTCCAATTACTTTTTAATTTTCCTAATTGTAAAAAGGTTGTAAATAAACACCCAGTGATTGATTAAACTTGTGATTAATGTTAATTCGAAGTAATTTATTGATTTAATCATTCTCATATTTGTTTAAGATCTCCAAGCAATCTAATGATCATGATTGATTAAAGGAAAATTTTCATCTACACCCCTTCTAAATAGGTTTATCTTCAACGATACCCCTTGCCTTTTTTAAAACTTCATTGACCTCCTCTGTCAGTGTTGGTCGGCTAACGGACGTGACGGAAACCCATATTTTACCATTTTACCCATGAATTTTATTAAGAATTACATATTCACTAATTATTTTTCATTAAACTATATATAAATATATATTCCTATTTCCAAGTGTTATGTGCAGTGCTATTAAACTATATATAAATATTATATAGTTTAAGTGTACAGTTTCATTGATTTTTTTTTTAAATTTTTAAAAAAAATAATTTTGAATTTTTTTTTCTTGTATTATGTTTAAACATACAATGTCACCGATTTTTTTTAAAAAAAAATTCTAGAAAGATTATTTTGAATTTTTTTTCCTTATATTATATTTAAGCATATGGTGTCACCGTTTTTTTTTAAAAATTATTTTGAATTTTTTTCCTTATATTATGTTTAAGCATACGGTGTCACCGTTTTTTTTTTTTTTTTTTTAAATTTCTAAAAAAATTATTTTAAATTTTTTTTTTGTATTGTGTTTAACCGTACAGTATTACATATATATTTTTTTTAAATTATTTTTGAATTTTTTCCCTTTATTATGTTTAAGCGTACAATGTCACCGTTTTATTTTTAAAAAAAATTATTTTGAATTTTTTCTTTATATTATGTTTAACCGTACGATGTCACTGGTTTTTTTTTTTTAAAAAAAATTTCTAAAAAAGTTATTTAAATTTTTTTTTTTGTATTATATTTAAGCGTACAACGTTACCGATTTTTTTAAAAAAATTATTTTGAATTTTTTCCTTATATTATGTTTAAGCGTACAATGTTATCGATTTTTTTCTTGTATTATGTTTAAACGTACGGTGTTACAGGTTTTTTTAAAAAAAAATTATTTTGAATTTTTTCCTTATATTATGTTTAAGCGTACGGTGTTACCAATTTTTTTTAATTTTTTTTTAAATTATTTTAAATTTTTTTCTTATATTATGATTTTACATTTAGTTGATTGAGTTATTGAGGCATGAGAGAGAGAGAGAGAGAGGGACAAGGGTTTCATGTGGAATAAGAAGGGTAAAATTGACATTTTATAAAAAATTTGGTATGACATCAACATTTTTCTGATTGTCAATAACGGCCGGTTACAGTAAGAGGTGTCTTTGATTTAATAGCGTAAACTAGAAGGGAGTGCAGTGAAGATTCAGAATGGAGAGGGGGTGTCTTTGAATTTATGCTTAACTAGAGGGGGTGTTGATGAAATTTTTCCTTGTTTAAATCAATAATTTAAGTTTAAATAATATTATTGTAATCCGATTATTAATCTTCTTAAACTGGTTGTGTACCCAGATCAAATTGGGCCATGGATTTGTCTGTAAGTCGGCAAACCACCTCATTTGGCCCGCCATTAAATTTTATTTTGGGATAATTACGTTCAGATCACTTGAGGTTTGTTACTTAATCACTTAAATTTTTTTACATTTAAAATATTACACACAAATCTTTTAAGATTTATCACTCAGATCCCTTGATATTTAAAATATTACACACAAAATTCCTAACGCTAACATGCGCATAATACTTAAACCCCTATTATAAATATATTCGATAATAAGTTACACCTAGACTCCCTAAAATTTGTAAACACATATTACTTATACCCTTTAAATTTAAAATGTTATACTTAGATCAAAAATATTTGAATTGAAGATAGAATATCAAATATTTTAAATTTTACAATTAAAATTCATATTTTATTGTACCATTTATTGAACTAAAATAAAAAAAAAATTCAACTTTTCCTTAAAAAATAATACACATATTTGTAATAAATTACACCTAGGCTCCCTAAAATTTGTAAACACATATTACTTATACCCTTTAAATTTAAAATGTTATACTTAGATCAAAAATATTTGAATTGAAGATAGAATATCAAATATTTTAAATTTTACAATTAAAATTCATATTTTATTGTACCATTTATTGAACTAAAATAAAAAAAAAATTCAACTTTTCCTTAAAAAATAATACACATATTTGTAATAAATTACACCTAGGCTCCCTAAAATTTGTAAACACATATTACTTATACCCTTTAAATTTAAAATGTTATACTTAGATCAAAAATATTTGAATTGAAGATAGAATATCAAATATTTTAAATTTTACAATTAAAATTCATATTTTATTGTACCATTTATTTAACTAAAATAAAAAAAAATCAACTTTTCCTTAAAAAATAATAATTAGTATACAATTATATTGTCTATTGGAATTTAATTTAGCCGTTTAAACAACCAAATTAAAATACCAAACTACTCGAATTAAAGCTAAAAAATATTGTGTCTATTACAGTTTGATCTTTTGCTTAATTTTTTAATTTTATTCTAATAGATAATATAATTATATATTAACTATGATTTTTTTTAAAAAAACTAGATTTTTATTTTTGATTTAATTTTAATAAATGACATAATAGAACATAAATTTTGATTGTAAAATTCTTGTTTTATTATGAAATGACTTAGACCATTTGTTTGATTTTTTAGTTTTATTCCAATAGATAATATAATTGTATACTAATTACGATTTTTTAAGAAAAAAAAATATTTTTTAATTTATTTCAAGAAATAATACAATAGAACATGAATTTTAATTGTAAAATTCAAAATATTTGATATTGTATCTTTAATTAAAATATTTTTCTCTAAATATAATTTTTTAAATTTAAAAAATTTAAATATTATAAAAGAGATCGAAGTATAATTTATTAACGAATACATTTAGTCTAAACATACAAACCTCGAATTTGTGTCTAATGTTTTACATATCACGTAGGTCTCATAAGTGACAAGTAGGCCTGGTTGTAATTTCCCTTTCCTTTTTAGTCTGAATTCACATTCTCACTAGAAGTCTCAAAAAATACATTCAATTCTCCCTCTCCCTCTCCCTCTCTCTCTCTCTCTCTCTCTCTCTCTCTCTCTCTCTCTCTCTCCTGTTTAAGCTCTTCTGTCTAGTATTGAATCTGAATCAATTAGGGTTTCTTATTTATCCTTCTTGTACACAATTCACGCATCCATTCGTTAATCTCCCCAATTCTTGTGTTTTCAGACGATTGTGCCCATACAATCCTATCCAATCTGAAACCCTCCAACCATGGGGGGCCATGGAGGCCATGGAGGTCTGAACATACTTTTTCAGAAGCGATGGAACGTGTACAACTGCGATAACCGAGAAAAAGTTCGACAAGATGAAGAAGCGGCGGCGAAAGAAGAACAGCTCAAACGCGAACAATCTCGAAAGCGTGATGCCAAGTTTCGCCTCGAAAAGCTCCGCCAAACTCGTGGCATAGCCCCCTCGGCCCACGCCACTACTTCTTCGGTTGAATTGGAGTTGAAATCTGAATCGAAGTCGGATTCGAATCATATTAATTTGTTCGAGGGAATTAAGATTTTTGATCCGGTTAGGGGTGGAATTGAAGGTGAAGTTGAGAAAAAAGATGGAAATAAGAAGATGAAATTGATGAAGAAAGAGAAGGGGCCGATGTTGGTGATGCCAGAGGATGAGAAGTATAGGCTGGGGTATGGAGTTGCCGGAAAAGGAGTGAAATTGCCATGGTATTGGGTGAAGCCGAGTGATAATGAGGATGGGAAGAGTAGTGGGAATCATAGTGATGATGATGGTAAATTTAGAGTGGGGAAGGACGGGGTGAAGAGTAGTGGGAAGAAGACATTGCAGGAGTTGAGGGAAGAAAGGTTGAAAAGAGAGAGAAGAGAGAAAGAACGAGAACGGGCGTTGGTACTAGAGAAGAGCCGGAGGGATGGAGGATTTTCTTCAAGGAGGTAAGGCGAGTTTAATTGGAATTATAGTTCGTTTTGTTTTGTGCTTGCTTAAATATTGAGGTGGATCAGTGTTTGGCGTGGCAGTGTATTTTATTGCTGGCTGCATTGTTGTTTGTTTGGTATAGTATTTTCAATTTATTTACGGATTCTTTCTCTGCATTGGGTTTGCGACATTTCGAGTCTAGGGTAGATGAAAAGCATTTTGCTTGATCGGATAAATCAAGGGTTACATGATAAAAGTCTCGATATGCTTTGTAAGACATGTGAATATGAATCGGACTAGAATGCGTGTGAATTATGATACATCTCCTATTAACACATTTGTAATTAGGTAACCTGGTAGCGACAGTGCAAAATGTTCAGTGGCTGTTGATACTACCATGTCGAATAGGTTCCGATATATCTATTTATTTTGTAACTTAGCTAGTGGCTTGTTCTTGAGAACTCTAAAACTTGGAAGGAAATTGAGAATAGGGTTGGGTGCCTTTTCTCCAGTTGTTCTTTTTTTGGGGTTAACTTACATCAATCCTTTTCCTACAAGAAAATGCAGTATGCTGATTGACTTGTGTCAAAAATTATGGCAAAAAAGGGAATTGAGGACCCCTTATTGTTTTAGCCCACCCGTAATCCATGTAAACCTTGAAGTGTTTTGGTTGTATGTTTTATTTGTTTCCCTCATAAATAAAAGATATGATGCTCTTGGCGACAAGTATATGAAAGGTCAACCTAAATTGCCATGACTAAAGTGATATTTTACCACTATTGCGGGAGAGATGCACAACTACCAGGTTAAATTTTTCCTGTTAGCTTCGCAAATAAAGTGTTGTATAGTAATGTTTCTGCTCCTTTTCGTTTGTGTAGGAGGTGACTAGATACAAGTGAATAGAATGTCTAGAGCGATGCATGCTTTTCTATTAGGCACCGGCTGATTATGAACAAGCATAGGCTTGAAACTGAAGTCTACATGTTCATCTTCTATTCTGTTCAGTCCATCAGTTCTACTTCTACAGTTCTAAATATTAAAGGAGCGATTGGTATTTGCCTTTGTTCTTCTTTATAATTGTGTCTTATTGAAGTCTATCTCCACAAATTTTAGTTGATGGCATGTGTTGTAATGAGCGGATGTGAGCACATTCGAGTACAGTTGTTAATGAATCAAGTGGAATTTGCTCGAGTTTGTACTTAAACTGGTGAATGAGTTCATTGGAAATGTGTTTGTCAATTACATGCTTTGGAGTTTTGGCCTACAAGTATTTTTTTTCAAATATATTCACCTATATATGCATTAGCATGAGGCAGTCTAAATGGATGGTCACTCACTGCCGATGGGCGGTATATTATCTATTCAAACTGAGCTTTCAGTTTACATGTCTACGCAAGTGATGTGAACATTATGCCAAATGGCAGGATATGTCAAAGTTTGACATAATGGAAAGGATACCAATGTCTGCAAAATGGAGACTGAAGACAGAGAAGCGAGAAAGTCTCATCATTGATTTATTTTTAACTTGTTTATATTGATACGTAAGTGGCATTGAATATTCATGGCTGCCCAAAAGCACATATGGATGAGAAAACAGAGTTTCTGCCTTCTCATGCAAAAGCATATTTTATGTGCTGGATCAGCATCTAGAAATGATAATAATACGATACCTATTGTAAGCTCTTGTCATTACTTGATCACTTTAAGTTTATCTTCGTGGCATGAAATGATAGAATTCTAATATGTTGTGCTCTCATTTTACGTCAGCTTTTTATTTTCTGCGTCTCTGTTAAAAGTTGGACACTAATGCTTTTATTTTTATTTATAAAGTTTTGATAATACAAATGCTGATAACTCAAATACGCATATGAAGAGAAACCCATTACAGCTTTTCAGATGGTCTCAGCGAGACCTCCTACTCAATACCAATATGCAATTCACCAGAACCTGAAGAAGTTATAACATTCATTATTTGTTGAAGATGTAACAGTTGACGAGTTTTGGCGTTGTAATAAAGTGCGCCACTCGTCAATATAAGCCAATTGACCATGACTTAAACTGGAAAGTTTATTGTTGTTGAAGAATCTTTATAATCTCTTCAGTTTCACTAAGAAGACGTGCTACATCCTTGACACTTTTCTCCCTCTTCTCTATGGCACTAGAATGGCATTTTGTAATTATGAGACGCGATAAATTGGTAATGCAAGCACCCAATATATCTGCAATCAAAACAGACAATTACTCGAACAATTCCTCATCAGTCTGATTCTTACTCTCTTTCATAGCTCATCAGTATTGTTCGGCTGATTCGGTGCATAGAATTAGCAGCTATTACTTTTACAAGCGCATTGAGAGGGTTCTCCTTTAGACTTGCAGTCATGTTTCTCTGAACTCCATGACAATCTTTTCAGTTATATCAGCTAGGCTTTGAAGAGTTTCCCCAAAAAAATTTGCGTTGAAAGCTATTCTTCGAAGATCCTAGTCCATCCACTTGCGATAAAGTTCAACTCCGACTCATACGATGTCTGCTGTATTTTTAATGTTCAACAAATCAACTCTGGAACACAGACTCTCCTCAACTAGGCTGGCGAGCAAAAGGCCTTCTCTTACACTACGTAGCAATTGGCCCACCATTTGATTGTTAATATTTGGAAGTGCAATTGCAATGTTGGTCAAGGTCACCACAGGCAGAGTTCAACAATTAGGAAGTTCTTCACAATTAGAGTCCTGAACGTTGTCATTGTCAAATTTTGCTATCCCGTGGAAGCTGTTACATTTCCATAGAAGTTCCATTAGATATTTTGGTTGCTTCCTTCTAGCCATCTAAATCACTTGATTCACGTCATGAGACATATTATTCAAAATTATGTTGGGCAATTTTCCCTCACCTGCAACTTGCAGAACATAATTACTAAGATCTAACTTTTTCAAACTCTGAAATTTCGGGAGTTATTAAGACACCAGATTCAAATATGAGTTTTCTCTTGAATGAGCCAATAACCATAATGGAGATTAGCATAATTGCTTTGCTCATCATCACAATTACAATTTGAATACCTATGCAGCAGTTGAATACCAATGCTAAGGTTCTCTCTTTCCACTCTACCAGCCTTTAAATCCAATATTTTTCTACTTTGTCTTCATTTAAATAACTATTGCCATCTTTCTTTGAGCACTTGAACCTAATGGCGATAAACCATCTCAATGTTGGGGGCAACAATGCCCACTATAACCCCAGAAAGTTGAATCACCAGAATACGTGAGATTGACCACCCATAACTGGAATAAGATTTTGTAGCATACCCATTTTGCGAATGTGCTGCGATCACTGTTTTGACTAGAATACTAGCAGTTAGCAGAGAGTTTGCTCTAAAAGAAGAGCAGATCACAAAATGTGCCATTACAAATTGGGGGCTACTAGTTTCTACCATCATACAATATTTTTGAACTACTTCTTTCAGTTTCTCAACTGTAAGTTTTCCGCTTCCTTCTAATTTGTCATCTGAATTTTTTTTGTGTAATTCACCATATTTCAATTCTAGACATCTTTTAGTTGCTGGAACCGTCAAAGCCGAAAAACTCATTTTTACAAACAAAACAAGCATGGAAATGGTAACTGACGGTGCCCAGATTCGCTAGCCCAAGTTCGGTGCCTTAGCTAGTTGGCCCAGAAGGAATGCAGGGTAAATTTTATGAAATGGCAGCGACTAGAACAGTAAGAAGAAATTTAGAACATACGGTAAGTGGTTCACCTTAGTCGAGGGACTAAGGCTATATTCACTGTAAGGGAGTCTCTTGCTCCTCAAGTCTGTATATTACTTAGTTTGTGATAAGTATAAGGGTGTAATTGGCTCGGGACCTTTACAAAAACAATGTCCAGATAGGTTGAATTGTATGATGACTTGAGAGTACCAATGTAGAAGATGATCCTTTAATGTAGCGTAATAGTGTCTCATCTTATACAGGTGATTCTTCTAGGATTTCTTAAGACTCCTTCTTTTTTGTTGATTCTGTCGGTCCCTCACTTTTGTCCTGTCATGACCTCTGCCGCACGATGTCACTGTGCCCACGATCTCTGAGCGGTTATGCGCAGCAACGTTCTCCGTGCCAGAAAATGCATGTTCGTTATGAGTGTCAAAAATAGTCCCCTTGTCTTTTGAACACGTGGAGCGAGTAGAGCGTTTTAGGACAGGCGTTGGGCAAGGCTCCCTTATACGAGCTGAAATATAGCTGAGTTGGACTGGAGCCGGACTGGAGTCCAGTCCTCTGATACCGTTAGGCCTATCCCTTTACGCTCGGTAAACTTTGCTCCCCCATTTAGGCCATTAGCAATCATTAGTTTCTTGGACTCATTGGGCTATTTGATTACGGGGCCCATACCCAAAATCTCATCATTATGAGTAAGAAATGTTTTCGGTGTATTGAAATGAATGTCAGTTGTAAACATTTGGATAATGATATTTACAATGATGGTGATCACAAGAATACCCAAGACAGTGATGTTCATGAAAATGGCGTTGTCATCCATGGATGCGAACGACGATAGAAAATTACCAATTACAGTAGTCATGAAAACATTGCTGGTTAACTTTGCAAGCTGGTCTATATATCCATCCATTGCAGATGTAAGATCCACAGGCAGCTTCATTGCCACGGCTAATATTGTGAGGGAAGCAGCATTGACAGTGAAGAATTTGCTTGGGAACCAAAGCTTTTTGCGGCGGAAACCGTGGATGACATCTGCAGCCATTGCAAGGGTGCAAATTAGAGATGCTGCTGCAACATAGAGGCCGATCAATGGCACAGGTGCATCGTACTTTGTTTGATAGTGTTTGCGTATTTCGAGTTCGATAAACTGACCGTAGCATGAATAGTTCCTCGAAGAGTCGAACAAGATGTTCTTCACCAAGTCTGTGCAAGACTTGTCCATTTCCTACACCTTTGGAGATATAACTTGTGCTATTTTGTATGCCGAATTAAGTGCAGTGGACACAAGTTCTACTATTTTTCTTCCTGCAGGAGGATGCAAATGAAGGGTAGATATAGGAGTAAACTTGCACGATTTAAATTCTTGTTCAATTATCCTATAAAACTCAATTTTTATTGATACACACGGTTTGTGAGTAATTATATATATATATATATATATGCAAAGATTAACTTTGCGAACATGAGTCCATATGATAGATGATTAAACCGATTATTCGTTTCAAGGGGGAAAAAACTTTGGCAACCCAAGACTTTCATTGAATAAAGCCTTAAATATGAAATTTTTTTTGGGTGAGCCTTGAACACATTATCCACCCTAAAAAATTTTAAGATTCTTATTTTATACCCTCAAATATTAAATTTTTCACAGTACGTTCTCAATGTATCAATTAAAAATGTTACAATGTGGTCATTCTTTTAACTTTCGTTATTTTTTTTTGTAAAAAGTCAACCAATTAATACTAACAAAAAACTAACATTAGGGTCAAATTACAATACTTCTGATACATTGATACTATAATATAAGAAATTTAATCTTTGAGAGTACAAAGTAAAAATCTTAATATGTTTAAAAATACAAAATACAATTCACAGCAATTAAATTCATAAACTCCATTAGAATTGGGGATTCTATTTTATTATTCATCTTTGACCATTTCAAGCCATCAGTATGTCTACACTATGGAATCATACAGAATATTACGTGCCATTACCACTCAATCTTACAAAGTTTTATTTTAATTTGTGTGAAGTTATAAAATCAAAACGTTAGAATCAAATTCAATGTTTTAGAATTAATCCCAAATGACTTATTTTACTGTAGTCTCATCATAATGAATCATAGTTATGCGTTATTTTATTATAACTTTCAATATCATACTAAAACATAACTCTTGCGAATGTGCTTATAATTAATAATTACCTATTCATGTAAATCAATAACTATTCACTCTTCTTTCATGTAAGTCATTAACTACCTAAATGCAGTTTATTTTATCCATTTGAGGTTTTATTATTGGTTGGTGAATGCTAACATAGTGTCACCGTTGTATTGAATATTTTTTTGACTTAATAATGTGATTTCATTGTAACAATTAGACTAATATGAAAATTAAATGTTTAATAAAATTTATTATTAACTTAATAATTATAATAAATTAGATCAACAAATTAAATTTTAATAAGGTTGCTCGTTGGCTAAACTACAAAGAAACCTCAAGTCATTTCTTGTGGCATCGGACTTGACTCTCTTCCTTTGATCCCCGTGGAGCAGCAGCAAGGGGATCATGAAAAAAAGATTGGAAAGATTTTTCTACGCAAAGAAAATCTCATACATATATATATATACACTAGTAATTGTTCGTGCATGAAGACACTGCGTTATTTGTAAAAAATTAAAAATATTTGTTCATAAATAAAGATAATGTATAATATAATTTGAACAATACAACGATCAAATTAATATTGTTCAACCTATATATAGAACATATGTAATCAAACTTTTATAGAACAAAAGTCACGTTACAACAACTGTAACACATTAATTCAAAAATTAGAGAAAATATAATTATAATTAATCAAACATCCACGATTTTAACATTTTTAATAAATTTTATCTCAAGTTTTAAAAAATTATAACTATTTGTGTTTCTGCAGGTTTCTACCTAAAGTTCATAACATTATTTTTGCACTATTTTTCTAATATGAGTTCGTATAACTTTTGTGAGGAAAACATTCAAAAATTTTACGTGAATTCTCGTAAATGTAAAAATTTTTGTTGAAAAATAAAAATTAATTTCTATTTCAGTTTGACTTAAATATTCGTAAAATTCAATCGAATTTAAGTTTAAATAAGAATTTATACTTTATACTTGACAGTCAAATTTAGCTGAAATCGAATCTTAATCATAATTACGTCAAACCAAAAATTGAATTTAAATTCGACTCAATTAACACTTCTATCTTAAATTTACAAATTAATTCTTATCTATTCTTATTTATAGTGACACCATAATTTTTTTTTAATTATTCTTGATTATTTTTACGATCAATTTCAATTTGACTTCAACTTTGAATACTCATAAAATTCAAGCAAAATTAAGTTTAAACAAAAATATATATTTTATATTCGACAATTAAATTTGACTAAATTCGAATCCTAATCATAATCACTTCAAACCGATAATCGCGTAAAATAAAAGAATTTTTGTAATTTTTGGGCGGGAAGAAATTTGGAATAGTTTTGATCATTTGATTAATAATCTTAAAACAATCTGACCCGCAAAAAGTTCAAGACAAACAATGTTAACTCTCTTAGTATATTGATATATCACAAATTATATATATATATATATATATATATATATATATATATATACTTATTATACTATTTAAATATTATAATATTTTTATTTCAATACAAAATTATGACTTATTATAGTCACTCAACTCGTTTTGACGCAAAGAATCTGTATTTGAGGCCTATTTATTTATTTAAAAATTTTAAAAATAATCTTTAATTATATAGAATCATAATTAACGACCTAATTAATGTGTAGTATAAAATAGAGAGAGAGATAGAAGTTTTAGAATGGTGACAAAATATGACCTATATTATAGTCATTCAACTCGTTTTGACATAAAGAATTTATATTTAAGGTCCATTAGTTTATTTAAAAATTTTGAAAATAATCCTTAATTATATAGAATCATAATTAACGACCTAATTAACGTGTAGTATGAGATAAAGAGAGAGAGAGAATTATAAGAGAGATCAAAGTTTTAGAATTGTGACAAAATATGACTTATATTATAGTCATTCAACTCGTTTTGACGCAAAGAATCTATATTTAAGATTCATTTGTTTATTTAAAAATTTTAAAAATAATTCTTAATTATATAGAATCATAATTAACAATCTAATTAATGTGTAATATGAGATAAAGAAAGAGAGAGAGAGAGTTATAAGAGAGATAGAAGTCTTAGGATTGTAGAAGGAATGAAAGTCTTGTTCAAAAAATTAAGAGAGAGAATTTAGCATTAAGACCATTTGATCAATAAACGATCTGAACCGTGAAAAGTTGAAGACAAACTTTTTTAACTATTTTGTTATTTATATATATATATATATTTATACGTCTGTCAGAAAATGTTTTTGTTACTTCCGCATATTTACATCATTTAATAAGTAAACTTTGACGAAAACTCGTTAAAAATTGATGTGACACATTTAAAATAAAAATATTTAAGATAAATTATACAAGATCCCCTCGAACTTAAGATCGTTTGCACGTTACCATGGCATATTTTTATGATTGCACTTAATCCTGTCTCACCACTCTCTCCCAGCGAACAAATTTATTTTTGATCTATCAAATAACTTGTTTTTTTAAATATAAGGTCATTTTTAAACTCATTAACCCCAAATTAGCTAGACCCTACTCCATTTCGAAGTTTTAACAAGTTTTTCAAAGTTTCAAATCCTAAAGAGTTTTTTCTCCCCACACACTTCGGTCATGGCTTTCTGGTACTCTAGTACACTAAACTACAATCCCAAAGGGCCGAAGCACAACCCATGCCTCAATTGAGGAGAAATGGTCGCCTGCTATGTAACCCATATCACACCCCAAACCCGGATTTCATTATCTTCTCTTTTTTCAACCTCTTTTTTTTTTCTCTATTCTCTTTCTCCCTTTCGTTCTAGTAAATAGCATAAGAGATTAAATAAAAAAAATTCATGGAGTGTGTGGGTGTATGTTACGTACACTCTTTGAGGGAAAATATAAAGGAAGAAAAAAAATAGAATATGAGAAGAAAACCCGCTTCGAGGGGGGTTGAAACTTTCGTTGGTTCAATTTGAGAAAAATCTAATTCCCAAAATTTCACAAAAAAAAATTATAACAATATTCAACATAATTTTTATGTTGATAACAAGCCTTTAAATACATAATGAAAATATCTATAAAGATAAACCAACACACTCTATTATCCCATTACCTAGATAACCACCTAAAAAACTATCCACAAATACTCTATCATTAACCCATTTACTAAAAATAGCTTCCTAAAAATAACTTCTAATATTTTAAAAAGTTTGTCCTCAAAGTTTTATTTTTCGTGTAAGAAAAGGAGGCGGTCAATCCACTTCCTCGTCATTGTAACAACCAATCTGATCCATATTTTCACTACTAAGACAATAAATAGGTACTTCTTGGCAAGCAACTTCAAGGAAACAAAGCCCACATTTTGAGTTGAACGAATGGAAGAGAACTACTTCGATTCTAGCACGTGACTCCTTAGGAGTAGCATCCATTAAAACCTTTCCAGCATGGGTACCACTAATAAAATTCTCTAACAGCCACTAATAAAATCATATCCTTACTTGATGCAACATTTGATTCCTTCTCATTAAAATTGAATTTTTCTCCATGGCTAGTGATGGTGTTGATCGGCAGTTAAATTTTCCCCTTGAAGAAAATCTATACGATCAACAATTTCAATCTAGGCAAGAATGAAGATAAAGGCGTCCCAAATGGCTGCCTTTTTGCTCTTGTGCTTGAGTAGAGGCTTGAATCCCACTAGAATATGCATTTTGTCTTCTTGTTTTATTGTGCTCAACTGTCACATGTTTGTTGATCCTAGTTTCGTTCGTCATCTGCTCCTTCATTGGAATGGGCACACCTTCATGGAGGATTTTTAGAATTTTGTTGAAGCTCTCTTACATGCGATGATTTTGCTCGATGAATCTATTGAACCACTTTTGAAAATCTTCGAGCATTCAACTTCAAAATCTCCAATGAAGTAGTCATTAATAGAATCGTCAAATCTAATACAAATTGTTACGTGCACTCTTTAAGGAAAAATATTTAGGCAAATCAGAGGATTGTTAGACTTGATACAAAGAAACATACTATAAACAACAAATATCTTTTTTTTTGTTGGAAGGGGGGTGGGGGGGTGAACATCTTCTCGTGGATGACAACTTTAGGATTTGAGAGCTGGCTGTGAACTGAATATATGATATCTTGTAGTCAGGGGCGGAGCCAGAAATTTTGTTTAAGATGGGCACTTTATTATGCACTTTAATTTTTTTTCTTCTTAACCAATTAGGCTATATAATATATTTATATTTATTATATCACATTTGATACATGAAGTCCATTTAAGATAAAAAAAAAAAAAAAAAAAAAAAGCCAAAAAATAATGCATATTATATATGTATAAAAATGACTAATTATCACCATTGTAAAAAATGGAACTAGTTATCATTTTTGTAATTAAAAAATATCAGTTATTTACTAACAATCTATGAAATTTATTAAATAAATGATGTTTCAAACACACTGAGATATTAACATAGTAAAACTATTTAACTAAAATTTAAGTGTTAAACATAGTAAAAAAATTTTAAAATTGATTGCACATAAAAAAAATTATAATCAATACTCGAATAAAAATAAAGACGATTTCTCAATAAAAAAAAAAAAAAGTTAAATGAAGGTTAATTGCAAGAACTTTTACTTGTAAAAATTCATAAATAATAAAATTAAGGTCATCTGGAGAAAACCTTAATAAAATAAAAAATTTGCCTCATTGGTCTATTTGCATTTATAATACTGTATTGCTCAATATTATCTATATAACTACAAGTATTGTAGAAAAATCTAAAACTTCATATCATACCCATAAAAAATTGAGAAGATATGATACACCATGATCAACTGACAATTCAATTGGTTAAAAAATTGGACCGATACCCAATTTTAACAATTTGGGATCCATCCCAAATTTTGGGGATCAATCTTGACTCAATTTCATTGGTCAAAAACGTTTTTATTGTTATTTGTTTGTGTAGATGTAGCACATATATTCTTCTGTTCATTAGACGTCGAAAAACTTGCTTGTTTGTAATGTCAAAACATCCTATTGTTATGTTTAGTCAAGTCAAAGAATATGTTCTAGCCGATCTACACTCTCAATCCCTCAAAAATTGAGAGGGTTAACACTGGATAAAAAGTCTTTTAATTAGCCAATTTGCTTTTTATAACTAGTCTACTGGTAGGTCCGCAATACTTACTTCCCCTTTTTTGCTCATATTGACAAGATCGTCTAATATAAATTGAGGAAATTGACATCCATTTTGGTAAAAAAATAGATTTTAAGTTATAGGAATTGAAATCAGACTTTTTAGGGAATTTAAGGGGCATTAGCAACACATTAGATATCGATCGAGTCAAAATGTATTCCATTGACACACTAACTTAAGGCACTCAGGATGCCTTAACAACTATATAAAAGTTCAATGGAACACTTTATATGTACAAAACAATTTGAAAAGGCCCAGTTTTTTTATCAGGTCATCACATATTGGATTGATAATCAGGGACATGGATGACAAATTTGTGGCTGGTGTTGTGAGAGGTTTGATTGTTTACTATAAGCTGAACTTGTAGAGGCTCTGGCAGCTTCAATTCTGATAAAATTAGCAGCTATATCCCGACTTGACAATATTGTTCTAGGATGAGACTCGAAGAATTTAACTAAGTGTAAGGGATTTATCCGCATGTTCGGAATATCCTCCTCCACCGAAGGATTTTGGCTGACCTGGGTTCACTCTTGGACTAATCACCCTTGGGTTAATCCCCAATAGCCTTTACCTCTCAGTGTCCGTGTGGAGCTTGTCCCACATCGACTGAGAGTCGTTTTCCCCCCTGCCATATAAGCCTTGGCCTTTTATGGAGGAGGTACAAGTGGCTAGTGGGTACCTCCTCCATAAAAGGCAAAGACTTATATGGCAGGGGGGAGCCTACCCAATTCTTTGTTTATTGGGTTCGTAAGTCTGCCAATTCAATTGCAAATCTTCTAGTAAGTTATGCGGTGAATTATAAAGAACTGGTGCACTTGGAGAGAGAAATGCACCAGAATTTTGTTTATTTCCTCTACAGGATGATGTACTTTGGTTTTAAATCAATGTCATTTCTACTTTCTTGATGAAATATTGAACTTGCCAAGTCATTGAGCAATCATTATAGAATCGGACGCAACAATACCATTTAATCTAAATCTCTTGTCATGCTGAACTTTTTCTTTTAAGTCGTACTGTTCGATACCATTCTGCGATGCCACAATCAGTGCACATCAGAGCCCAATGAATCAATAACCAATACCGACACCTTGAATATCACTTTATCATTGATTTATTTTTAACTTGCTTATATTGATATGTAACTGGCATTGAAAATTCATGGCTATTTGGAACCTGCCCAAAAGCACATATGGATGAGAACACAGAGGTTCTGATTTCGCATGAAAAGGCATATATTTAATGCCCTGGATCAGCATCATGAAATCATAATCATATATGTTGTAAGCTCTTGCCATTACTAGATTACATTAAGTTTATGTTCGTGACAAGAAATGATATAATTCTAATATGTTGTGGTCTCATTTTGTCTCAACTTTTATTTTTTGAGTTTCTGCTAAAAGTTGTACACCAATGCTTAGATTGTCTGTCGAATTTACAAGACCTTATTAGGATCTTACTTTTACATAATTATCCTTATTGTATGAATATGTTTTGAATCGGAGCCACGCAAGTAATGGTAACATAAAATTTATAAAAATTCAAACGTTAGAATTATGAAAATACTACATGTGAAAACTTGGCGAGGTTATTTTTATTTAACAACCTTTAATAATACAAATGCTGATACTTAGAATACATATGAAGAGAAACCAATTACAACTTCTCAGATGGTCTCAGCCAGACCTCCTACTCAATACCAATATGCATCTCATCAGAACTTGAAGAAGTTATAACATTATTCGATGAAGATGTGATGGTTGCGGAATTTTGGTGTAGTAGTGAAGTGCGCCACTCATCAATGTAAGCCAATTGATCATGACTTAGACTGGGAAGTTCATGTTGTTGAAGAATCTTTATAATCTCTTCAGTTTCACCAAGAAGACGTGCTGCATCCCCGACACTTTTCCCCCTCTTCTCTATGGCACTAGAATAACATTCTGTAGTTATGAAACGTGGTAAATTGGTAAGGCAAGCACCCAATATATCTGCAATCATAACAGACAATTGGTCGAACAAGTTCTCATCAGTCTTGTCCACACTCTCTTCATAGCTCATCAACATAGTACGACTGATTTTGTACATTGAATTGGCAGCTATCATTTTGACATGCCAATTATAAGGGTTCTCCATCAGACTTCCAGTGATGTTTTTCTTGATCTCCGTGACAATCTTTTGAGCAATATCAGCTAGGCTTTGAAGAGTGTCCCCGGAATTTTTTGCATCGAGAGCTATTTTTCGAAGATCTTTATCCATCCACTTGCGATAAAGTTCAACGTCAACCCATACAAAATCTGCTGAATTTTTAATGTTCAACAAATCACCTCTGGAGCACAGACTTTTTTCAACCAGACTGGCATACAAAAGGCCTTCACTTACACTACGTAGTAATTGGCCCACCATTTGATTGCCAATATTTGGAAGTGCAATGGCGATGCTTGTTAAGGTCACCACAGGCAGAGTCCAGCAATTAGGAAGTTCTTCACAATTAGTGTCGTGAACGTTGTCATTGTCAAATTCTGCTATCCCGTGGAAGTTGTTACATTTCCGTAGAAGCTCCATTAGATATCTTGGTTGCTTCCTTATACCCATCTGAATCACTTGATTCACGTCATGACATATATCATTCAAAATTTCGTTGGACAGTTTTCCCTCACCTTCAAGTTGCAGAACATAATTACTAAGATCCAACTTTGTTCCAGCTTCGGGTTCTAAAATTTTGGGACTAGTTAAAGCACCAGATTCACACCTCTTGCAACACCAAAAGAATGGGCTTATGACGAAAACGGAGATTAGCAGAATTAATTTGCTCACCACTACAATTGCAATTTGAAAACCTATGCAGCAGTTTAGAACAAGATTTTTGGTGCCCTGCATAAGTTTTCTGAGTTTTCGGCCCCTAATTCGCACAGCTAAGGGTTTCTCTTTCCACTCTACCAGCCTTTGGATCCAGTATTTTTCCACTTTAAATTCAATTAAGTAGTTGTTGCCATCTTTTTGTGAGCACTTGAAGCTAATGGCAATAATCCATCTAAATGTTGGGGCAACAGTACCCACTATAATCCCGATAATTTGAATCACAAGAATCAATGGCATAGACCACCCGTAACTCGAAGTATTTCTCCAAGGTAATCTATAATAATCATCATAATGGATAAAATAAGACATAATTTTGATCATTATATCTATTAGAGTAAAAGCAATAGTCAACAGAGAGATTGCTCCTGAAGCAATGCAGATCACGGAACGTGCCATCACAAATTGGGGGTCACTAGTTTCTGCCATCACCCAATATTTTTCAACAACTACTTTCAGATTCTGAACTGAAAGCTTTTCGATTCCCTCTAATTCTTCATCGGAAATTTTTTTGGATAATGCACCATATTTCAATTCTAAAGATCTTTTAGTCACAGGAATTGTCACAACCGAAAAACACAATGTTACGAACAAAACAAACATGAAAATGGTGACAGAAATTTCCAGTGTTGTTTTGACGTAAAGTAGGGAAGTATGTAATTGGATAAAGATATTTACAATGATGGTGATCACAAGAATACCCAAGGCAGTGATGTTCATGAAAATGGCTTTGTCATCCATGGAGGCGAACGAGGTTAGAAAATTACCCATTACAGTAGTCATGAAAACATTGCTGATTAACTTTGCAAGCTGGTCTAGATATCCTTCCATTGCAGATGTAAGATCCACAGGCAGCTTCATTGCCACAGCTAATATTGTGAGGGAAGCAGCATTGACAGTGAAGAATTTGCATGGGAACCAAAGTTTTTTGTAGCGGAAACCGTGGGTGACGTCTGCAGCCATTGCAAGAGTGCAGACTAGAGATGCTGCTGCAACATAGAGGCCGATCAATGGCATAGGTGCATCGAATTTTTTTTGCCAGCCTTCATTGACTTGGATTTGTTTGAGTTTGCGCCACTCATCGTAGCAATAAGAGTTGCTCGACGAGTTGATCAAGATGTGTGAGCAATACGAGTCCGTTTCCTCCGCCATTTGATAACTTATGCTATTTTGTACACGGATCGAATTAAGTGCAGTGGACACAAGTTCTACTATTTTTCTTCCTGCAGGAGGATGCGAATGAAGGGTAGATATATAAGTTGGATCTGGCAATGAAATGTGGTTACATTTCCCAGTCAATTACTTTTAGTCTTCCGCCATGGTCCCACTCCGAAGACCTTTTCAAAGCCAATAGTCTTGGTCTTCCACCTACCCTTCCACTCATAGTCACAAAAAACAATTCATTACACCAGAGCTTTAATCTCCACTAACTCTTCCACTCATAGTCACTCAAAACAATTCATTGCACCAAAGGTTTAATCTACACAGATCACATCATTCATAACAGAGATAATGCATTCATATATATTTTGATTTTAAAAGAGGTGTTGGTGATTTAATAATATAATTTTATTATAATCGTTCAATTAATATCAAATTTTAATATTTGATAGACTTAATGGTTAATTCAATGACTATAGTGAATTATGTTAGTAAATTAAGTTAATAAATTATGTGTCATGTATAATGTCATTGTTACATTTATTTTATAATCTTCACATCAATGACTATAAATGCGTCAATCCAAGATTAATGGCTGAAAATTACAATATGGTATCAATTTTTTTTTTTTTTTGTAAGTGAGCACCATGGCCTTATCTTATAAAGAGGAGTTACATTTATAGTTGTTCTTAGTGTCCCAAAGTAAATTAATTTTTTTTTTCTAATTAGTACATAGAAATGATAAATCATATAGCTTTATCCTTTTTTATATTTAACTTTTTAAGCATATGAATTTCGACTCATCTAACTGTAAAATTTCAATCATAAAAGACATATAATTATATAAATTAACAATGCAAAAACTAATTCTTATAATTCCCCCAGACACTAATGTATGCAACTATTCTTATTTGGTCCCTAAAGTGTCGATTTTAGCAATCAAATCCTTAGAGTTTTAATTTAGTGCTTATATCAAAATTTACTAATTTATTATGACGGAATAACATTTCGTGACCAACACTTTACTTGAGTGAAGAATTATATTTATCTAGTGGAAAATCATTTACGTAGAGGCTTAAAAACTTTTCTCTATTCATCTGATTAGGAGAAAAGAAGATAAAAAATACCAAAAAAAAAAAGATATAGAGTGAGAAATTGAGAGATGCTTTGAGATAGAAAAGAAATATTGATGAATTTGAGAGATATATTTTTCTGAACAAATATACCCTTAAGGGCAAATCCTATGACCTCTTTCTATTCGAACAAATTAATATATATGGATGGAGTGATTGAATTGAAATTTAGTTAAAATTTTAAGGATGAAATTATTTCAATTGAAATATTAACAACCAAATAAAATTATATTTAAATTTTAAGGATATAAAATATCCTACTAGAAATGAAGAAAAAAATGACGCGTTTGTTAAATTTGAATGACTGATAGATGATTTCAATTTTTCCGAGTTGTTTGGGTTGAACTCAAATTCAAAATAAGCTTGAAAATTAAATAAATGATGACATTGTCTTTTTTTTTTCTCACAAGGAAAATAATTTTTTTAATCCAAAACCAAAAAAAATACAATTATACTAAAACACTCCCGGAGTGCTGACAAAAGAATTGTCATAAAGAGATAAATATTATCAAAATGGTAAATAAAAATAATATCCCAAATTAACCAATATCCAATGTGGTAATTTTACTCACCACTCGTGATATTTTTCGTGATAGTGTCTAATTAGTCTTGTGGTTCAACATTAAACCATGATTTATTATGTTGTGGATATAAAAGGATAATCTCCCTCCGGGCCACGACCCATCATTGTCTCCGCCGCCACCGCCACCACCACACATTAAAAAATAACAAAAGAAAAAAAAAATAATGATGGTCAATTTCCCAAATCTGCCACTGAAATATGGACAACGTCACATTTCCAAGTCAATATAATTGAGGTCTTCTATTGAAGCCTTATGTAGCGTCCTAGTCCTATGATCTGTTGCGCATATCCCATAGAAAAGTAAGGACGTTAGCTAAATGATTCAAAACACTCTACCTAGAACAGTCACCTGAACATTTTGAAATTAATACGAATTAAAATTTATTCAAGTTCGGTTATTTATAAGCAAACAAAATATGAACTTGATTTTAATTTTTTTTGGTATACAAATCAAACCGGAGCAATCATTTGTTTAAAACATTTAGTCTCATGAAAATATATGTAATTATTATATACACACAAAAGTTCAAACTCGAATATAAGTTCAAAGTTGATTCGTTTAATTAAACAAGTCAAGGTTGAGTTCAACAAAAAAAATAATAAGACAAATTTAAATAAAATTTTGAAATTCATCACGATCCCGTATCGATAATGAACTCTATTTGTGAATGAAATAATTTGGTGTTGGATTTAATTTAGTTCATTTACACCGGAAAAAATATACTCAAATCAATTGTATGTAATAAGTAAATTGTTCAAAAAGTTCGAATATGCTTTTGGGCTACCCAAGACTTTCATCGAAGTTGCATGGTTGAAACATTAAATCATTACTTTTGTAATTGGAACTCTTACCGTGTATCGTGACTGGAATCTGGACTTTGAGAATTTATGGGAAGAGGATTTTTTTTTAAAAAAAAAATTTTGAGAATTTATTGGGACCGGAACAGTTGGGTTTTTGGAGCGAGTGCTCTAGAATTTAAAAAAATTTAAGTTGTATTTTTTCATCTATATGTTTCGTTGACAATGATTTTATTTGTCACGATCAAATTTTCTTTTTAAATTCTCTGTTTTGATTTATTTTATGTTTTGGCAACATTCTTTATTATGCTTAAATGATGTTCGATAAAATGCATGAATTAAAATTCAATCACTGATACAGAAAATTTAGATGATGACAATCGATAGTAACAATGATAATTCATTATTACTATAACTATCTAGATCCGTGAAATTTTGAATAGTGATACTGTTATTATATCATTATTATTGTAAATGTATTACTATGTCTCATTGACTATGTTATTATCACGGTCCACTTTTTAATATCGCTAATCAATTCATTAAGGGTAAAATAATAATTGTGATTATAGTTGTACTTGATGACTCAAAAGAATAACACATAATAGTGATAATAATAATTCACCATCGTTGTATTGTTACCGTCTTAAAATCACTATCATATATTACACTGCCGTTATTTCTATTACTATTATTATTTATTTTGTAATATAATTATTTATATTACTGTGTCCCAAACAATACATGCTTGGATTAATTGACCTTAAAGTCAACAAGTGTAGACTGTCTTCCAATTAACCAGTAAGTGTAACCCCTTGTTCTAGGGCCAGAAATCTACCCAGCGCCTCAAGTATTGGGCCGGACCGTACCGGCCTAAACTAAAGCAGGATTTCTGGGCTCATTTGGCAGCACTTCTGATTCCATGGGCCTACCACCAAATGGAGCCCCATTAGTCCATTGAACAATAAACTGAATCGTTCCATATTCACACTGGGTTTGGTTAACCACCAATATACTTGGGAGGAAAGAGAGAGAGAGAGAGAGAATGGGGACGAGAACGAACTTGTACAAAAACCCTTCTTATGCATACAACAAAGACTTCAATCTCAACTCTGTCCTTCAAAACCTTAGAGGTACAATTCAATCTCTCTTTCTCCATGCTCTAGTCTTTTAACTGCTTATTTTATTCAATTTTCCCCTATTTCCAGCTTACAATGTTGCCACCGGTAATGCTCCTCCGATCGAACAACCAGACTCCGGCGACGACAAAACCGTACATCATAAAACCCGTCCAAAACGGAGGCCACCGTTGAATCGCAATGGTGAAAACGAAGAGAACGATGGACCAATGTCTCACCAGGATTACATTGACAAGAGGAGGTATATTTGAATTTTATCTCATCTTCTACATTCATTTTTTAAATGTGTAATTTCTAGCTGCAATTGTTAAAAACTGCTCTATATGTGTTCGATTTATTTGTTCCGGTTAATTAATTTTAGCTGATTTCCTTTTTTTTAATTATTATTGGAAAATCATTATTTTTAACTTCATTTGGTATTTTTGTGGTCAGGATGGAAGTTAGTTCATCTCGGGCTAATCAGGAATTGACTGCAGATGTGTTGGTAATCACAATTGAGTGGTTAAAATTTCTTGGAAATTGATTTTCTCATTTTGAATTGATGCCATTTGTTTTGTAATCTTTCAGGAAACTCCAGGGGCGTGTATACATTTGGTTGAGTATGGCAGTAAGTTCTTGTGTGCCTCGGCGTGTATTTTTATGTAATAGCACTTACAGGACTGAAAAACCTTAGATACTGGTATTTTGTTAGGCGATGTTACTTAAAGGAGTGTTACTTGATCTTTAGTGGTGTAAAATGTAATCAGGGTTCAGTTTTTCAGATGGTGAAGAAGAGATAATTAAGCAGTAGATATAGCTGATAATTTACACATCCTTTTACTAACCTAGGAATTTATTTATATTTTCAATCTTTATGGAAGGAAAAGATATAAAAGCCTAACCAACCTCAACTCTCCTCCGTACCCTGTGTTTGTATGTATATATAAATACACATCCACACACACACATATCTATAACATAGCTATATACATATATATTTGATTAGTAAATTAAGTTATATGCATGCGTTCCTTTTTTTTTTTTTATTAATAACGAGAGCATGGAGGTTGATTCCACCTTGGTCTCTATCTAAAAAAGTAGATTTATCCTTGTAGCCTTAAAATAATTACAGGAGATTAGAGAATGGTGAATGTGTGTTACCTGTAACAGTATGCTTCTAAATTTTAGAAGTAATGTTGCATCTATGTTGTAAAAGTACCATTATATTTAACTCTCTTTTCTTTGGACCAGCTGACCTGATGTGTTGTCTAATTGCTGTAGACAACTAGGGCTACCATTTACTGAAGTATCTCAATGCTCTACACTTCATATCTTTGTTTCTCCTCCTTCCTCATTTGTATTTACATGCTCATATTAAAATTTATGTCCATGAAAACTCAGGTCATACAGATACTACCTCAGAAGGTGAAGAAAGGCAGAACCCCTCTAATAATTATGGTTCGCTCCTGGATAATTGTGAAGAAAGGCAGTATCCTCCTAAATCTGGTTTGTGTTTAGATGCCTATTTTTTCAATCACTTTATCATTTTGTGCTTAGTAATGAATAGTCACTGTTATCTTTAAGTATTCCTACAAATCTTACCTGCTGTTTAAGAGGAATTTTGAGTATCACTACTAGAGTAATTAACTGAACCAACAGTCTAACACTATTGAAGTTGTTTCATTCTGCTCATATTAAATGCATTTTTCATCACTGGTGATAGGGGAGATTTCCAAAAAGAGGATACACAACATGATCCCGAGCATGCCTAAAGGCTAGCTTTGGTATATGTGGTGACTTTTAGAAGACAAGGACAACATAATAAGACATCGATATCAGGCATTGCTTGTAAACTCTTGCATGTCGTGGTTGAGGGACAGCACATGAACCCTATTTATTTGTGCTCTTTTTTTTTTTTTTTTGGGAGGGGGGGGGGGAGGGTTGGGGGTATCTTTGTCATATTTAGCTCAGACTTCTTTGCTCGGGCAATCTTAGTTGAAATATGCCAAGTTCTTGTTACTAATTGTTCATTTATATAACTCGTATGGTATTACTGGTGAATAATAATTCTTTATACTACCTAGTATTATTTCTGTGGCTTGGTTGAGAACGTCTACATGAATTTTATTGTTTGAATAATATTTCTTTATAATACCTAGTATTATTTCTATAGCTTGGTTGAGAACATCTACATGAATTTTATCGTTCATTGACTATAATACAAGCCCGTAGGCTTTAAATCCAAGCTGAACCTGCCAATAGCATGTGGGTCTCTGATTTGGGCCAGAGATTGCAATGACAAGAATCTTGTTTGAAGCTTACGTGATAAAAGATTAGTTTAGTGAATTTAAACTATATTGTGGCATCATTTTATTCCTCTATTTTGGTAGCCGGCAAGCACTTGAATATATGTCATTGTTTACCTGATTTGCTCGATTAAATTCTCTCAGGTTTCACAAGTAAAGCTGATCAAGTTAAGACCAGAAGTAAGCAGCGGTTTCCAATTCCAGGAGATCCTGTGTGTGTGGTGTGTGGGAAATATGGAGAATACATCTGCAATGAGGTGGCTAACTGAGCTATATGCCTCTATATATAATCATTTTTTTTTTCTTGTACCCATCTAGTAACCTTGTATGTTGTATTTTGCTTATAGACTGAAGATGATATCTGTAGCATGGATTGCAAAGCAGAGCTACTGGAGAACCTCAAACTACTCAAGGTTTCTATAATTTTGGTTCAGTGTTAAGAACATCTCACTTCTGTTCTTTTTTTCTGAATCCTAATTCCTAACCATTTCACTGATTATGTTTTTAGGGGTCATTAAGCAGCCAAATCCTAGTTGAATCATCTTCTGAACTGAAGTGTGCATCACAAGTGCCTGAGTTTGGTGGGGGCACTTGGGATTATGATCGTCATCGCTGGTCCAAGAAGAGGTCAAGCCTTTGTACTTACGAATGGTAATTTCTGTCATTAATATTTTTTTGATGTATTATTTGTGAAGACAAGTTCTTAAATACAAAATGACATTGTAGTTGAATTGATGCTGGGGAGCATTATGATCATTTTTAATAAGCATATTGTCATGCTCAAATGTTTTTAAAATTCTGTCATAGCTGTAATACAGTTGGTGAACAGTATATTTATTGAGTTTTTGTTAGACTAGATTACCTAGATTGTTAAGCGAGACATTTACCGAGAGAATTAAGGTCATTTTTTTTTCTTGTTAACCATTTAGTCCGGCATAAGTGTTCTAAAATTCTCTATCATAGTTGCAATTTGTCATTACAGTTGGAAATGTCAAAGACCTGGACATCTGGCTGAAGATTGTCTGGTGATGACATCTAATTGTCAACCTCCTTCTCCTGGAATATGTAACCAGGTATTCTTGTAATTCTATGTTAGCAAAAATTTCATGATTGATTAGCCATAATTTACACCTACAATAATTTTATTACACCTTTTATTATAATTTTCCTTTTCATCAGGTGGCAATAGTTCAAAATAAATCCCCTTCAATACCCAGAGATCTGCTTGAATTGTACAAAAGGTTTCTTAATTTCTTTCAAATGTACTTTTTAATTCCATTTGAGGTATCCATTTCTATAGATTTTTTGGGTCATTTTTGTGCAGTAGTATTTTGTTAATAGCGTGCAATCTAGATTTTTTGACTACCTGCAAAGATGCTTAGATTTGAAATGTACAAAGTTCATCCAAATAGGGATTTTAATCCTTTTTGTTAAGGTTTAGTTACCGCTTACTACCCATTCAAAACATTGGCTGGTTTCAGGTTTGTTAGCAATTCCTCCCTCTCCCCCTTACCCTCCTTTTTGTCCATTAATGATAGAGCTGGCAAGGTCCTTAATTCCTCCAGATAGGTGAAAAACAAGTGAACTTGATTTTTGTGCTGTAGCAGCCTACTTACGAGCTATTGTAGGCACACTGCTGTTGATTAATCTTTCAATTAGGCATCATGAAACATCATATTCTTGCATCAAGTGGTTTACTGCTGACTGCTGAGCTTATTTATGTTTTGATCTTTTTTTAATTACCTTCTAAGCAGTTTGTTAGTACACGGATTACTGATGTAATTGATGGATACGTGTCTATGTGCCTTGCTAGAAATAACAAAACTAAAATCCAAAGCATGCTTAGCTCTTGTTTTCTTATACTGCTGTCTCTTTCTATCTGCAGATGCCACCAAATCGGGAAAAAATCATCAGCTTCAAAGTGCAATGCGTGTAATTTGTCAGTAACTTTGGCCACATGCCTCAACTGTACTAATGCCTTTTGTGACAGGTTAGCATAAATGTTTTTATGTGAATTTTTCTGCAGCTAGTTTTATTATTTTGTGATTTAAAATGATTTTACCTTCTTCTTGGATCATTGAACCCTCTTGTTCTGATTTTATTGGATATGCTCTACAATTGTTCTTCTAGGACTTCTGGTCTTGACTTTTCTTTTTGTAATTCTTTCTCATGCCAAATTTGAGGAACTTTAGTGTGGGAATACTTTGACACAGATAAAGTTTTATACTCTGTTGGTCAATGGTGGGAAAGGTGGTTACAATCTGCTAACATTTTAGTAAGAGACTGGAGGATGCAGGAAGGGGGGATTGCATGTGCTAGGAGAATTTGTTGGCGCTTCAGGAGGCCTGGATATCTTCTGTTAGCCAAAAAAGGAGATTTTTTTTCTATTCCTATTTTGTTTTTAAAACATAGGCAGGAAAATTATTCCACATGATATGTAGGCAAACTGAAGAATTGTTAGACTTGATACAAAGAAACATACTACTAACAACGAATATCAATACATATATATATATATATATATATATTGGTGTGTGTTTGTTTTAGGGGGGGGGGATATATGAAAATCTTCTGGTGGATGACAACTTTGGGATTTGAGAGCTGACTGAAGTCACTGAACTGAATATATGATATCTTGTAGTGCAGGTCATTTAAGTGAGCATATCAGGGCACACCCCTATCATGGACAATATTACTCCCATAAGCTCAAGCGTTTGGTGAGAATTTACTTCACTATAATATGCCCTTGGACGTCTAATTTCATGTGCTGCTGTATTACTTGAATGCGCATTATGCTTGTGCATGTTGAGATCTGTTCTTTTTTTCATGACTTTGGGAGAAATAACATCTAAAGAGAATTACTCACCCAAAAAAACATCTAAAGAGAATCTTTTAACTCTTAAGGGTTCATTTCTCATAATAGGTCAAATATGCTGCATTTTTGTGGTTGCAAAGCAGAGTTGAGATTTAGACTTGTTACAGTATCTCAGAATTCTAGATAATTCAACGTCATTGATGTTGTTTGATCTTGATATGAGAAGCCTTGGATCTATTCAGCCATTAGTTCATCGGGAACAGTGTTGATCATTCTTGCAATTAGAAAAAAACTGAATGAAGTTAATAGAAGATCATTTTCATAGAAATTGAGGAACCGAGAACGACATTATTAAGAGAAATTGAGGTGGATAGAAAGTGTGGACAAAGAGAGAGATTAGAGTTGATAATAGATTAGTAAGAAGTGAGAGATGTTCGAAGAGAAAAAAAGAGAGAAGCAGCTATGAGAGCAAAGCGAGAATCAGAGATGAGAGTAAAGAGATATGAACGAGATTATCTCAAGTCTTGTCGATGAAGTGGTCAGAACTGAATCTACCATTTGCTGCCACTCCCAATCAACAACACATGCATTGCACTTCCACCATTGCCTTGGTGCGATCATGAAAGACAAAGTTAAAACATTTTTAATCACCACCACTACCCTTACGTCCTCCACTTTCTCCACTATCATTTATCTATTTCATATCTTGTAAGCCTTGTCTGCAACACTCTGTCACCCTGAAAGCCCAGCATCAAAACATGCCTACACTTTTCATCTTTGGCATCCACCATATCTGGCAATTAGTATAGTGAACAAGTGCATTGATAAGGCTTGCACATAATTGTGGATCAACTCTCACTGCCTCATTGCTGCTTCTTGATCTCTAGATTTGACAACCTATTCTAATTCTGATGTTTTATCCAAACAAGGACACACTACTTCTTAACGAGCAATGCTACTTGGACTTAATTCACTGACATAATTTGTTGACCTAATCACTCATAACTATTGGATTGATAGTGGACCCCAAGATTTGTTGGGACCTACAACCAATAGGTTAGCAAATTAGGTCTAAAATAGCATTATTGCTTCTTAATTTAGCTTGATACCATAAGTTTATGCTGCTTTTGTTTCACATTGATAATGTCATTTGGTGTTCACAACAGGTCAAATGCTGTAAATCAACATGCAACGTGACTGATATTAAGGACCTTTTGGCTTGCCATTATTGTTTTGATAAAGCGTTTGACAAGTTCTATGATATGTACAGCGCAACTTGGTATGTGATTTGTAGCTTTTAAGTTTTGGGCACTTCTCAATCTGAAAAATGTCCGTGTGATGTCAATATGCTTAAACCTGAAATGATAAGGTCAACTAGGGATTTGTCTGTGGAGTGCTAAAAATAAATGTTAAGTGGCATGATATCAGCGGCATAGTTGTTCCAGCAAAGATTGCCAAATCATTGGTTCCTGTTCTCAAATTAGTTTCTCGATTGTTATATTACGGCCTATAATACTCATCCCACTTGCGGTTCTATGTCTACCTAACTGTGAACCTAGAGGCTTTATTATATCAATTTTTAGGTGATTGATTTTACTCTATACCGAAAAAATAAGGAGTTAGTTTATGAGAAGTATACATGTAAGAATTTTGTGACAACTTGACAGAGAATATTAACAAATATGAGCATTATTCTGTCTTGAGCAGGATAATGGTTCATATGCATATATCTATCTAATAAATGAACTTTGTACTTGAAGGAAAGCTGCTGGACTTTCAATCATCTGGGGTTCTATTTGTTGTGAGGATCATTTTGAATGGTAAGTATCATTACCCCATCCTCAACATTCTGCTTTTGTCTCCAACTCTCCATTATCCCAACTAACATATTTAGCCATGGCATGTCAATGCTACAGGCACAGGATAAATTGTCTGAATGCAGGTGTAGAAAACAGTGCTTATATCGTCAACAAGAATGCCCAGAATGAGAACTATATTCAGCTGAGTGACTTTATTTTCTGAAGAGGTCATGGAGAGTCCACTATCATCAGGTTTATATGCATCTCATCTCATCGTTTTCTGGCTTGTGTAGTGGATTGGATCCAGCGTTGGCATTCAAGGGTTGTCGGTGTCTCGGCAGTAACTTGAGTCTGATGAATTGGCAAAAGCATCCCAATTTTTGGCAAGTTCTTTAGCGTACTGTCATAGGTTTTCGACTTCCTAAAAGAAAAAAAAAAAAAAAAGACTTTGGTTTTCGTATCAGGGTCTATGTTGCAGTCAATCAGGATACGTCCATATCCGATTGGGGGTTTGTTGGGCCCGTAGACGTGCTGCTTACTGCCTGGCTTATCTCATGTCGATGCTTCATGTGTTGTAATTTGTATATTCCTTAGAGAGGAGGCTGCGCAGTATTAACTCGGTTCATTTGCATGACTTGAGTTTCTTTTATGCCTTCTTAAATATTTATATACTAGGGTATTCCTATGCAGAACGCATTTTTTCTATTGTAGTTAAAAGGTTAAATATAAATGGATTGAGTGATTGTGGCTACAAATTTAAAAATTAAGTCATAATATAAGCTATCGAGCTAAAAATATCTAGATTGTTGTGTTTTGTGTAAATACGGTTATATATTTTATTATATAGATTTTTGGACTATTATGCTTACAAGTAAACATGGAGAAATGGAGCAAATCTGGATATATTCGATAATAAATTATATTCAGACTCTTAAAGTTGGTAAACATATATTACTTAAACCTCTTAAATTTAAAATATTATACTTAGATCAAAAATATTTTAATTAAATATATCATATCAAATATTTTAAATTTTATAATTAAAATTTATATATTTATTGTACTATTTATTAAAATAAAATCAAAAATAAAAACTTTTAGTATTTAATTATATTATCTATTATAATTTAATTTGGTCGTTTAAACAGTCAAATTAAAATACCAAACTATTTGAATTAAAGTTAAAAGATATTGTGACTATTATAATTTTACTCCTTGTTTAATTTTTTAATTTTATTCTAATAGATTGTATAATTATATACTAATTATGATTTTTTTTAAAAAAAATTAAATTTTTAATTTTAATTTTATTTTAATAAATGACATAATAGAACATGAATTTCAGTTGTAAAATTCATGTTTTATTATGAAATGACTTAGACCAGTTGTTTGATTTATTAGTTCTATTTTAAATTTTCAATAGATAATATAATTATATACTAATTATGATTTTTTTAAAAGAAATTGAATTATATTTTTTAATTTTATTTCAATAAATGATACAATATAACATAAATTTTGATTATAAAATTTAAAATATTTGATATGTTATCTTTGATTAAAATATTTTTAGTCTAAATATAATATTTTAAATTTAAAAAATTTAAATATTATCTATAAATTTTAGAGAATTTATGTGTAGTTTGTTAACGAATATATTGTATTTTAAATATTAGGTCGTGAATGATTAAGGGACACATGTGTAATTCTTTTTAGTCCAAATTCACAATCTCACCAGAAGTCTCAAAAAATACATTCAATTCTCTCTCTCTCTCTCCAGTTTCTGTCTAGTATTGAATCTGAATCAAATTAGGATTTCTTATTTATCCTTCTTGTACACAATTCACGCATCCATTCGTTAATCTCCCAAATTCTTGTGTTTTCAGACGATTGTGCCCATACAATCCTATCCAATCTGAAACCCTCCAACCATGGGAGGCCATGGAGGTCTGAACATACTTCCTCAGAAGCGATGGAACGTGTACAACTTCGATAACCGAGAAAAAGTTCGACAAGATGAAGAAGCGGCGGCTAAAGAAGAACAGCTCAAGCGCGAACAATCTCGAAAGCGTGATGCCGAGTTTCGCCTCGAAAAGCTCCGCCAAGCCCGTGGCATAGCCCCCTCGGCCCACACCACTACTTCTTCGGTTGAATTGGAGTTGAAATCTGAATCGAAGTCGGATTCGAATCATATTAATTTGTTCGAGGGAATTAAGATTTTTGATCCGGTTAGGGGTGGAATTGAAGGTGAAGTTGAGAAAAAAGATGGAAATAAGAAGATGAAATTGATGAAGAAAGAGAAGGAGCCGAAGGTGGTGATGCCGGAGGATGAGAAGTATAGGCTGGGGTATGGAGTTGCCGGAAAAGGAGTGAAATTGCCATGGTATTTGGTGAAGCCGAGTGATAATGAGGATGGGAAGAGTAGTGGGAATCATAGTGATGATGATGGTAAATTTAGAGTGGGGAAGGACGGGGTGAAGAGTAGTGGGAAGAAGTCATTGCAGGAATTGAGGGAAGAAAGGTTGAAAAGAGAGAGAAGAGAGAAAGAACGAGAACGGGCGTTGGTACTAGAGAAGAGCCGGAGGGATGGAGGATTTTCTTCTAGGAGGTAAGGGGAGTTTAATTGGAATTATAGTTCGTTTTGTTTTGTGCTTGCTTAAATGTTGAGGTGGATCAGTGTTTGGTGTGGCAGTGTATTTTATTGCTGGCTGCATTGTTGTTTGTTTGGTATGGTATTTTCAATTTATTTACGGGTTCTTTTTCTGCATTGGGTTTGCGAATTTTTGAGTCTAGGGCAGATTAAAAGCATTTTGCTTGATCGGATAAATCAAGGTTACATGATAAAAGTGTCGATATGCTTTGTAAGACGTGAATATGAATCAGCGTGTGAGTTATGATACATCTCCTATTAACACAATTGTAATTAGGTAACTTGACATTTGATAAACATATTATTTGAAGTCTTTATTGAGCCCAAATGACATGGCCCTCCAACTTGAGGAGTTGTTACTGGCAAAAAGGTTTACATTTCTTTTTGTTGAATTCCATGAAGCACACAATACTCATTAAAGCTGTTAGAAGTAAACTCTCAACCACCATCACTTCTGAAAAATGTTATGGGTTTCTCAAAATGTAGTGAAAGGTTCGAAAAACATCAAAACATAAGATTTGGCACAAAGAAAAAAGAAGAATGTAGCTACTTACTTTAAAGGCCGGGTCCGAAGGACTTTTTCCTTCCTTCATTTCTATATCTCTAGATGGAAGTCCTGAGTGAGTCCAGTCCGGATAGTAGGCAGCCTTTTGCCTTTTGGATTCCCTCCCTCATCTAGTGATGATTGTCATAGATAGGTCTCATCCCTCTGACAGTCAGTCCTGGTCCTGCTCGGTGCTCACGGTGATCGCTCAGCTCACTCATAGGTTATTCGAAGTCCGGATTTCTTGGATTTCGAGCTAGCTCCCAATCATGCCTTCCCAGGTAAAGATTCATTCAGTCTTTTTCTAGTCTAGACGAAATAAAGAAGCTCAAGTTGGCTTCCATGTCATTTTGGCTCTTAATTTGGTCCCAAAATTTGGCCAACGTAACATTACTGAGTTGATAATACCATGTTGAATAGGTTCCGATATGTCTATTTATTTTGTAACTTAGCTAGTGGCTTGTTCTTGAGAACTCTAAAACTTGGAAGAAAATTAAGAATAGGGTTGGGTGCCTTTTCTCCAATTGTTCTTTCTTTGGGGTTAGCTTACATGAATCCTTTTCCTACAAGAAAATGCAGTATGCTGATTTACTTGTGTCAAAAATTATGGCAAAAAAGGGAATTGAGGAACCCTTGTTGTTTTAGCCCACCAGTAATCCATGTAAACCTTGAAGTGTTTTGGTTGTATGTTTTATTTGTTTCTCTCATAAAAAAAAAAAGATAGAATGCTCTTGGCGACAAGTATCTGAAAGGTCAACCTAAATTGCCATAACTAAAGTGATATTTACCACTATTGCGTGAGAGATGCACAACTACCAGATTAAATTTTTCCTGTCAGCTTCGCAAATAAAGTGTTGTATAGTAATGTTTCTGCTCCTTTTTGTTTGTGTAGGAGGTGATTGGATATAAGTGAAGTGAATGTCTAGAGCGATGCATACTTTTCTATAAGGCACCAGCTGATTATGAACAAGCATAGGCTTGAAACTGAAGTCTACATGTTCATCTTCTGTTCAGTCCATCAGTTCTACTTCTACAGTTCTAAATATTAAGGAACTATTGGTATATGCGTTTGTTCTTATTTATAATTGTGTCTTATTGAAGTGTATCTCCAAAAATTTTAGTTGATGGCATGTGTTGTAATGAGCGGATGTGAGCGCATTCGTGATGTACAGTTGTTAATGAATCAAGGGGAATTTGCTCAAGTTTTTACTTAGATTGGTGAATGAGTTCATTGGAATTGTGTTTGCCAATTACATGCTTTGGAGTTTTGGCCTACAGGTATTTTTTTCTAGATCCAGCCTACAACTTCATATATATTCACATATATACATTAGTTTGAGGCAGTCTAAATGGATGGTCACTCACTGCTGATGGGCGGTATATTATCTTTTCAAATTAAACTTTCAGTTTACATGTTTACGCATGGCCAAATGGGAGGAGATGCCAAAGTTTGACATCATGGAAAGGATGCCAAAGTCTGCAAAATGGGAGACTGATCGAGAAAAGAGACATAGAGGTGAGCAGACCAGGAGAGAAAGGGCGAGGGGGAGCTGATAGAAGGGATAGAAGGGAAGGAGACTCGACAGGGAGGGGAACCCCATCGGAGGAGAAAGAGAGGGGGAAGACCCGATGGGAGATTCAATAGGGAGTCGGGATACCAAAGTGGTAACCTACGGGAGGGGGGATGCCAGAGTTGCTGACAGGTTCACTCTCTGCCTCAGCTTCTCTCTCTTCCACTTTCCTCTGCTACTTCTTCCGCCACTATCTCTGCTCTGCTCTGCTCTCTTCTCTTCTCACATCTCTGATTTGTGAAACGCAGTTGTTAGCATTAACCCCATACAAGGTTTTCACGAGTTCTCACCTGAGATTCTCTTTTCTAAAATTCAGGTAAATATCTGTTAAAACGTCGCCATCCAGTAATATACTGCCAAACCAACATAGTGAACCACATGTAATCTAATAACTACCGCATTTAACATAATTCAAAAATCTACAAAAGGTTAATATGTATTCCCTCCGTTCCTAAATATCTGTCGTTTAATATTTTTGCACAGGGATTAAGGAAACTATTAAATAGCTCTAGTATGAGTAAAAAATAATTGTATAAGACTAAAATACCCTTATTCAATACGTATTGAGAAGGAAAAGAATAAAAAAGACACTTAACCTATACTTAATCTATTAAGTACTTATTGGAAAAAAGAGATAAAGGTAAATTTGAAAGAAAAAATATTAATTATATTTTGATTTTATAAAACGACAGATATTGTGGAATAAAAAAAATTGGGTAAAACAAGAAATATTTAGGAACGAAGGGTGTATGATTTATCACTCACATGTTGGACTGTAATATCACATGTCGGGGATGAAATGTATAGAATCTTTACTTAAATTACAGGGACTCATTTGTATTTGCCTCAGAAAAGGTCGAGGTTCTTGGAGTTATTAACTTTGGTTCTTTTTTCTAGATTACATGCAGCCGCCAGTACTTGTCCTATGAATGGTTACGGTTTTAATGAGTTCTTAATTGGTTTCTCTTTCCTAAACAATATTCTGGGTATTTAATATTATTTATTAACGTCATAGAAAAACTATTTAAACCTGTCATTACCCTCAAGATGGTGACAACACTTCTTATAAGTACATGATTTCTGTAGCTGGTAGTCTTTATAATTAACAGGCATGCTAGCTTCATCTCTCATGCACTCCAATTAGCCATTACCATGACATCGTTGAGGAGCATCTAGTTATTTTTTTTGTAATCTTTATACCTGTTCAAGGACCTAAAATATCAATACCTCCACAACCATTCAGTTTTGATTCCAATCTCAACTTAAATATACGATAAAAAGGGTTTTGTTAAAAATGGATGAGAACATGAAGCCCACAGCCAGAGAGAGAGACAAGGTTGGGTTGGTAATGGTGGCCATAACATGCCAAAGCTGCCTAACTTTTTGCTCACTAACCTCATGGTATTGAATATAATTAGTCTCATGCTTAGTTGGAGAAGTGTCTTGAGTCGTGGCCGGCCGGCGATTATGAAGCTGGTGGACTCAAAGTTGATTTCAGTTTTTTATTTGTAATGTCTTAACTATTTTATGTTCTCAACAAGAATTGATTATCATAAACCGTATGACCATGCTCAATTAAATAGACACTAACTTCATCTTCGCCATCATCTTCGCTTTGAGAGAGAGAGAGAGAGAGCCTGTTGCATGCTACCATGGAGAAACTTAACAAGCAAGCTCTGATGTATGTTGCAAATCTCACACTTCCATCGGTATGTTTCCAATGTCCTCTGTTTTTTTCAAATAGCAAAAATAATTCTGTGGCCTCTTCTCATTTTGTCTAGTAAATCTTAATTTTCTGTTTAGCATATCGTAGATTTTTTGCTAAGGTTTCGATTGAGAGGAATTTTTTTATGTAGGATTGGAATGAAACTATTGAGAGGAATTTTTTTTATGTAGGATTGGAATGAAACTAAGTACATATGCCCAAGATTACCATTCGTCAGTAATCTCCTCGTCGTCAAGCTAACTTGTGCTGCAGATTTCCGATGTAGAACATGTTAGACAGATTAACTTCTCCATTGAATCTACCCTCTCGAGTGTAATGTTCATGTAGTTTAGAAGGAATATTCTGAATTAATGTGAATCAACTCTTATGAATATACAGGTAAGAACAAACATAGAGGATTTTGGGTCAGATTTTCATACTGTTTTGACCAATTTATATGTCTTGTTTTAGCTCTCTTAGTCATATTTTGATCTAGTACGACAAAATGAAAAACCGAATATACAGTTCATTAGCTAACACATCTCTTTTCTATTTGAATTATACTCCTTAGTTTCAGGTGGTAGTTTTAAGTTCTAATCTGGGATGCTCTTACTGTCGAGAGAGAGTTTACCAAGTCGTGTCGAAGATTACAGGTGAGAATTCCTCGCTAATTCCGTAATTTGTGTTGCAGTATGCAAACAGTGGCCGAAACCAAGGCCTTGAAATTGAATTACAGTGGTGATGAATGCAAATTTTAGTTTTTTCTCCTCAAATTTGTAGTCCTGAAAGAGTACACAGTGGATGTTCGAAAAAAACAAGTGATTCTCAAGGGAGATGTCAGCTTATCACGTAGTGATAACGCTTCCAAGAAGAAAACGAAGAATGGGTGGGGTCTGTGGAGATTCTTCATCAGTTTTTTCAAAGCTACTTGGATTACTGCATGTTGGTATAATTTAGTGTAGCTCTCTGCTCTCTGTTACAAATAAGACTAGAAAACCATAGTTATGATCCAGTAATTTAGTCGTAATATTTACCTTCTTATGTAATCAGCATTCTTATACACGAGCATGTAGAAAACTGGAACTGAAGGAACCTACAATTCACTTTAGCGTCAAGAAATTCAAGATGCTCTTTAAATTAGTTCTGATCTGAACCATTTGAAAGAGAATTGGAAGATCCTCCGACACTAAAGCTAGAGAGTCCCACTTGAAACATAAGAAAGAATCGAATGAATATGAAAACACAAAGATGGTTGAGTTTGTCACTTTTAACATAATTATCCTGTTACTCTTAGCTCAAGTGATAAACCTTGATGGATTAACGGATTTCCAACTTGTATTTTAATGCAGAATGCTTTAATCTTTTATCCATGTCAAGAGCAAATACCCTGTTGTTGGAAAACTACCTCAATGAACCATTAATTTTTTAATGGCAAATAAGCAATTCCAATCAAACTGAGAAAGAGAAACACCCACACAAATTGAATCATTTAGCAAAACAAAGGAAAGAAATTTATTTATTATAGCCGGAAATCAGAAAGAAACAAGCTCTTCTTCCTGATACTTACTGAAAAAAATATAAAAGAGATATACTACTAAACTAATATCTACTAAATCCTAATCCACTAAGAAGAAATTGACTACCATAATTATGCTTCAAGGGGCGGTGGTACCAAATGGGGCAGTCGATGTAACAAAAGAAAGTCAGTTTAAATTGGGAACTGACTTCTCACCAGTCGGCAATGGTGGTGGTACAAATGGCCATTTGAATGGAGGAAACTTAGGGAAACCGGACGGTAGAGGTGGTGGCACAAATGGCCATTTGTGTCTAGGAAACTTAGGGAAACCGGACGGTAGAGGCGGTGGCACAAATGGCCATTTGTGTCGAGGAAACTTAGGGAAACCGGATGGTAGTGGCGGTGGCACAAATGGCCATTTGTGTCGAGGAAACTTGGGGAAACCGGATGGTAGGGGTGGTGGCACAAATGGCCATTTGTGTCGAGGAAACTTGGGGAAACCGGATGGTAGGGGTGGTGGCACAAATGGCCATTTGTGTCGAGGAAACTTGGGGAAACCAGCTGGTAGTGGTGGTGGTACAAAAGGCCATTTAGGACGTCCCCAGAAATTCTCAGTGCTTATGTCATCGATTTGTGCTGAAACATGGGCATTGTCGGTTTGTGCTGCAACTTTGGCATTAAGGGCTCTTCCATGGGAGAGAGTGACCAACAAACATGTGAAAAGGAAAAAGAAGAGGAGGGTGCTTAAGCTTCTCTTGGCCATGGCTGATACACTTTGCTAAACTCTACACTATCTCTTCACAAGTAAATCTGACAAATGGGGTGTGGTATTTATAAGCTGAATGTTAATAGTTTTGAAAGGGTACAATCACCAATTGATTGGCTGGTTTCATTTCTTCATCTTTATCTCTTATGTTTTGTGATATTCGATAAGATAGTATGGGATTGTGGTATCGATTCCGATGGACGTAATCTCGATGAATTGTGATGGAATTGGGAGTCATATACTCTTGATCTCTATCAAGTTTGTTAATGAGGATTTTTTTTATCCATTATCAGGATTCAAACTATATATATTTAAAAAAAAAAAAAAAAACAAGGCTAAAGATTGTGATTATCATGCAAGAGATCTTCCAAATTATTTTTAAAAACTATAGAAAAATTACTTGGAGTCTATTTAGGTCTGTATTTAAAATCTACAATGTAATCTTGAATTATAAAAAAATTTGAGGTATATATTGCACTTATCTATAATATCTATACATCTATATCTATAAGCATTTGTGAAAATTTTTGATTTCTTATTTTATCCTTAATTATTATAATAAAATCAATTATATCCACCTATATACTTTCATTTAATTTTTATTTTTACTCTTATTTGACTTTAAACTTGTTTTGGACTATTTTATAAAGACTTTTAATAGTAATACGGTTACATACGATATTCTATACCTAAATGAATAAGTAAAGTCATATATATATTAAATTATTATATTCATGTATTTATCAGATCTAATTCCACAGTCAAATATATATTATATTTTATTTTTTAACTATCTAATCAATCTATTTAATAAAATAAAAATTAATAATTCTATTATATAATTAATTGTGCAAATGCCTAAAACAAATGACATATTAAGTGCTCAAAAAAACCACCATATTAAGTGCTCAAAAAAGGTCTCTCTATCAGTTTATATACCCCTACCATTAAACCACCATTTCTAATAAAAAAAATCTATCTAAAATATTAAAATTGTCCCTACATAAACCTCAAATAATCTTTTTACATAAAATTTAATTAAAATTTGAGTCGATTAAAATTTATTTTTTTACATATTAAAATTTGAGTTGATTAAATTTTTTTTTTTACATATTAAAATTTGACCAGTTTTTTTTTTTTTTTGTATGTATAAAAAATCGAGTCAATTTGAGGTCAACCTAAGCTATCAGCGCCAATTAAAATTCGATTCGATTAAAATTTATACTTTTTCACTTACTAAAATTCTTGCCAATTAAAATTCAATGGAAGTTGAGATTAAAATTCAATTTTTACGTATTAAAATTTTAGTAGATTAAGATTTATATTTTTTTAAATATCAAAATTTTGGCCAATTAAAATTCAATGCGAATTGATTAAAAGTTAATACGAGCTAATTAAAAACAAATTTTATTTAGCTCGAATCAAATTTTAGTCTGCCCAAAATTTAATACGTAAAACAATTTATAAAATAGAAGAGGTCTAATTAAATATATGTCTATCTAGAGGGGGTGTGGATGAAATTTTTCCTAAACTATATGATAGACAATTTAATAAAATTGTATTCTAGTTAAAGTCATTAATCTAACAAGAGATGTTAGTGAAGATTCAAAAACTAGAGGGAGTGTTCTTAAAGATATGATAAATTAGAATGAGTGTGGCTAAAATTTTTCCAATTTTTATCTCAAATCCGTGAAATTCATAAGATGAGTAGGTCTCACAAGCTTTTACTAATTATCCAACGACTCTCATTCTGCCATATCATTTGGGATTTATAATTTGATAAAAGAGTGCGGTCAACATAACATTTTTCTTAATTTTTTATCCGTTTGAGAGTAAATACCCGGTTGTTAGAAATTTACCTCAATGAACCATTAATCTTTTAACTGCTAATAAATAATTCCATTCAACTGAAAAAGAGAAACACCCAAACGAATTGAATCATTTAGCAAACAAAGGAAAGAAATTTATTTATTATAGCCAGAAATCAAGAAGAAACAAGCTCTTCTTCTTCAATACTTACTGAAAAAAATTATAAAGAAGATTGATTCTACTACTGAAGTAATCTCTAGTTACTCATAAATCTGAACTAAATCCTAATCAACTGAAAAGAAATTGACGACCATACTTAAGTGGAACCAAATGGGGGCAGTCAATGTAACAAAAAGTTAGGTTGAACTGGGAAATTGGGAGTTTTATATTTTTAGTGTTTATCAATTTTGTTAATGATGATTTTTTTGATACATTAGTAATGTACGATGTGCCTTGCACATAAATAAATTTATATAATTTTTTTTTATAAAATTGTGAACTATATGTGTAATTAAATTAAGTAATAAATTAGGTGTCGAATAATTAATTCGTATACTAATTGTTACTAAATTAATTATTACTTTATTTTATAAATGTTTGAGTACTTTATCTATCATTTATTTAGGTATATCTCTCCGACCCTTTTAAACATTTACACATCTAATTATATTGTATAATTATTAATTTTTAATTTATTCAATAGATTGAGTGGATCACTTATAATGTTATTATATTATTGTATACTAAAAAATATAATATACATTTAACCATAAAATTTAATCTGATAACTATATGTAATTTAACATGAGTAGAAATTTACTTCTTCATATAGATATAGAAGATTATAGAATTCAATCTGATAACTATGTAATTTAACATGTATAAGAAATTACTTATTCATATAGATATAAAAGATTGTAAGTAAGTGTTGCATTAATAAATGAGTCCACAACAAATTAAAAGTCAAATAGAAGTTAAAAAATAAAAGATTAGATAAAACTATATAAGTGAGTATAATTGACTTTATTATAATAATTAAGAATAAAATATGAAATCATTTTTTTTTTCAGATAATGATATTTATAAGTAGTATAAATAAATAAGTATAAATTATCAAGATTCAAACAATAACACGACTAATCTGACACAAAACTTGAAAATGACACGACTAATTGACATGAATAATAAATTGATCAAATTAAAGTTAGACTTGAATAACACGTTAATCTGCAAAATATAAATCAACACAAGAAGAAAATACAGTCATGTAATTTAAAAAACTATGGGCGTATAGCCTATATTTATTAAGTAAAGAAGAGGGTATAATGAGTGCAATTTTTTCAAGGAAAAATAAATCACAAGCACAACCGGATCACAAACAAAACTGGCTCATATTCATATGCAAATCTACACATTCCATTCCAGAAATCATCCACACCCACTAAAAATTCCCAAAAAGAAGGTAGATGTACTAAATGTAACATCGTTTCAATATATTTTTTCTCCATTTTCTTTCTGATAGATCATCTCCCATTAATTGATTGAAGTGGAATGCAAGGAAATATGCGAATTTCACACTAATTAATTATCAATAACCTGAGCTACTTGGGAATTCAATAATTCATGGTTTTTGCACTTCTGACCCTATGAGAATAACCTTTTCTTTTGATATCTCTCTTACCTTCTTCTGTCATAGGCAGAAGAATCCTCAGAACTCCATTCTTCATCTCAGCTTTTAATTCACGAAGTTCAAGTGATGAACATGGACACCCAAATCAAGGGTGCCCCCTACTAAAAGCATATAAATAATTGTTTGATTGGGAGCTAAGCTAGATTTCTATTTTACGACCCATAATTAACTACTAAAAGCATATACTCAAAACATTTGACACCCTTATGAGGCAGGGTCATGACCATAAGACACAAGTCACCCCTTTAGTCATCGAGAAATTTTCACATTATTTGAGCCACAATTTTAATTCCAATATTTGATTAAAGTAAACATCAATTGTTCACAAATTTATCACCCACTACCCTTTAGAGAAAAGGGCAAAACCCAAAAAAGTTCAAAAACACCCCCCACATTTTCTAACACAATCAAAATCACATAGCACTCTAACCACTTCCTTATTCTACCTTGACCTCATGAACTTTCCTCCCTTCTTCCTTGACATTGGGAACAATTAATTTCAAAACACCATTCTTCATCTCAGCCTTGATCTGATCAAGCTTGTACACATTCGGAGGTAGTTCCAGCCTGCCCGAGTATATCGGCCCATGCTCATCCTCCTCCGATTCCTTTTCGCCTTCCCCTTTCACGATCAGAGTGTTCTGATCCACCCTGATCTTCACATTGTCCTTGTCTACACCAGGCATGTCGATTCGAATGTACAAAGCCTCCTTGTCTTCCTTCACGTTCCATCCTCTCAGCGATCCAGAACCCCTTCCACGAGGTGATGAAAGAAAAGGGGTATCCATCATCTGGTCCATTAGGTTCAGGACCTGGCTCAAGCTTCTTGTTGGAAAATATGGATCAAACACATCTACATCAAACAATATAGTTAATCACACATTAAACTTCAAAAAATTTACCAAAAACTTCAGAAAAACAAAAAAAGGATGAAGATCAATTGATCGGAGTAATGGAACAGAGCATAAGTGATTGAAAATCATTATTATAAATCAAATTGTTGAATATTTCGAATAAATCCTTAAATTCAAAACTACCCGTTTTCCAAAGAACGATATGAAAATCAGTGATCGGAGGAATGGAACAGGGCAGAAGTAATTGAAAAGATCAAGACAAGTACCTGTGAAGAAGCTGGTAACAGAGTCACCTTGGCGAGAGACAGAGCGGTCGCGGCGATCAGTGTCGACACTCTGGTCAACTTGATCGATGTTGGTCACCTGAGTATCAGTGTTGAACGAACGAGAAACAGAGGGAGCGGCAGCGGCGGAGCGAATGGAGTTGGTGATTCTGTTCAAGAGAGGGGTGGCGGCGGTGGCTCTTCTTAGAAGCAATGACGAAGCCATTTCTGTGAAATTGCACAGAGCGTATGTGAGAGGTTTCAGCTTGTTTCGATTAAAGTTCACGTGTTGCAGGAAGAAGAGGATGGAGTGGGGTTTATAGCAATTCAATTGACGTGGGGGAGGGGCAAATGGATACTGGAAAGGCCGAAGGAGAAAGAGGTGTGTGTAGAAAATTCCAGAGGATGATGCCAGAAGTACAAGTGTGTAGAAAGTTCCAGATGATGTACACGAGAAGTTTCTACATATTTACAGGTATTAAGGGACCACGTTGTTGCTGTTAAACTTTTTATATTTTATTTACTGCTAATGACGGCAACTTCATTAAAAAAAAAAAAAAAGAGCAATGCTATATTGATTTAAAAATTAGACTTGATAATCTCAATCATTGATTTTACTGTAAGTTTCAGTATTTTTTGGGACCCACTACCTATTCAATGGTTGAGATTATCAAGTGTAATTTTTAAGTCCATCTAACATTACTCAAAAAAATAAAAGGTAACGATGATGATAGAATTTATGGTATGATAAAATTTAGGGAGAATTACACACATATGAGATTTGTACACATATAACCCTTAGACTCAATGTTTGTTGGTATATTATCTCCTGAAGTTTATGCGTATAATATTTAGATCCTTTAAATTTAAAATATTATACTTACATCAAAAATGCTTCAATCAAAAATAAATATCAAATATTATAAATTTTATAACCAAAATTCATATTCTATTATATTATTTATTGAAATAAAATTAAAATTTTGTTTTAAAAAAAAATTATAATTAGTATACAATTATATTATTTATTAGAATAAAACTAAAAAAAATCAAAAAAAGAGGTTAAACTGTAATGTATACAAAATCTTCTATCTTTATAAGGTAATTTGATCATTTAACAAATTCTGTTAGTTCTATAACTAATAAAGGATTTAAATGTAATATTTTAAATTTGAAAGGTCTAAATATTATGCATCTATAAACAAGAATTTGAGAATAATTTACCAAAGACAGAAGTCTTATAAACTTCAAATGGTCTTTAAAATATTTCAAATATTATAAGAGTCTAAGTGAATAAGTGACAAACTTTAAAAGTTTGAATATAATTAATTTACGATTTGTTCGGTACCAAAGATTTGAAAAGATAAACGAAAGAAAAAATAGAAGGATTTAAGTCTCACCCTTTTTCTATTGTACCCAAAAAAAAAAAAAATATGGTGCAGTATTAATATTTATTATTTTAATGATTTTTTTATACCACTTATGTGGTACTAAAAAAAAAGATAAAAATAATTATCATAAAAGTAATAAAAATACTTATAAAAATTATAAAAAGACCCATTAAAATAATAAAATTTATTGGTACAGTACACTTTTTTTTTTTTTTTTTTTTCAGTAGTCAAGTTCTTTCTCAAAACATGACCCTAATGTCGTCTTATCACTTGACTATTAATTCTTGCATCATCAGAGTTCTGAAGGTAGTCTTTTTTGCATCCACATGGTTCATCTTGATTCGTTACTAAGGAAATTGTCACATCTTTATTAACACATGGGATATTGTTATTTAATGATAAATTATCATACGCCGGAACCCAATACAACACAATCCAATGTAACATATATATATATATATATATATATACATTGTTAGTGTCGCCATTAGATGGTAAAATGGTCTTGGGTTTTTGCATCGACAGTACATCTCAGTCGGCAACTGAAAAAAAACAAAAAACTCCACCGAACGCAGCACAAACACACAAAAGAAAACTCCATATATCGCTATGGCGCGAAGCGTTTAAGGAAATGGGGTTTATATAAACCTCTTGGTGTTGACCAAACATGAAATTGAAAATGTTGTTAGAAGATAACACCTTCTGTGTTAAACTGAAAATGTTCTACGCAAAATCCATTGTACAGATTCACCAACCAGAATAATGTGGCAGATAGATTTTCAAAATTACAGGAACGACCCTTTATTTTTTAGCTATAGAAGTCAAATGACCCAAAACCTTGGCCCTAGATGGTTTACATCTCAAACCCAATTTTTTGTTTTTTAAAAACAGTTTCTGAACAAGAAAACTGTTTAACCAGTTAGTTTTTGTTTTTGTTTTTAAAAACTGAGATCAAAAACTTGGTAGATTTAGAAAATAATTTAAAACTGTTTTTTGTGTGTTTTGAAAACAACCTTTTTCAGAATTTAAAAATATTACCACCATACTTTCACCACCAACACCACAACACCACCACCAGACTCCCACCATCACAACCACATCCACCACACCATACAACCACCACGCTTCCATCACTATCACTATCAATACCACCACATTTCTGCTTTTATTATTTTTTGAGTTACCGTCCAAATAAATTTTAATATTTTCTATTTTGTGTAACTATTTTTAAAATCAGATAATCATATAAGTTCTACGACACAAAAAACCAAAAATAATTTTTTAAAATTCTTTTCAAAAATATTTTTCGTATACTGTTTTTTGAAACGCAAATCAAACAGAGCCTTCGTTTTCTTGGTATACGGATAGTTTTCATGACATCAAAAGACAACATTTCTAATTACTTTGTGGACAATCTAATCAGGAATGTCAAACACTAAAATTGGCTTATTCTGATAATTAAAATTGCACAACTAATTTTTGAAACACATGTCCACCTCTGCTCCCCTGGGTTCATCTAACTTTTAACACTGACAAGCTACATAACTGCTATTGGTGCAAAATTTAAAAGACGACAACAGATACGCTATGTTGGTCTCCTATAATGGCCTCAACTCTATAACTTTGTCTCAACATGAATCTTATCCCGCCATTTGCAGGATCTATCAGGTTGAAACGGAAGATGAACTAGTAAAAAGAAGAAAATCATGTTCTTAACTTGCAAGAAGAATGCGTGTCAACAAAGCACGAGTAATCAAACAATACTTCAGAATGTTCCACAGCTATAGAACCCCATGGCTGCACCTAAATTAGGTTGTCACAGCCACAAAGGTACGTAAGAAAAAATAACATGTCCAGAGTTTTTTCCTTTGAAATCCCTTTTTATGGTCACGTGAATCATGGAACCGAAGCATATAGAAAGTGAGGCAAAAGATGAATACCGAATGAATAGTTATGCTTCTTCATAAGATCCCCTAAGACTATGCCCAGCAAGCCAACAATGATGACAAACATGAACGAGGCACCACCACGATTTTTGCTGTCACCATGCTTCAAGAGTTCCTGCATGACGTAATCTCATAGAGGTGAGTCATTGAAAGAAAATGGTACTTGGTAATTTATAAACTAGTACAAAGCTTTGAAGTATGAAGGACATCTCAATCTGTCGTTCCATTGAACAGAGTGGCTTTAAGAAATCATTTTCATAGCAAAACTCAAAGCAAAACCTTCTGAAGTTTTAAAAAAAAGCCCACTAAAAGGTTCTGCAATTCCTGGAAAAAGACATCTGGGATCCATGAATATTGTCGTATAAGAACTTTGGAGAACAACACTCGTGTCTTCAATCGTAACACAATTTCATCTGGTAAAAACCCAATTGGCAAGAATCAATTCAACAAATAGTGGGAAAAGAAGAGACACATTTGCTCTCCATACTCACAAATGTTTCATTGACTTGGTTGAAAATGATATGGTCACATTTAACTAAATCCTTATCTTAAAAGTAATATGGCCACAAAGTTCTAGTTTACTTTCTCTAAGGCTAAGACGATAAACGCAAACCTCAATCTTCATGATTGTGCAGCGGTCAGAAGTATCCATTCAACCTAACTTTACCACTCAAGGTCTCATGTTAGCTGATCATAGTTCTCATAAAATCAAAGGCATGAGCCATTATTTTACAGTGGTTGAATGGAATTATCCAAACATAGGTATTTGCTTAACGGCGCGGACAAACAGTGTCCCGCAAATAGTTTGTTTATTTCTAAGTCATGACATGAGACTCGTGACTCCTATATTGATGATGGATCAAAATTCAGGCATTTCGACATAAAGAAGCAACTAACAATCAACTCTGAAAAGAGAAACTGGGCAGTGGGGAAGATAATAATACCATAATGAAGATACACCGGAACTATTGCAACGTAGCTTAAAACCTAGTGAATGGAATATTTTATGAATACTCGCGTAGGGGAAAACAAGAACCCCATCACATGGAGATATGAAAAGCATACAGCCCTTACCAGTTCCTGACGAAGTTTGTTATTTTGTTGGATGGCAGAAGCTTTTTCCTCAGTCAACTTCGATAAAAGAGCTCTTGCCTGACAATTGAAATTATACCACCTCTTATTTACCCAAATCAATGTGACTTTAAGGATACAAACAAACTATCAACGGTAAGTTTAACTCGATCATTATAGACACCAATACATATCCATGTGCAGGAAAACCGCAAACAACCAGCACCGACAAGCAGGAAAATTCAACTGCAGCTACAAATAAAATTTCAAACTTTTCAACAAGTAACAATGATCTACATATGTATTGGAAATAACTCTTATGTACCATGAAAATATAGATGTTAAGTACATAAACACAACGTATGATTTCCAACAACAAAAACTATACAAACCAAGCTGAGGCTTTTCTGGTTCAATTTCAAGTCAAACGTGTAACAAAAACTGCGAAGTGCACATTCGTAAGTAAGAGTGTCTGTGTGTGTGTGTGTGTGTGAGAGAGAGAGAGAGAGATTTCACCTCGAAGGATTTGTCATGAGCTTCAACAAATGATCTTGCCTGCATTCAACAACAAAACAATGTTCCACCAATATCTTTATGTCAATGGGCAAAGTATTGAGAACTAAGGTGAGGAAAAAGAAAGTAATATAAATAATCAAACAGCTCAAAGAATCAAAAAAGCAACCTCAGAAATATTTATATTTCCATTGTCTGTCACAGACGTCCTTGGTGAAGATCCCTCTGTCAGGTGATGGTGGTTTGAGGTGGAGAAACATACACTACTCTCAATTTGGACTCTCAACTTGATGTCCTGTTTCCTTATTGAACTATAAAACCACCCCATATACATAAACATAGACTCAACCAATTAAAGGCAGTGCTTTGCGCACTCCTCTTGAAGATTCTTCACTCTACAACTAGAGTGCATGAAATTTTAAAACGTGGAGAGTTGAAAAGCTAATGGTGGAAATTAAGGCATTATAAATAATCCCAAGTACCCAAAAAACTTGAAATGAATAGGATTACATAGTATAAGTACCATTTCTGGATTAATGTCCTTTGAGGTAACACGAGGATTCACTACTACACTTTGAAGTAGAAATTTGTCCTTGCATTGCATGTCAGGAGGAGCCTCCTTTTGGCCTTGCATTGTAACTAAATCAAATAGATACAAATATAAGAGACCAACAACAAAATTAACAAAACCCTACATTAGATTATTGCAAGAAAGCAGAAGAGATATCCATTTAGCAATTGGGTTTCATTGCATTGACCGAAAACAAAAACAACAAAATTAACCCATATTCATTTTTTTTGTATCTCATTAATCAGTCACCAAACCAAGGGAAAAGGGAAGTGATAGAAGGGTTTGATCAGCATATTTACCGATAACATCACATGTTGATTGGGGCAAAACAATCCCGCTGTTAGGCCGAACACAATACTTCTTTGGATTGGTTGTCTTTACCTAAGGATAAACAATCGCGAAGTTATATTAATATCCAGGACATGCAATTTTCCGATCGTTGTAATCCCACTGAGCATAACAATTCAAAATTCAACAATACCAACATGCAAAATGAATTAAAACCTACATTTCTCACAATAAAACTACCAACTTTTAAATTTAGGGAGACAAATTGAATCGAAATTTACCGTGAATGCTACGTGGTTCTGGGTCTTATTTGACAATTGAAGAGAAGAAGAGATCTGCTTCTTCAGCTCATCTACCCAAAAAAAAATTCACCAAAATTAAATCAAAATGAAATCCCTTCAAACATATAAAACCCAACCAAAAAAAAAAAAAATCAGAAGATCCTTTATAGAGATCGCGTGGGACTTACAAGGGAATTTGAGCTCTAGAGGTTCGATATCGATAAGCTGTCTCGTGCTCATTCTTAAACAATGGATTTTCTCCAAGAGAGCAAACAAAATTGTTTTTCAAAGTATACGAAAAGCAAATTTGAAGGTTGGAAAGCGTTTTCTGAAAAAACAATGTTGATCAAGAAACCGGAGCAAGGAAGGAAGGTTCGGAGGAAGTGGGAGTGGCGTCAGTTCAAAACTTTAGCCACAGAAAACACGCTGTAAAATTTAGCGAGAATTGTACTTTGCACCCAACATATTTAAGAATTTTTATTTTACACCCTTAAAAATTATTTTTTTTATATTGTGCTCTTAAAGTATTAAAAATGTTACAAATAACCCGTTCTATTAATTTTCATTGTTTAAATGTAAGGGTGGAAATTGTGTAAGTTGGATTATGTCGGGTCATTTCAAGTTCATATAGAGCATTAATCAACTCTAATTCAACTTATTTAAAGAATCTTATCGTGTCGTTTTGTGTCACCTATTTATTTTTTTGATGTGTTGGTTTTGACCCATATAACCCGTGAATTAAAAAATTAACACTCAATTTTATATCTAAAATTTTATTATCACTTAATCAAATCTACGCCCGATCGAGTGCCTTGGCGCGTGCCAAGATTCGAGTGCCTTGGCGCGTGCCAAGTTGCCCGGTCGAAAAATTATAACTAAAAATTAACTTAATAAATATAATAAAAAAAATGAGTAAAAATATTTTTTTGGAAAATTTTCAATTACATCACTTCTAGTTTACCATATCTTTAAAAACACATTTTTTATTTTTTGAATTTTCACTGACACACCTGTCATATAGAATACAATTTACTAAATTACCTATTATATATTTTAGGAAAAACTTCATTCACACCCTTTTATATAGTTATATCTTCAATGAGACTCTCATTGTATTTTAAATTGTTTTACGTATTAAAATTCAAGTCAATTAAATTTCAATTCGAGTTAATTAAAATTTATTTTTTAAGTATTAAAATTTGATTAGATTAAAAATTATTTTTTTTACGTATTAAAATTTGAGCTGATTAAATTTTTGTTCAAGTAACTCAAATTTTAATCAATTTACATTGAATTTTAATTGGCCCGAATTTTAATATATAAAATATAAATTTTAATTAACACAAATTTTATTATGTCAAAAATAAATTTTAATCAACTTAAATCAAATTTTAATTAGCACAAATTTTAATAAATAAAAAATATAAATTTTAATCAGAGTTAACAGTTCAAGTAGAGATCAAATCAGCTTAAATTTTAATACATAAAAAAATAAAATTTTATAATTTTGAATCAAATTTTAATCGGATCAGATTTTAATATGTAGAAAAATAAATTTTAATCAACTCTAATTTTAATATGTAAAAAAAATTTAATAGACTCGAATTTTAATAGAATTTTATGTAAAAAATTTATTTGATATTTATATAAGGGCAATTTTGATATTTTAGATTATTTTTTTTGGGTTAGAAATAGTGATTTAATAGCAAAGGATGTCGGTAATGTTTAAATATAAACTAGAATGGGTGTCATTGAAAATATGATAAATTAAAAGAGATGTAGCTGAAATTTTTCTTATTTTTTTTTATACGAGAATTAGGTCACTACATAATAAAATAAAATAAAAAATAGTATTTTATTATTATAATACTATTTAAACGTGTTAACTATGTTTATTTCGTGTTATTCGTATTTGATACTAACTCAACTCATTTATTATTCAAGTTTATGGTTTATGTCATATATCGTGTCGAAAAATGGTTAACACCAAGTTACTAAATTAGTATCAATTTTGAATCTTGTTCTCGTGAAGTACTTCAATTTATAATAAAAAATTGAACAATAGTCTGGATAAGGTCCATATTGTTACAAATTTACAACATGACAAAACATCTTTCTACGTTCAAAGTGGCATTAGCCCTATTTCAAAACTTCAGCCATAGAAAACACGTAATAAAATTTAGCAAGAATTGCACTTTTAACCTAAAAGATTTAAAAATTTTAATTTTATGCCCTTATTAAAGAGTATATTTTTTATATTATACACTCAAAGTATTAAAAGTGTTGAAATGCACCTCTTTTTATTAGTTTTCAATGCTTAAATATGATTAAAACCCAAAAAATTGATCTAATTTGTCACATAATAATGTGTCAATTAACGAAATTCCAATAAAAAAATCAAAGAATTACTGTGAGAACACTACTATTAAATCACATTATTAAGTCATCAAATCAAATTAATTTTTTAAATCTCAATAATACTACTCATTCGTTACCAGTTTGTACTTTGCTGTCGTTAGACTACAGATAAACATTTGGCACTAGACCAAAATGAGCTTGATTGATTGGTAAAGAACGTCACGCTCCCCATCCCAAACGGGAACAGAGGGATGGGCCTCACGCTGTTCTATGACAAGAACGTCACCCACTCTTGGCCAGTCTTACTACGAAATTTAAAAAAAAAAATTGGGTCCTACACAAAGTCCCATCCCAATTTGAAATGGTAATAAATACAACCAAGGTAATGTGTAAATTAAATTAATGACATTGTACAGCACCAATTAAAAAGAATAAATAAAACAGGAGAGAGAGAGAGAGAGAGAGAAGGAAGTAAGATTACAGTGGTTTTCAATGCATTAAATAATCAAATTGCAACCTTACAAAGCAATTTCCATTTTTAAACTCCTTAGATAATGGATTCTTTGGCTACAATACAATCTTCGAAATGCACTCAACTCCTGTTCTCGTACAAAGATGGGTATCACCAAATATGCAAGAACATGGAAAAGAAATAAACCATCAACTTTAGTAATTTTGTGCTGAGCTGTATTTGACCATAAGTTCAGTTCTTCAGTTCCTCTATATGCCATTCAAGTCCTTGCAAAACCTAAGTCAAAAAAAAAAAAGGAGGGGTAAGGAAAAAGGTATCCTCAAAAACGAAAAGAAAAAAATCATGTTTTTTAGTGGGAAACTGTACAGTACCGAAAAAAAAAATTAATATTGGTATCGCTAGTTACCACTTTATCATAAAGTTACAATTTTGAAAAAAGAAATTACAACGGCTCAAATGAAGACCATCATCGATCACATACACCTGAACTCTCAGTATCAATTTCAACCTTTCATGATCGATTATGCCCTTTAAAGTTATAATTTACTCCTAAAAAAAATTGTAATTTAGCCTTAAAAATTTGTAATTTTTGGCAGTAGTACAGCAGCCTTTCCCCTTTTAGAGCTAGCTATAAAAATTGCACGAAGTTTTGAAAACTCACCACCTTGGTATCCTCAAGTGCACATTCCAATGTATTGATTTTCTGTGAAATAAACCATATCAACCCGTATCTTAGAACATTGAGATTGCCATCAATCAAAGGAATGTATATGAGCGCAACTCACCGCCTTGGCATCTTTAAGTGCAGCTTCAAATGCCTCAATTTTCTGCAATGAAGGCTTATCGATAACTTTTGTTCCCCTGAATTGCCAAAGAGCATCATCTCCCGTTGGAATTGCATCAGAAAAATCTTTGATTTGGACATTTTCCTGCAATAAGTACATTGAGGCCTTAATAGTTAGCAGTAAGCACATTACCTTGATGTTTGCCTGGCATGTTAATATATTGTAATGTGAATTTAGCATATCCTCCAAAAACACATGAAATGGCATGTACGAGTAGCATTTTTCACCAAATACACATCAGAACACACTTTTATTCAACAAAAAAGGTTATTCTTTATTTTACAACAAATGAGCATTAATAACAACTTTTAACAGTCTATAAGTTGCCAAATATGCTCAAAAGGGCAAAAGGGGAAAAAATAAAACTTCTTTTTGAAATTGCTTTATGGAAAACCCATAAATTCATGACAATCCTTAAAATGAGGTGCTGATAATCCTGCAGTCTGGTAACTTCGTCTGTAGTCAGAGAGAAATGTGTGGAAATTTCGTAACTACGTAGGTAAATGGTGATACACAGTCACATGAGAGGGCCCATTACGGAGAGAACAAGAAATTCACAGCATTAGTAGGTGCACCATGTTCGTGGAGAAAAAGAAAAGGCAAAGAAAATGAGAAAGTGAAATTTATATCCCCCTTTATCAGAGTTGAGAACTTTATGCCATGATTAGAATTAGATAGTAAAGTTGCACGGCATAAGCTTCCATACCAGCAAACCCAAGCAATGCGAAAAAAATTTCTTATGAAGAAAGGAAATCTGGATCTTGTCCATCAGCCAAGGTTACTTACCATGTCGAAGTCCATGGTTTCTTTGGCAGACATACCACTCTGTTCTCCATCTTTAAACTCTTTTTCGCTATCATTCATTGCCTGAAACAATTAATATGAACATCTTCAACCATATCGGGGATGGCACACACTGATAAAATAATTGTTTTGTTATTAATTGTCCATGACAAGCAAAAACATTAATATGAGACATTAAAGAGATCACCTGAAGCTTATCTGTAATTTCTGGATCAGTCCAGGGTCCTTTGTCGCTTGACAGGCAACCCCCACAGTCAGAGCACGTGCAATTTCCACTAAAGAAAGTTGGCAAATTACTGTGAAAGTGGCAATTTTTAGTGATCCCAATATAACATAGATACATAATTTCGTGAAGGCATCCATATGTGCATAAAACAAAGATGCATCAAACAACAGTACACGCTATGATATATACACAATATATACACCTCATGCATTCATCTTTAGACAAGTCTATATGAATATGCACCAGATATGGTACCTTGGATGGATTACTTCGGTTAGCTTACTTCTATAGTTGCTTCCCAGCACCTGAAATAGTAATCTTCGGTAATTTTAGTGAAAAACATACACTGCTCTCTTATACAAGGCAAGAAAATAAGCTTACTTTGATCTTTGCCAATGTACGTGGATCAAGAAAAGCCTTGAGAACATTCCAGAGAACCCTAAATCCAGATCCAGCATTAATGATCAAGAGTTCATGTAGCGTCTGCAGAGTATCAGTGGCCAAAACTTCAATATATACCAAAAATTTATATACAAGGGGACCACTGGTTCAATGGTTAAATCAAGTCCAACAATCATGAGGTTGTGGGTTCAAATCTGAGAGCAACCAGTTCGAAAAAGTTAGTGTTGTATTCAGTCACATCCCGGCCAGGACTTCCATTAATGAAGACTAAATTGGGTATGTACCACATATTTACATATGAACAAAACATAATTAATGCTTTAATAAGAAAAACGATGATTGCTAGCAAGATTTGATATGTCCTACGCAAGTAGAAAACACTGTACTCCCTTCCTAGGGCATATTAATTTTTACTGATGGTGAACAGATTAATTGCAAGAAGTAATTCATCTTTCTAAAAAAACACATGCCATCAGAAAATGGCTGCAGATTGCCATATGCCGAGTTTTGGTCTTTGGAAAATTCACAACTGTGGTCAGCTAATTAATTCACAAGTGGTCAGGGGAATACGGACAGCATGAATTGTCACTTGTTAATTACAGTGTTTAAGAGGTAGACAATGAGACGAAGATACATAATTTTGACGCACACATAACAGCATCCCACTGGTACAATCATGTGCAAAGGGAATGTCAAAATTCAGGCTTCCCATCTCAAAGGGCTAGTGTGAAATTATTAAATAAGAAAATAACACCCAGTTTGGTCCTCATTAGTGAGTGTGGGAGGGGTACGTTGGGTACAGATCTTACCTTTGGCATCATTTGCATAAAGTGGCTACGCTTGGTGTGAAATTATCAAGGAAACAAAAATAAACGGTAGAAAATGACATTTTCTTTGGCATTTCATGATGTGGCTCTGTGGCCCTCGGATTAGAAAAGGAACTGTAAGAAGTTTTTTTTAATCAAATGACATAGGTTTCATAGCTAAGCTATTGTGCCAAGCAGGATTCCTAGAAAAAGTAATGGCTGAGTCTATGTCTCAAAATGTCATTTTAAGTTGGCTACACACTGATGGCATCAAATCAAAGCATGTTATCTTTACATTGCTAAATAATTGGAAGTTTTGATTCACATTCTTAACCAAAGCACTCATGAACAACTGTATGATGTCAAAACTAAATGCAAGAAAACATATCTAACAACTTAATTCATCTGATAACTATAACTTGACATGAAAACAGTCAATCTACTGGCGGGATAAGCCTGCATACATCTGACCCTCCCATGTCCTGCAGTGATGGGGAGCCTCATGCACTATGCTGCCTTAGAACTACAACTTGACTCAAACAGTCAAAATACTAATAAAACAAAAGCATAGCCCTATATGAGAACAAGATGCAAGTGCAGCAGCAAAAGGTTTTCAAAAGCAGAAATAAGAAAAGAATTGAAGGGAAAAATATGTTAGTTTTTTCTTTTTTGCACTTCTTTACATTTTTTTTTGATTTTTCTGGGTTGGGCATTCCAGGGGTGTTGCTTGACAGTTGGGTGGGGTAATCTCAATCCCAAACTAATTGAAGTTTTTTCATGGTAGAGCTTCCTCGCCTGCATGATTGTGTTGCCTTCCTCATTAGGAAATCAAATAGATGGAGTCCTTCCTCACAAGCTAGAATTTTTAAATTGCACCATCCTAACATCACAGGCAGCAAGACCCACACCTTAGTCAAATCATCGACGGTCATATTGAGTGGGATGCACACATCACAATTCCATTATTAAAAAATCTGCAGCAGGAAATGGCCACAAATGTCACACCATTTGTGACGGTTGGTTGTTTCCTTCTTTCATTAAAATATAACTAGCCATTAGTTTCCTACAAAAACATATGCTTCCTGATTTCCTGGATAAACTGCATGAATTTTTTATTAGGAAGCTGATGGGGATCGTGTAGGAATTGGATAGATATTTTATCCAATTCCTACACGATCCCCATCAGAAGCCCTACTCACAAGTCACGGCAATTTTTGCAGCCTGTTCATTGATATATAATCCAATATTGGCCAGGAAAGACTACCAATGTTCCACATACCTCAGGATAATAATTGCTATCAATCTTTTGAAGTTCCATAAAGAGATATCTTGCAGGCTTTGAAAAGTTAGACATTCCCTGCGCAGAGCAGATAGAGTGGATTTTGTATTTTATTATGAACAACAATAATATATGGATGATCACAATGAAAGATATATTAGCATTGCAACATTTTTTTGTACACTCGATAGAGTGAAATATCAAGTTTGCATTCACATATTTACAATAACTTCACCTCATTGTACACACCTAATAAAGATTACTAACAGGCCTTGGTCCAATGATATTCCTTACCTTGTGAAGGTTTTGGTTTCTTGAAGCCAAGAGTTCAAGTTCCCCTCCCCTCCCCCTCCCCCTCCCCCTCCCCCTCCCCCTCCCAAAAAAAAATGTCGTAAAAAATAATAATAATAAAATAATAAAGAATATCAAGTTGTGTACATGCAATACCCATAATTAAATCTGCAATTGAATAAGTTGTAACAAGCATATATGGCCAATTAAGAAGATTTGAAGGGCCAACCAAGATCCCTAGATAATCATTTTTGATGGAGAAGTTCACAATTCCATTGAAGAATGAAATAGACTGCTACATACTTGTAGTTTGAGCTGTAAACATGCACTCCTTGTCAATGAAATGCGATATACAGAGACACGTGCACCGTAAGTTATGATGTGAGAAAAAAATGCAAGCACCATAGTTATATATTTGTGCACCACGTTCGTCAACATGTTTAACACCATAGCAGAGTAGAGCCTATCATACACAAACACATGCACATACGGTGTGCATATCCAAGAGAAATATAGAAACACTGACAAGACATGCCAACAATTAATTTGTCATCAGATCTACCTTCCTGAAATAACCTGGAGTTTGAATTTGGATATAAAAACATTACTCTCCATATGCTAAAACTCATAGTATTAACATGACACAAATGCTAAGTGCTTTTATGAAGCAAGATAATATATCATGGCACACTTATTAAGTTTCTTAGTTTTGGACTTCTGAGAGATGGAGATAAACAAGTGCACGAGCTCACCACATCCTTCACATCTAAAATGCTTGTTGTTGAAGAAATAGGGGTCTTTGCTGCAATTGAGCATGCAGCATACCTCCACTTTAATGTTTTCTCTTGTTCACGTACATGATACTTAAGAAATCTGTCTATAGTGGTTATTTGCAGGAGGGCATTGAGGTCTAGCATTCCAATCCTTTCTATGTATAAAGGTCTTCCATATCTATCAACTCCATGAAATCCATGTGGATAACATTTCTTAACCTCTGTATACTCTTCAAACTTAAATTCCTGCAGTATGTATTAGCCACACTAATCCCATGAAAATTTTCGACGAGGTAATTGTTTAGATAAAGATGAACATGAACATGAACCAGATAAAGCAGATAATAAACAGATATATTGTTTTCAATGCCTCAGTATAGCAACAAATTATTTTTTTTTCTGCTAAGAGGCTAAAAGACATCTTGAGATGTATAAACAAGCACCACAATCAAAAATTAAGTAGGCATGTCCAAAGCTATCGCAAAGAGTGGTCAATGTCATCATGTCTTAAAATAGAAAGTGAATTACTTTCTTGCTTACCTAGACCTGCTTTAATGTAGTAACACTCCCTGGCAAACAATACTAGCTTGTTTATATGTGTCCTTAAGCTCATTATTTTAACATATTGCATAAGTAAGGTAGTGCAAGCCCAAAACCAGATTGTCTGTTGTAGGTGGGGAGTTAAACTAGAGTTGATACACGTGAACAATACCAGTATCACAAACAGGATGAGTGGGAAAGATGGTTGGGATGAAAGAACTCGAGTTACCTATTAATGCATGGACCAAACTTTGACCAAAAGAATTTTTGAGAAGGTGGGGGCAATTGAATGCACTCTCACCAGCCGAATGACCATATCTAGATAGAGGGTGATGCTACCCGTGCTACATCCCTCGGATATCTGTCTCAGACCAAGATGTCACTAGGTCTCAACATTTCTCCATGTCTCTATGTGTCAACGTAATGAGAGTCAATAACGGAGGTATATATTAGCACTTATGCTCGAGTAGTCCTGGCAGCTTAGGGGTGTTCAAATTTTTGATTACTTACAATTTCCTACCCTACCCGACCCTACCTAACCCTATTGATTGGCTACTTAAAAAAATCGAGTAGGAATGAGAAATGACTATCAAATTTTCATATTCCTACCCTACCCAAATATATAAACTAAAAACCCTAATTCCCTAACGCCTCCAAATCTCTCTCGCCTCTAGCCTCCTCATCTTACCTCGTATTTAATTTTTTTCGTTACTCTTTTTATCTCAAAAATAATTACAGAGAAAATTACAATTGGTCTTGAGTGAAGAGAGGTGAATGAGTGAAATGTGTAATACAACTTTATATATTTTTTTAGTAATTATAAGATTATTTATGTGATATAATTTATAACATTGTTATTGTTATAGATGTTAGAGTTGCTAAAACATCGACTTGTTTTTTGTACAGGTAACATGATTTGTGGTAATCTATTGGAGCAGTTATAATTTTTAATGTGTTTCATATAGTTTAAACCTAAAGTAGTTGTTATTGTATTTGTGCAAGTGCAACAATTATGATGGATTGATATTTATGTCTTGGACTTTCTTGTGTTTTATTGTAATTGTTTTAAGGTTTAATATTATTAATTTATTGTGTTGTTAAATTGGTACAGGTTACTTAATTAAATTGCTAAAATGTTCAAAAATTAATAATTATAAAACGTGTTCACCCAATTTCCTACCTGATTAATTTGAACGAAAGTCGAGTAAGAATACTATACTTAATCGGGTAGGATAGGTCAAGAAAAAATTATTCCGCAAAACATCGAATAGAAAGATAAAAGACCATATTTTCTACTTGTAGGGTACAGTAAACACCCTTAAGGCTGCCCATATAAATTGTCACCAGTTGTCTCTATATAAAGTTAACGCTATTTGCAGACAATGTGTGTACATGCAACCACCTCGGCCACTTTCGCACAGTGCTTGCGCAATGTGCGCTAGATTTCCTAATCATTAATTTGGCAGAATTGACATTCCATGGATACAGCCTATACTTAGTCCTCAAGGAGGAGGTTTAGTTTCTAAGGCTGGTGGGCGTTATCAAGGTAGAAGAGTCGTGAAGTGGGTTCCTGCAGAATGTCATAGCTGCAAAGGGTAATGGTCGTTGTCCACCAGGCCATGCATCCATGAACCCCCTCTTACTCACAAAACCCCTTCAAATACACATCAGGATCCACATGTCCTAATATTCCATATGCTGATCTGAACCATCGACCTCTTGTACCTCAAGAGTCTCTCTGGATCCCAATCAAACACAACCTAATAGGTAATAAGCCATACACTGGAAGGCCTGCTAGAGCAGACTATAATGCTCGTCTACCTCCGTTGCTCAGTTCTCTCTTGAGGAGTATTCATACTTCCTTATCTCAAGGCAAGGACTACCCTTTTTAATCCCTTGGGCCAGTCGAGCAACGGTATACCATTAGTTGACTTTACACTATGAGCGTCCAATGGGTTTCAAGTTCTCTCTTAAGGGAGTACCCCTCGAGGATTTGCTAGGGATATACTTCTCTCTATTTGCAAGATCCCATTTGTATGTTTTTACTTCCGCAGCTGGCAGACTAGCCAGGTTGCACCGGATTGCCTCTAGATGCTTGTGGTGCCAACTTTTGGCCTCTTGAACAAGGATTCATTTACCATTGCCGCGACAAGAGAGCAGACCATGTCATCATGCCAAGTCATCCTCAATGCTCGTGGTGCCACTCTTGATGCTAACGAATCAGATGGTATTAAAGTAGGGTTGTCATTAAATGAGTGTACACATTGTGAAAACTCTACTTTTGATCGAGATTCTTGACCTTATCCACTTTATTATGTTTTTTTACGAAGTTCCTATAGTTTGCTATGATGTGTCAATTCCATTCAAAGTAAGAAACTTTGTTTTTCCACCTAGAGTCTTACCTTGGAGGCCCAATCACTTGCGATACCTAGACTTTCAGGTTTTTACTTTTCCTCATTGCAAAAAAAATATATATATATATTCCTTGTCTATTCCAGCAACAGTGATAAAGTTCTGATGAATATCATACATTGTTCCTGTCACTTTACCTAAATGCAAAGTCGTCATGTCTTTATGTACAGCTAAGTTTTTCCAGATTTCATCTCAAAAACAAAAAGAACTGAAATTAGAAAGTATGGTTCCCGATCATAAGTTCCAAGTACAAACAACTACAAATACAGAGTTTGCATTCACCTTGATAATTGCATCAACACGAAACTCCTTTCGCCACTTAAGATAATTCAAAAAAGCTTCTTTTGCTTTAATTAGATCAAAATCCCTCATTCGTAGAAATCTGAAATCACAAAAGAACACCATTATACACACTAATCGCACCAACTCCATAACCAACCTTTTTTTTTTACCACTACAGGAAACCAGTGCTGACTGCTGGCATAAAGAGCTTAACAATCTTAAAAGAAACTACTTGGCTCTATCTGAAGAGGAAACAAATAGGCATCTTTTGTAATAACATACTACTTAAACCTACCGCAAAAGGGTGTGATTATCAGTGTGCTTCCCTGGCAGCTGATCCTCAAGAAGAAGCAATTCGCGAAAAGACACAACAATTTGTTCTTTTTCAGGATCATAAGCTCCTTCTAGGCTCATTTGCGTACTTTGGCTCCTTCGTATGCTCTTTGAAGATTCCCAAAACTTAAATGTTTTAGACATCATTGTGGTGAAATCTGAATTTAGCCAAGAGATTGCTTTGCAGTTGTCTTAAGATGGTAAATGTCGCTAACTTCAAGTGGATGGATGAATTGAGTTAGCCTTCAATTCAGTAAACCAAATTCTTCATAACTTGAAAATTGTCCCCTCCCCTAGCACAATGATTGGACTATCTCCCCAGTCTTGCTGTTGGTTTATTTGTACATAATGTAGCAATGATAAAAAGAAAAGAATGGTAAAGTTAATCACTGGTTCTTGATTGAATTTGTAGACTTAAAAAAGGAGAAATTATCTGGAGTTTGAGGGGGTTTTGTTCAATAAATTTCCAACGAAACCCAGAAACAAGTTGCCTGAATTTTGGAAGGCAAGACAAGATGAGTGACAAAGACAATTAAATAAGCAAAATGTAAATTATATTAAATTACAGTAGATAAACCAGTCACAAATGTGAAAACGTTTTTAGAAACGATAAAAGGCAAAACACAGCCATCTGATCAGAAGCCACAGTCTAGAATTAATAGCAAAGATCTCTTAGAAGCAAACGAAATTCAAGCTGCATGGTTTCATGAATTTGACATGAAGGTCAGATTCAAAAATACCAACAATAGATGAAGATAAAAGGACTAAATTCGAAATCATACAGAAAGTAACACAAAATCACAGTGAAATTAGATGAGTTACAGATTGCCAAATTTAGCAACAATACAAAAGATACTAGGGAATCGTCTAAATGAATAAACAAAAAGAACCCATTTGAAAATAAGTGGGAAATCGAAGTTTGAAACAGGGAAGGTGATAGAATTTATCCAATATCATGCATTAAAATGTACCTCGATGATTAGGGTGAATCTGAAGGAGAGAGAATTTAATGTGGAAGCAATGTGCTTGGTATCGGATGCCATGCTTGTTTCATCAATCGGGTATTTCGAGTTTTTCTTTTCGAATGTTTGAAGTTGAAGGAACCGCGAAAAGAAGAAAACTCCGTTAGAAGACTTGCCCAATGCACCAATTTCTCATACTCTACCAAAGCGCCAAAGCCCTAACTGCTATTTTGCGGTTTTCGGTGTCGTCGGAACTATGGTATGGTTCAGCAATTAACTCAATCGAGTTACTTGGCCTACCTGTTATCAATTTAGATTTATTTGACAAAAAATATATAAAATAAAATATTTTAAAAAAAATTACATAGTTGAGATACAAAGACGTAAACACTTATTTTAAGATTATTTAATTCAAAATCTCTTATCTTTAATGCACCTTGATTCATACATATTTTTTTTTTAAAAGTGGTTTTATTTTTAAATTATATTTATGTATTAAATATTTACTACTACTAGTTTTATAGAAGAATTTTAATATTTTGTTTTTTTTTAAATATATTACTTGTTTAAATTTTAAAATTTGTCAATATCCGAACTTCATAATAGTAAAACAAATACACTGTAACAAAGGCAGTGTAATAATACACTGTAACAAAAATAGTATTCAGTAGTTTTGTGTATATGGTAACAAATTCAAAATATAAATTGACTATTTTGAATGAAATTATATGAAAATATATGTTTGATAAAATACAATAATATAATATTTTGTGTAAATAGTTTGTTACACTGTTATTGTTACACTATTACACTATTCGGATATTAAATTAATTTAAAAATAAAATCACTTTTAAAAAAAAAACGCATGAATCAAGGGACATTAAAGATAATTCAAAACTTAGATAAGAGATTTAACTTATATATATATATGCATTAAATATTCAATGTGCATTAAATATAATTTGAAAACGAGTAATGCTAGATAGACTTAAAAATTAGACTTGATAATCTCAACCATTGAATAGATAGTGAAACTTAATAAATGTTGGGACCCACAGTGAATTCAATGGTTGAGATTATCAAATTTAGTTTTTAAGTCTACTTTTTAAGTTAATGTAGCATTGTTCATTGAAAACAAAATCACTTTCTAAAAAAATTTCGCATGAATTAAAGGAGAACATACAAATATGGAATATTAAAGTTCTCCTATAAAATTAAGAGATATTTAATGTACCACTTTTCAAAAAAAATACACATAGATTAATGGAGGACAAAAATGTCACAAAAAATCACTAAAATTCAAATAATGTACTTAAATATAAATAAGTATTAAAATTAAGGATTTAATTACCCAATATTTTTTCTGTATATTTTTTTATAATTAAGTCTAATTTACTTTTTTCCCATAGAATAATGGATACTTCAATCGAGTTATTTGGCCTACTTGTTATCAATGGATTCATGGGTACTTCTACTAAAGATATATCGAAGAGTTTGTGATGTACAAGTCAAAAATCAAAGTTTATTAGCAGCTTGGTCTAAAATTCTTAAAAATGTAATTTTTTATGATTAGATCGGCAATTGTCCGACAAAAGGTGATTATTCAAGGTTAGCTCAATGAATAATGGAGATGGAATAACAATTGGATGGTTAGGACATCAATGGCAATCTGTCCGGTTTAATATTAAATTCGCGAGTTGAATCTCATATTTTATATTTTTATTTTGAAAAAATTATACTCACATGTTTGTAAGTTTGTCACTTAATTACTCAAACCTTCTGACATTTAAAATATTACATACAAACCCATAAAGTTTGTACACACGTAACACTTAGATTTTACCGTCAATGTCCGTTAGCCTATCTAAAATTATACCTAAACCTCTTGAAATTGATAAGTGTATAACACTTAAGCCCCTAAAAATTGAAATATTACACTTAAATCTCTTATTAGTTACAGAACTTTTAGAATCTATTAAACGATCAAATTACTCAAATTAAAGATAGAAAATATTGTATCTATTACAGTTTGACCCCTTATTTATTTTGTAGTCTTATTTCAATAGATAGTATAATTGTATGTAAATGAGTGTTGAATTGAGTTATTTGATATATTTATATTGATTACTATATACGGTTCATATTTTTGAATCACTTATTGACTTAGGCGTTAGAGAGTCGACCACCGGAGTTGTCCTTTAGTTTTCAACTTCCTTTTTAGGTGATCAAAGCCTAACAAACTAATATGTAGATCATTCAAATTTTGTCATCAATAGTACTAATTATGAATTTTTTTTTAAAAAGTTAAATTTTTATTTTTTAATTTATTCCAATAAATGACATAATAGAACACGATTTTTTATTGTAAAATTTAAAATATTTGATATTTTATATTTAATTGAAATATTTTTAGTTTAAGTGTAATATTTTAAATTTGATAGGTCTAATTACTACACACCTACAAACTTCAAAGAATTTAGGTATAATTTACTAATGGACATTGACAACAAGTTCTAAGTTTTATGGGCATACAAACATCAGGAGATTTTTGTGTAATATTTTAAATGTCAATGAGTTTAAATGATTAAATGCAAACCTTAAGGAATTTGAATATAATTTTCCCTTTTATTTTTGTTACGTGTTATGAATGTATTATTGTCCACTACAATAATTGATTCTTAATTATAATAATATTTATTGTACAATGTATTAAAAGGAGCACAATCACAAGCCCAATCTTCAATATTTTCATGCCCAATGAAGTCTGACGAATGAACCCTAATCTCCACTAATCGGGCAGATTTGGCTACCCGGTGGCTAATTGGTGTGCTAATCCTCATCTAGTAGTAAATATTAGATGTAACGGTTATATTATATCAGCATTAAGATGTAGTATAACCATCCAATAATAAATAAACAAGTAATCAAGTGACATGTAGTAATTACTATTTTTACATAGAAGAGGAAGTCATTTGAAAAAATGAAGTTTATTTTGTGTAATTATTGAATTATCATTAAATGATTACACTACGTGATAATACTAACGAGGTATAACCATTACACCTAATATTTACTCCTCTACGACCTTGAGCCTCAAGTACTCAATTCAAGATAGAGTTGTACTATTTCATCAGTTGTTGAATTGTTTGGTGTTGTCAAATACTAACCTTAATCGTAATTTATTTGAACTCATTGTATCATTTTCTTAGTATCATATCGATGGCAATGTGTAAAACTTGACTTGTATTCATAAATGGCCACTACAGCTTCAGCTGGGCTACTTCACAGCTGAGACCCAACAGCATCTGAGTTAGTTTCAAACTTTGTATGTATAAAGGGTTCAAAAAGAAGACTTATATTTGAGACAAAACATGATCCGGGTGTAAACTTTTGAATGTAAAATCATGTATCACCCATATAATTGTGACATTGAGAGGAAGTTTAGGCTGATCAAAATAAAATGAGTAATTCTATGTTTACTAAAAAAATTACTAAAAATTGATTTTATCAAATGAGTTGGCAGTTCTATATTACTCTTGGACCCACTAAATGCTAATTAAAATATTTTTGATTGGGTATAGAGTTATCAACTCATTTGATAAAAATATTTTTTTAAAAAATTTTTGATAAGAGCAACTCCAACTCAACTCTTTATTTTAATTACTCAAAATATATTTAAATATTTCACTCTCTATTTTAGAGAGTCATTTTTACAAATTCACTCCAACTATACTCTCTATTTTAGTTAATTATTTTATCTAATTTTCACTAACTTTCAATAATTTATAAAGGATTGCAACATATATATAAAGAGATAGAGGTAGAGAGAGAATTTAGAAAGACTAAATGACTCTCCACAGTTGGAGAGCCATTCAAGTGAAATGGGAAATAAAGAGTGGGTTGGAAATTTTTTTTTAGTGTTTGGCTAGCTAAAATAGCTAAAAAGACGGAACATAGAATGAGTTGTAGTTGCTCTAAGCATAGCGTTACTCAAATAAGATATCGAATTTGGTTAAACTTTCTCCCTATATAATTGAGTTGAAATGTAATACCATAGGTTATTATTTGGTTTATTGTTCATATTTTCTTTAAGTTAAATGAAAACTAGTTTTACTGCTT